GACACAACATCTTTGTTTTTATGTGGTGCTGAGGATCCAACCTGGGCCTCATGCATGCCAGGCGAGCGCGCTACCGCTTGAGCCTCATCCCCAGCCCCCAGACATAGAGTTTTAAGATAGATGTCTGATATTTACTTTGACATCTGTAATCTTAATTGTCTCCTATATAGGAAAGGTGAGGTCAGCATTTAACATCAGTGACAGCAATACACAACTATGAACCAGATCAGGTATTTAACATCAGGTATCTAATATGTTCTCTACTGTATTAATAATTACATCAACATCAATGGGGTATGATTTACATAAACCATGTGATTGTATTAGTTCGATCTCAGTTTCTTAAGAAAAGGAAAACAGGTGGAAAGGTGAGAAAAAGTTTGAAATATTAAAAAAAATGCTATTAGAGGAAAGGGAGGTAGTTAGCAGATGTTGGCTCACTGAGAAACAGTTTTCCTGTTTTGTAAGTCAAATACTGATGAGCTGCTGGAAAGTACATCCTTCCTCTAATGTGCTATCCTCTCTCTTCACAGAATATTTTTTATGGATCATTTCATTTGTATCTTTAGAATAGTGCTGGGAGGCAAGTAGTAGTATACCCATTTTTAATTTTGGAGAAACTGAGAATCATAAAATGTACATTTGCTAAAGGTCATAAAACTATTAAGTATAAGCCACCATTTTTTTTCCCCCAGGATTGGTGTGGTGGTAATGGGAAGTTGGGAGACATACTCTGAATGTAAAAATATACTATAGAAATGGAATTAACTGGTCATCTTAAAATAGTCTTGGTACCTACTTGTCCAGTTGTTCTCCAAGTGGGTTGTACCAGTTCATACTTGTGCTAAGAGTGTAGAATGGAACACTGTTAACTCAAATCTTTGACATAATGGGAGAATATTTGGTGTTTTCTTCTTTCTTTTTTTTTTTAATCCATGAATGATTTGGCCCTTTAATTTGGTTAGGACAGATTATTTATGGTAACTTATAAGTACACTTAAATTTTTTAAATTGAGAGTTGGGGAATAGAATGTATAAAATAATATTTCTATGAAGATGAATTTCATACAGAATAGACTGAAACAGAGTGAGACTGTCAGCGTTGTGACCAGATAAGTGATGCTTGGTCTGGTTGGATACAGTAACAATAGTTGAGAACCTATATGATAATATTATGGAAGAATCAACAGGACATGGAACCAAGGGAGTAAACGAGAAGTAAAAAATGAACTTGAGGCCAGTGCAGTGGTGCATGCCTATAATCCCAGCTGCTTATTAGGAGGATGAGACAAGATGATTGAGAGTTCAAAGCCAGCCTCAGCAACCTCAAGGCACTAAGCAACTCAGTGAGACCCTGTCTCTAAATAAAATACAAAGTAGGGCTGGGGGTGTGGCTCAGTAGTTGAGTGCCCCTGAGTTCAATCCCTGGTACCAAAAAAAAAAAAAAAAAAAAAGGTGAGTCTCAGTTTTTCTGTGTGTGGGTGTGAATAATTTACTTACATAGCCCATGAATTTAATGTGTTTGACACTACAATTTTATTTTATACATTGATGCCCCCCAAATACTTCAAAACAATTTTTAAAATTCGGATATAATTCATAAAAAATGCCATTTTAACCACTTTAAGCTATATAATTCAGTGGTTTCTAGTGTATTCCCAAAAGTGCGCAACCATTACTACTATTTTCATCATTTATATCACCCCCAAAAGAAACTTAATACTTCCCAATTCCAACCTCTTCTCATCCCCTGGAAACCATTTATCTACTTCTGTCTCTATGAATCTGCCTAATCAGGGCATTTCATGGGTGGCCTCTTGTGTCTGGGTATTACTTAGTGTAATTTTTTTAAAATCTTTTTTTTTTATTGATTTGTTAAAAAATAAATAACAGCGGAATGCATTACAATTCTTATTACACATATATAGCACAATTTTCATATCTTTGGTTGTATATAAAGTATGTTGACACCAATTCGTGTCTTCATATATGTACTTTAGATAATGATGTCCATCACATACCACCATCTTTGCTAACCTACTCTTCCCCTCCCCTTCCCTCCCACCCCTCTCTGCCCTATCTAGATTTCCTCTATTCCTCCGGTGCTCCCCCTCCTTACCCAACTATGAATCAGTCTCCTTATATCAGAGAAAACATTTGGCATTTTTTTGGGGGGGATTGGCTGACTTCACTTAGCATTATCTTCTCCAACACCATCCCCATCCATTTACCTGCAAATGCCATGATTTTATTCTCTTTTATTGCTGAGTAAAATTTTATTGTATATATATATGCCACATTTTTTTATCCATTCATGTATTGAAGTGAATCTGTGTTGGTACCACAGTTTAGCTATTGTGAATTGTGCTGCTATAAACATTGATGTGTCTCTGTAGTACACTGATTTTTAGTCCTTTGGGTATAGACAGGGGAGAGGGATAGCTGGGTCAAATAGTGGTTCCATTCCCAGATTTCCAAGGAATCTCCATACTGCTTTCCATATTGGCTGCACCAATTTGCAGTTCCACCAGCAGTGTATGAAAACCTTTTTCCCCACATCCTCACCAACACTTATTGTTGTTTGTCTTCATAATAGCTGCCATTCTGACTGAAGTGAGATGATATCTTAGAGTAGTTTTGATTTGCATTTCTCTAATTGCTAGAGGTGATGAACATTTTTTTCATATGTTTGTTGATTGATTGTATATCCTCTTCTGAGAAGTGTCTGTTCAGTTCCTTGGCCCATTTACTTAGTGTAATGTTTTGAAGGTTCAACTATATTGCAGCATTATCAACAATACATTCCTTTTTATGGCTGAATAGTAGTCCATTATATGGATATTCCAGATTTTATTTGTCTATCAGTTGATAGACATTTGGATTTATTTTGCATTTTTGACTACTATGAATATAGCTTCTGTGAGCATTTGCATATAATTTTTATGTGAACATGTTTCCAGTTCTCTTAAGTATAGTATGTACCAATGGAATGCTTATTTATATGGCAACTCTTATATTTAACTTGCTGAAGAATTGCCAAAATTTTTTTTTTTAGCAGATGCACCATTTTATATTCTCATCAACAATGTATGAGTTTTCTAATTTCTCTACATTCTTATTAACACATAGTTTTTATTTTACATTTTAAAAATTATGGTCATCTTAGTGGGTATGAAGTGGTGTGTGTGTGTGTGTGTGTGTGTGTGTGTGTGTGTGTGTGTATTTGATACCAGGGATTGAACTCAGGGGCACTTTACTACTGAGCCACACCCCCAACCCTATTTTGTATTTTATTTAGAGGCAGGTTCTCACTGAGTTGCTTAGCACCTTGCCGTTGCTGAACTCTCAATCCTACTGTCTCAGCCTCCTCTGGGATTATAGGCATGTGCAACTGTGCCTGGCTTTTGGTTTTAATTCACAGTTTTCCATGGTTTTAAACATATTTTCATGTACTAATTAACTATTTGTATATCTTCTTGGGAGAAATATCTATTCAAATCCTTTTCCTATTATTTATTTATTTGTCTATCTACCTATCTATCTATTTATTTATTTAGAGAGCCTTCTCTTGATTTGTTTTCATTTAATTTAAAACTTTCTTATTTCAGTGGGTCCATTTTACCATAAAACATTGTAAGTGCCTTTCATAGTACCTTTATTTCTAATGGCTCATACCTATCATTTCTTCTTCCAAATTATGTTGTAAGCCAAGATATCACAGGCTAATTACAGTATTCATGTTTTGCTTTCCTTTTTTAATTTTATAAAATGTGCACTTTAACCATTTTTAGGTTTATAGTTCAAAGTATATTCACATTGAATAGTCATCACCGTTGGCTAGTTTCAGTACATTTTCATCGGCCCAAAAGAGACTCTCTGTCAATTGAACAATTACATTTACCAATTTGTTTTTTAAAAATATTTTTTATTTATATATGGACACAATATCTTTGTTTATTTATCTTTATATGGTGCTGAGATCGAATCCAGTGCCTACATGTTCGAGGCAAGTGTTCTGCCACTGAGCTACAACCCCAGCCCCATATTTACCAACTTGTACCATTATGGGGGTTTCTTAAAATAGAACCTAATTTTAGTCCATTTAAATTTTTTTTTATTTAACTGCAGGCTAAATTTACTTAAATCAGGACTGACAAAAACTATTCTGTCAGCCATCATGATCTGAATTCTGGTGTATGATAACAGTTAAATATGGTACACATTAAAAAGCCATGAGAAATTTCTGTTTTATGATAAATTTGGCAGTGGCTATTATTTATTAGTAACTTTTTGGAGGTAAGTTATTAAGTCTGCTTTTTCTCCTTTCTCCTTAATGCCAGTGAAGATAATTTTTGCTCCAGGGATGTACATTTTGGGATTCTCCGAATACTCCATCAGTGTATATCCTCTTTTCCTTTATTCTTATTGGTGGCTGAGTGAGAGAATCCAACAGCCTGACCTGTCTTCAGCCCAGACAGTTCATGGAGATTTGACACAGTGTTTTGCTTGACTCCCTTTTCTCTCAGAGTATCACTGGGCACACTTCTAAACAAAAATCTTCTTACTTCTCACGATCATCCATTTTTAATTCACTCTCTTGTCACTAGTGCACTGAAGGTTCCTGCTTGGAAGTCTAACGTCTTGCTTTCTCTGTTTATCAACTTTGACTCATTTTTAGGATATGTTATATAAAAGGAAGCAAAAATTGTATTCTTTAATTTTCATATTTGTCTTCACCCTCACTCCCAATCTCCTTTCTGAACCTTGGGCATGTAGGAGTGTGTATAAGTGTATTTATGAAGAGGAGTGGAATTGTCTTTTTTCTTTTCCTGTCATTATCTTTTGAAGGGATGATTTCTTGAATTGCCAAATATAATGGTTATCTTGAAAATATATGCATTTTACCATATCTGCAATGTATACCGTTATCATGCATTAAATATAATTTGGTATTGAAATATTTACATTTTATGTATTGTAAAATTTACATATTATTTTAGGAAACTCAAGAATATACCCGAAATGTTGTAAGATATTGCCTTGAAGCCCTTCAAGACTGGTTTGATGCGATAAACTTCGTAGATGAGGTATGTATATTTTTGATGTATGCAAAAGCATTTAAGAAAAATGTTAAATATCCTTTCACATAAAAAATTAAGAATTTTTTAATGGAATAAGGAAAAGAAGTCAGAATTAACATAATATTATTTCTCTTTAAAAGGGGTAAATTAAAAGGGGATACTAGTTTTTGACGTTTAGAAAATTCCAGAATGTAGTATTTATGTCTGCTTCTTTCTTAGAACAGGCATGATTTCTTTTTATGTTATGTGTATGTGTGTCATTATTTCTCAGAAGTGAAGATTAATTTCAGTTGAAGAGATAAAAATGTCAGTGCAAATTTGAATAAGATAGAGGAGATAAAAAAATATTACTTTTAGTTGGACAGTATTCTTTTTAGAGGTTGAAAAGATACACTTGAACAAAGGTAATTTTTATTAATAATAGAGAAGAGTTGGCACAGGACATTTTATGTGTGAATTGAATAAGTGATTACTTTTATTAGTAAAGTTTACCAGGAGCCCCTTTTATTCATCTTATGAAGTAGGGTCAGAATATGTTATATACAGAGAAACAAATATGTTTAGACAGCACTGCCCCTCACCTCCCAATCTCCTTTCTGAACCTTGGCAAGTAGGGGTGTGTATATTTGTGTTTATGGAGAGGAGTAGAATTGTCTTTCTTTTTTTTCTTTTCCTGTTTTTTTTTTTTAATTTTGACACAATCACAAATTTATTTGGAAGTTGATAGTGGAAATAGGTTTCTTTTATAGAATCATTGAACAATTAATTTGTTGACTTGACACCCTATGACTTCCAGGCACTTTAGTGTATATTTCCTACAAAGATATGTTCTTCTATAACCAGACTACAACTGTAAAATTCAGTACTATATTATTATCATCTAATCACTTATATTTTAGCAGTTGTTCAGTGATGTCCTTTATAGCAAAAGAATTTGGTTCAGAATCAAATTTTGCAATTTGATTTCCTGCCTCTGGTCTCTGGTCTCCTTCTGGAATACTTTCTCAGTTTTTCTTTTCCTTTTTGTTTCCTTCCTTCCTTCTCCTTCTTCTTCTTCTTCTTCCTCCTTTTTTTTTTTTTTTTTTCCACTTGTATCTAGGATTGAATCCAGGGGCACTTTACCATTGAGCTATATCTCTTCAGTCCTCTTTTTAAATTTTTTTTCTTTTAGTTGTAGTTGGACACAATATTTTATTTATTTATTTATTTATTTTTATGTGGTGCTGAGGATCGAACCTAGTACCTCACATGTGCTAGGTGAGTGCTCTACTGCTGAGCCACAACCCCAGCCCCTCAGTGCTTTTTTAATTTAAATTTTTTTTTTTTTTTTTTTTTTTTTTTTACACTCAGGACTGAATCCAACGGTGCTTAACCACTGTGCCACAACCCCCTTTCTAATATTTTATTTGGAGACAGGGTCTTGCTGAATTGCTTAGGACCTTATTAAATTGCTGAGGCTGGCTTTGAACTCACAATTCTCCTGCCCAAGCCTCCCAAGCTGCTGGGATTACAGGAGTGTGCCACTGTGTCTGGCCCTTTTTTAATTTTTTAAACTTTGAGACAGGTCTTGCTAAATTGTTTAGGGTCTTGCTAAAGTTGCTGAGACTGGGCCCAAATTTGCAATTATCCTGCCTCAGCCCCCCAAGTCAAGGAATACAGCTGTGCACCACCATGCCTATCCTGAACTGTGACATTTTAAAGAATGTAGATCAATCATTTTGTAGAATGTTCCTCAGTTTGGGTTTGTCTCATGATTAGATTCAGATTATATATCATTTTTAGAAATATGACATAGTGAAGTTGTAGTCTTTTAATTGTAACTGGTAACTTATGATTTATGTTAGTCCTGATGATGTTCTCTTTGATCACTTGATTAGAATGATGCCTTTGTCAGCATGAGGTTACCTTTTCTATTACTGTAATTATTTTATTTAATGGTTTTTAATCCATTAGTATTATTATTTAATGCTGAAATTCTTTTAGATTTGGCCAGAAAAACCCCATTCAAGTTGGTTTCTGGGTCTGTTTGCTTGTTTCACAATTCTTTGAGTAATTACATTCTTTGTGTCACAAGATGTTTCAAGCGCACACTATAGATTCTATAACCCATTTCTGGAATAAGTAATTTATTTAAGGTTAACCTGATTACTTTTAGTGGAGAACAATATTTAAAAGCAAAAACTGGGTGCTAGATGTGCTCATTATTATTGGAGTGTCAGTCTTCTCAGGCTCTCATAGTAAGCCCCGGTTAGGAGTATGGTGTATATTATGTATACACACACATACATATATATTTACTTCTATATTTATTTTTCTATGTGCAGTAAATGTTATGAATTCAAACTGATACTTTATATCACTTTTTTGTTTGTTTTGGTATTAGGGATTCATCCAAGTGTTTTATTCATGCTAGATAAATAATCTGTCACTGAGCCCTCAAGCAGATATTTTAAATTTCAAAGGTGTGGGAAGGCTATACTTCATGGTAGGGTGGTTGCCTAGAAATGTACAAGACCCTGGGTTTAATCCCTAGTACCCACCCCACAATAAGCTAAATAAATAAATGGAAAATAAAATTCTACTATAATACCATAGACCTTTTTCTATTTATGCTCCAGCAATAAGAAACCTCACTTCCATCATCATGTATTCTCTCCTGGGGGTGTCGTATGACTTTATGACTATTCAGGTCTTACTTCCTATGTCAGGCCATACTCCATATGTTAATTAGCACCCCACCTCCCTTTTCATTCTAAGCAACCTCTGACATCTCAAGCCCTCTTCCTTTGCCTGCGTAGTTGTTCTGAACTTGGGCTCTGACATCCCTCTTCAGGCTCCTCACCTATTCTGTCTATTTTGCCTGCCTGCAAAATATGCCTGTTTTGTCCTGCCCACTCTTAGCCTCCCAGTGGCATTAAGAGTATATTGTTTAGGAAGGAAAGAGCCCTCTTTATCTTTTACTCTGATCCTTCCTGCCCCAAATTACATTATCTTCCACCCCAATCCACCCTTCGTCTAATATTTGTGTTTACTCTTAACCTTCAGCATGGATCATCTGGATTTTGTCCTTTTGGATTCTGAGTCTCTCTTTATCACATTACCTTGATTCTTGCCCTTCAGTAATTGTTGCTCTTTTAAGTTTAAACTTTGTTTATTTCAGTAATAATGAGTGAATCTCCCTAGAACACTGTCTAGTTTCTAGAGAGCTTTATCCTTCTTTTTTTTTTTTAATATTTATTTTTAGTTCTCGGCGGACACAACATCTTTGTTGGTATGTGGTGCTGAGGATCGAACCCGGGCCGCACGCATGCCAGGCGAGCACGCTACCGCTTGAGCCACATCCCCAGCCCCAGCTTTATCCTTCTTTTAGCCTTCTGTATTCTTTATCTCTTTGTAGGATTAATCCCTCAGCTGAATTTTTGACTTTTTTCAACCTAGTTCTTACTGGTATTTGCAACTTTAGAAACTATTGTTGAAATGGCAATAACACTGAGACAATAGGAAGATTGAAGTGGGGGAAAGTTATATTATACACAGGATTATGTAGTAAATGACATGAAGTTAATTCATAGTTGGATTCAAGAGTGGAGTTAAGGATAATTAGAATGATTTGTGATATACAGTGTATCTGAATTCAAGGAAATAGTACATTTTTCACACAAATATTTTTAGGAAGATATTGAATGTAATAAAGAAATTAAATTGAATTTTAACAGAAGAGAAAATAAACATAGAACACAAGAGATCAAAAAATGAATTGTTTTCATATAATGTTTAAAAGCTTTTATTATCTCTCATTTGTAGGTATGTAGTGTAGATACAGAGATATTAAATGACTTGCCTATAGTTATGTAGTAAATTGCTAGTGGTCTTGGATCTAAACCTCATATTTCTTAATTGTTTGTTTAATAGTGTTTCAGGTATGCCAGTTTTTGAGAACAGGAAGGTTGGCATGTGAATTGTAGCTCTGCTGTATACAGTTCAGTTAGCTATGTGACCTTAAACACATTTTTAAAAATTTTGTTTTTTATGTGTATGTTTTTTAAAAAAATCTTTTTAACATTGCTCAGTTCATTTTTCTTATCTATTATCATAACATTAACCAATGAGGATTGACTAAGAGACATATTACATGTATGATAATTATTAGTTCTTCTGTCCTTGTGGATGGATGTCAGAAGTTATTATAGTTAAGACAGTAAAGATTAAGCAAAAATATATATTGAACTCAATAAGCTGAATCAAGTAATTGTATAGAAACAGGATAAAGTAAATTTTCCTATAAGGCAGACCATTTAAGAAACTTCAAATGTGAATATTATGTGGGGTGGTGATTATGAGTATGTAGCAGAGATGTGTGACTAGAGTCCTCTGATAGAAGGATATTAGAACATTTGTTTAGCAAGTATTTATTTAATGTTTGCTTTTTTGTAAACACTGGGAGACAGTGATGAAGCAGACCCTGATTTAAGTATATGGAACATAAGTAAGTGGTTAATTTGATTTGTGTTTATGTGAAGTTGTGAGCGGGTATTGTGGGAACAACAGAAGGGAGCTTCTGATTTACCTTGTAGGACTCAATAGCAAAATCTTAAAGATATGTTAATTCGGGGATGGGTTGGGAAGAAGGGCTATATAGCATTCAAGGCAGAGCAATAGCATAAACTAAGGAACAAAAGTGCTCTATGTGTGTAACAAGAATTGTAATGCATTCTGCTGTCATTTTTTTTTAAAATATTTATTATTTATTTTTTTTAGTTTTTGGCGGACATAACATCTTTGTTTGTATGTGGTGCTGAGGATCGAACCCGGGCCGCACGCATGCCAGGCAAGCGCGCTACCGCTTGAGCCACATCCCCAGCCCCGTCATTTTTTTTTAAATCAATAAAAATTAGACAAAGGAACAAAATTGTGGTGACTTAGGCAGCACTGCTTATGGTACATAACTTTATGTGACATGAGATGAAACTGGGAAGGTAAGCTTTGTCTTCTCAGAATTTGGAAGGTTAGGGTTGGGGTTGTGGCTCAGAGGTAGATCACTCACCTACCATGTGTGAGGCCCTGGGTTTGATCCTCAGCACCACATGAAAATAAAATAAAGACATTGTGTCCACCTATAAGTCAAAAATAGATAATAATAAAAAAAGTATTTGGAAGGTTATCACAAGGCTAAAACATTAAGGAGTCACTAAAAGATTGTGAGCTGAAGTTCAATATTGAATTAATAAGACTACTTTCTGTCAGCATACACAGGTTTAACTAGAGAGAAGTTATGTTAGTCAAAGGATTCGTTTGAATGCAAAGATAATTTGAAGCAGCTTAAGTTAAAGGAGGGATAATTTATAATGAGTGCATAGGGGTGTCTCAGGGATCTTCGGGCCTCTGGAGCTCAGGAATGGATTGGAATGATGTATAGAAACCTCTTGCCTTTTCTTTGCTACATGCATCTGCTTCATTTTTTCCTCCCTCTCTGCTTCCATGTTCATGTGGTGAAATATTGTCTTCTTACATTTGCCTAATGTTGCAATTTCAGGTATATACTAAGGCTGTTTTGTGAATGTCTCTAGGTCCCAGTTCCAAAGTGTTTTAAGAGTGAGGGAAACTCATTATTCTGGTTGAATTGGGTGTCTTCTGCCTGTTTTGAGTTCAGTCAAATGTGGGTATTATAAATTTGACTTTCAGTCCCCAATTCCTGTATGTGCGGTCATGGAGACTGGGTAAAGGGGGTGTGGATATGTTTTGAAGAAGATGGGATGGATGGTCATGAGTAAAATAGACACCACAACAGATATCTTACAGAGGGTAAGAGTAGAAGCAGGAGCTACTGCTGAAATCTAGGCATGAAACATTGAGAGCTTAAGCTAAGGTTGATTAGATGCAGTGTAGAAAGAAGAGAAAGTGGATTTGTGAGATACTTTAAAAATCAAATAATCATAATTTGATGCCTTGAGGAGGAGGATTTTGAGAAGGAAGGAGTCTACTTTTTAGATTGTTATTACAGAGAATCTGGAGAAGAGACATTAAGTAGGATTGAGTTTTAGGGCAAAGATGCTGAGTTTGGTTTGGACACTGTATTTATAAACCCTATGGTATATTAAGTGTTGATTTCAATAGACACTTTATTGTGATTTCTGCTGAGACTTGGAAATTATCTGGGTAGATTTAGTGGTGAAAGCTTTGAATCTGGATAAAGTCATCTGTAACAAGAACAGTAGGAAGTGGAAAATGGAATTCAGGGACCACCCAGTATATATACTAGGGGTGAAAGAAAAGGAATTTATCAAATGACCAATCTGACAAAGAGGGAGCATGAAATTTAACACTACAGAAAAATATGTTTACAATATGCTAAACCCCTCAAAGATAAAATAGAGTCCATGGTTCACAGCAGTGTGTATTAAGTACTGTGTCATTTTATTTCTTTCTTATAATCATTCTATTGTTTATTATTCCCACTTTACAGGCCAGGCAACTTATTAGGCACAGAGAAATTAAGTTGCTTGCTTATATTTTTGTGGCTCTAGGTGGTAGAGTTAGGGTTTGAATGTATACAGACTAGGCCTTAAGAGTGTTCTTAATGACTGTGCCTAAATGCCTTTAAAGAAAATTTTGGGAAATTTTGGTTTAACTAGTTAGTTTAGAATGTGTTACTAAAATAATTATGGTAATCAAGGGCAAATTTTTCTTTAAAAGAACACTTTTTTTATATCCTTCACATTTTGAAGAGCATGTTATTCTCATTAGTTTTAACAAAGATAATAATTTCATATTATGACTCTTTACAACATATATAATGTTATTTTATTGACACAATGTTCTGGATTTTTTTTTTTTTTTTTTTTTTTTTGGTATTGGGAATTGAACCCAGAGGCAATTTACCACTGAGCCATATTCTAAGACCTTTTTGTTTTTAATTTCGAGACAGAGTCTCACTAAGTTGCTGAGGCTGGCCTTGAACTTAAGATCCTCTTGCCTCTTGCCTCAGTCTTCCAAATTGCTGAGATTACAGGTGTGTGCCACTGTATCTGGCTCTGGGTAAAACTTTTTTTAAATAGGAAAATACTTAGTGAAAATTGATAAAAGCATTAAGAACAAATAATACCTTTTTAATTTTTCTTATTTGTATAAGAATGAAAAGTATGGTGTGCTTTTGCCCTTTAGTGATATCATGATCCATTGGAGTCACAGATTTAAAATAAAAATTTTATAATATTCACAGGCTGCCAAAAATTATTGACATATTATTTATCAAGTTTTGTTATGGAGGCTGATGTGTTTGACCTATATAAGGGTTGAACTGTACAAGGAGTGTCTCACCCAGCTGGTGAATAAGGAATCAAGGATACTCTGCATCTGTACTTCAGTTTAGAGTTATCTAGTCCCCTCCCCTCCCCTCCCCTTCCCTCCCTTCCTTCCTTCTCTCCCTCCCTCCCTTCCTTCCTTCTCTCCCTCCCTCCCTCCCTCAAGGGCAATTGGCAACTGAGCCACATCCCTAGCCTTATTTTGTATTTTATTTAGAGACAGAGTCTCACTGAGTTGCTTAGCACCTCACTTTTGCTGAAGATGGCTTTTAACTTGTGATCCTCCTGTCTTAGCCTCCTTAGCCACTGAGGTTATAGGTGTGAGCCATTGTGCCCAGCTGTCCGGTCCACTTAATACTCTCTATAGCAGTGAGGTCCAGACTAGCTCCTCATTTTACCAGTTTTAAGCTTTAGGAAGTGACTTATATTTTCTAAGCTTGAATCCTCTATTGTTGAGTTGAAATATCAATAGTTCCTATTCTATAGGATTATTGTGAGAATTAAATGAGGTATTGTGGGTAAAGTTATTAGCATGGTGATGTAACATATAATAAGTGCTCAATGAATATTAATTGAGTATATTATTCTTATTACTATCAAGTTTATAATGCATGTAATTGAAGAGTCCCTAAATGGACTAATGTAGAAGGTAATCTGTTCCATTTCATTTTTATAATGATTATTTGCTTTAGCTTAGGTTAGAAAAAAATCTGTGATAGATGCTTCAGAAATTTCAAAGATGAATAATATATACTTTCTGTTAAGGACTTAGGTGTTTAAAATTGTAATAATTCTAACTGTAGTGACTTTTAAAGCAATAACTTCTAAAATTTTAAGTTTTGATAAAATTTAGGGATAAATTCAGTGAAAGTATGATTTTAACACTTTAAAACCTTCTTATAACTTCTTTTAAACATTCTTTGACTTGAGGATTTTGTTCATTCCAGCCAGCACCTAACCAAGTCACTTTTCATCTGCCTCTACATCGTTACTATGCTATGTTTTTGAGTAAGGTAAGACTCCCATTAAACAAATTTGTTTTGTTTTAAAGTTGTTATTTTTGGAGAAATATTGAATTACTATTTTTTTTCTAAATAATTTTTAGGCTGTAAAATGTCAAGAACTAGATTTGGATTCTGTTTTACCAGATCAGGAGATGTTAATGAAACTAATGATTCACCCACTCCAAATTCAAGTATGTATTCAAAATTTTAAATATTTTTGAATTGGATTTTTGGGCTAAGTGATGCTTTTTCTTATTTTGTTAGTGTGCCTTTATCATTGTTACTATAGCCAAAATGTTTGAAAACATGAAAAAAAAAGAATTCTTGTGTTTTTGCCTAATTCAGATGTTTTTAAAATTTATTTTATGAGATGTAGCTTTAATTTCCCTAGGAGTTTTTTTCACTATATTTAACTACAGAGGAATTTAAACATATTTACCATTGTTTTGGAAGTCATGGGACCCAATAGGTTCTAACTTTTGGGATTCCTAACATTTTATTTTCTTCACAGTTTGGGGAAATTTCCTCACTCGCCTTCAGTTTCCTCATCTGTAAAATGAGATGAGAAAGAAGAAAGAAGTATTAGCTTTAGTAAGCAATAAGATTTCTTTGAGTTCTCACACTATAATTTTCTGGGCCAGTCTTTTATATACATTAGAGGGACTTGCATCTCAATTTATTTTTCCTAGCTATTGTAGATTGTTAATCATTGAATTTCAACTCCAGGGGTTAGGGACAGGTAAAAGGTGATGTTATGACTGATTAGTTTTAGTAAACATTGGAAATAAATATATGAGGAGTTTTGATATAGTTCAGTGAAAGTATGTTTTTGACACTTTAAGACCTTTTTAGAACTTCTTTTATACATTCTTTGACTCTAGGATTTTGTTTATTCTAGCTAGCACCTAACCAAGTCATATAAGGAATATAAGAAAGAAAATTTATTCTAATATCCTTTTATAAAAACCTCCAGTTATTTGGAAGATGAGTTGTTCAAAGGTTGAGTTAGGTTGAATTAAAGATGTAGGTTGTATTAGTTGATTTTTAAATAGCCAAGTTTCTTTTATGCTAATTCCATTGTGTTTCTCTGAGCTTCATGTATGTGTGCATTTTTTGAGGGAGAAATTAAGTGAAACTGAACATTAACTTCTCATGAAAGATTTCAGTGAAAATATTACAAATATATCTAGAAGTCATCTTTGAAAACTAACTCACATATAAGCTCCAAAAAAGGTGGCTATATAAAACATAATATTTATTTTAAAAAATTAAAAATATGTATTTGGGCTAAATAACTTTTTATCCAACAACTTTTTTTTTTGAGGGGGGATTTGTTTTTGTTTTCTGCCAGTACTGGATATGGAACCTAAGGTCTTGCACATTCTAGGCAAGCTCTGTGCCACTGAGCTGCATCCTCAGCCTTTAAACTGAATATCTTTAACCTTAGAATGCCAGGTTTATATTATGATTAAATCATAAAATATTTAAGAATGATTATTTAATGTGATTTTATAAAGATTGAATTTAGGGCTGGAGATGTGGCTCAAGCGGTAGCGCGCTCGCCTGGCATGCGTGCGGCCCGGGTTCGATCCTCAGCACTACATACCAACAAAAATGTTGTGTCCGCCGAGAACTAAAAAATAAATATTAAAAATTCTCTCTCTCTCTCCTCTCTCACTCTCTCTTTAAAAAAAAAAGATTGAATTTATGTGATTTATTTTCTAAAGTACTTATTTTTATTTTATTAGGCAAGTCTTGCTGAAATCCACAGCAATATGTGGGTACGAAATGGCTTGCAAATCAAAGGACAAGCCATGACTTATGTCCAGTCTCATTTCTGTAATTCCATGATAGATCCTGACATTTACTTATTACAGGTAAAGTCACCTTGATAATAATATTGTGTTTTGAAGTGTCTAATTTATACCTGTGGAATTTTAATTTATAAAGGTAACAGAGTGATGATATGGAGAGGGCAGTACCAATGAAAGAAGTTATTACTTACATTTTTAAGGAAAGAGTTCATACCATACCACATGGGGCCACAAAGGAAAGCATCAGGTTTTGGTCAGGAGGTAGAGGCAGGAGTGAGAGGATCTAAGCCAGTGCCTTGTTTTGGTTTCTACAGGAAAGATAAGGCAGGGCAGGGAAAACGGTTTAGACTTGAATAGTTTGAATAATTCTGGTGGTTTTGTGGCATAGTGACTGTACTTGACTTGTATGTATTCAGCTCTGGGTTGTTTAGGGGAAAACCTGTGTTGGTGTGTAAGTTAGATAACGTGGGTTGGATGGCTTACATGAGGTATGTTAGCAAGTAAAGTCTTACTATGTTTAGGAATTATCCTTGGGAGGGGCACTCTCTTCCAGGTCAATAATTCCCCGAATTCCACAATGTCAAAACAGGGAAAAAAGAGTAAGAAGTACACAGTATATTAAGCTATAAAGCTTTTTCTTTTTTTTTTTTTTTTAAAGGTTTGTGCTTCTAGACTTGACCCAGATTATTTTATATCATCTGTCTTTGAACGGTAAGCATAATTTTATTAAAAAAATATTTAGAATATATGTTAATTTTGTTTTAACTTCTAAAAATTTATCTCAAATATTTATTTTTATAGATTTAAAGTGGTAGATTTATTGACAATGGCATCGCAACATCAAAATACAGTACTTGATGCAGAGCATGAAAGATCGATGCTAGAAGGAGCTCTTACATTTCTTGTGATTCTTTTGAGTCTTCGTTTACATTTAGGTAAAAACTACTAGTATTAGCAACACTTAAATTATTAGCTATTTTATTCCCTTTCCTTCCTTCTCCATGTGGTAATAATCAGCTTATGGAAAAAGGAAAGGATACAGATATGTTTAAACATACTTTCAAACTCTTGATATGTTGTACAATTGATATATCTTTTAGAATAGCCTTTAATAAATTCCTTTGGGGGCTGGGATTGTAACTCAGTGGTCCAGTGCTTACCTAACACATGTGAGGCACTGGGTTTGCGCCTCAGCACCACATAAAAATAAATAAATAAAGTAAAGGTATTGTGTCCATCTACAACTAAAAATATTTAAAAAAATTCCTTTGGTTAAGGAACTCCTTTGATTTGCAAATAGCAGGGTAGTTAAAATCGTTAAATTTGGGGCTTTGCATCCTTTACTCTTAATTTGAAGCATATTATATTTGGTAAAACATCTGGGTAAAATGTTTATTTTTTATTATTTACATTCAGATTTATTAATTCTATTTTTAATAATTTTAGGAATGTCTGATGATGAGATTCTCAGGGCAGAGATGGTAGCCCAGCTATGTATGAACGACAGGACACATAGTTCATTGTTGGACCTCATATCCTTTTAAAATGTTTAATGTTCTGTTAGTTGTATTTAAAATAAAAATTATTTTTTATGAATTAAAGATATATTAGTATTTTAATTAAAAATGCTTTTTTTGGAGTTGAAAAATGATATAGGAAAAGAAGGATTCCATTTGTTTGCTCAAGTATTTGTTCAGGGATGGTGACAGGTATTTTTAACCTATTATTACCTCTTAGGAGTCTTTCCTCAGTCTTTAGGATGGATCTTAGGGATAGTGGTTCTGGACTCTCCAGGAACTAACATTCTAGAATAGCATTAGGAAGCTGCGTATTTTTAAAAAGGTAGATAGTTAGCTTCATCAGTGTAGCCAGGCTGGAATTCTAGTTCACAGTGGTTTACTTTGTAATTAACCATTACCAGGGTTTCAAACATTCTGACTTTTTTTGGATTGTTGTTAGAATTCAATCGAAAAAGAAAAAAGATTTTCAGATCTGTATATTCTTGTCTGCAAACCAGAAATTTATGGTTGTTTGCATAGGACTGAGTATACAATCGGCACTTTTTTTTTTAAGTTAATGAACATTTAGACATAGATTATAATAATATTTTGTGAGGAAAATACTTGACTAAATTTAGTATTTTATCTTATGATTTTGTCTGGAAGAATTGATTGAAATTTTGGTTTTGTGAAATGATGCTTCCTTAGAATACTTATTTGATTTCTTTGATTTTCATAAGTAACATCAACTTGATATTTGATTTCATTCATCCATTGTAGACTGTGTATGTATCAGTACTAGTTCAGGGCAAAAACATTTTTTGTAACTTTGAATTTAAGAAAAATTATATACTTCAATATGAAACAGAAAGAATCTTTGTGTTTTACTGCTTTCCTTCTTTGATTAAACTTGCTTTTCATCTTTTTCCTTTGGGAAAATTTTGTGTTTTTAGAAAAATAATCTCTTTGCTCATAAAAATATTGATTAATATTTATAACATATTCTTTCTGGTTTCTAAGGAAAGGTATAATATTTGCAAAATGATGAAAATGGAGATCAATTAGATTTTTTTCTCACTCTTTGAAATTTGATGAATTTATTTGGGAGGAAATATACCTGGGAACTACTTCATCATGCAGTTTACTGTTTGGCTCTAGATTTAAAATATTAAAAAAAGAAATCACAATTAATAAAAATAAGTTGTTATTGGAAAGCTATGAAGCCCTCTTGTGGCCAATTTTATATATTGCAGCCAGTTATTTTCCATTGGAGTAAAATTAATTAGGAAACTATAGTATTTTGGAAAGGCTGTGAAGCTGGCTTTTTTGGATGAATTTTTTTTTTCTTGACACATACATTATATTCCAGAAAATCCCAACCCCAAAAGTGGCATTATCCCAGGCAGTTACAGCTTTGAATCAGTTTTATCAGCTGTAGCTGATTTTAAGGCTCCTGTTTTTGAACCTGGAGGTTCTATGCAACAAGGCATGTATACTCCCAAAGGTATGTTTATATAGTATGTATATACATAAATTCCTTCAATTATCAATTCTCTGGAGGTAAATTCTTTTATGCACTGAAAGGAAATGTTCACCTTTTATTGATTCAGTTTTGGTTTTCTCAGCTTTCTTACGAAATTTGTGTATTTTATGGTAAAGGGTAATATTGTTTCCATTTATTTACAAATTTTTGGTTTTATGTTATAATCAGGCTTCTTAGATGACTCTTAAATTATAAAAGGAACTTTAGATATGAACTCTTTTTATAAGTGACTATAAGCAAAATTAAACAGAAATTATAAAATAAAAGTATATACTTAAAAATATCTTGAATGTTTTCTGATTATTTTGAAATTTTTCTTAGTTCCCAATTTTTAGTTTGAAACAGTTCAAATTAAAATCTATATAGAATGCTGATAAAATTGGCAAATTTGAACCTATATAAATATAGAAACTCTTTATTTACATGACTGGTTTTCTAAGGTTTTTCCGCTAGATTCACAGATGATATGCTTGACAAGAGCTTGACAGGTTAAGTTCTGACTCAGTGTTTTCTTCTTTTTTTTTTTTTAACTTTCAGATTTTTGCTTATGTTAAAATTTTGAAGGGAGTAGCAGTTATATGCTCCTCAACATTCATTTTCTAAGTGAAAAAGCAAACTTTTTAAAAGTTTTACATAGTATATACTGTATTTGGCAAAGCAGCAGAAAAGCCTTGTAGTGAATTTTTTCAGAGTATACAAGAAACAAGAAGATTCTAGAGTCTGTGGTTGGAATGTATTCCATTAAAGAAAAAGCAGTAGTTATTTATAATAAAGAACTCTGTGTCATCCATTTAGGTGGATTCAGGAATAAAGTAGCATTTTGGTGTAGAGCAGTGCTTATGAAAGTGCAATATGTATATTACCTTTGCCAGCCTTATTTGCAGCCATTGTTAAAGACACAGGTTCCTGTATCTCATCCCCTATCTGCTTTCATCAGAATCTCTGGGGAAAGAACCTGAGAAACTGCTTTTTAAACATGCTCTGTAGATGGTTATAAATCCCACTTGAGTTTGAGACAAATTAGGGACAATGGTTAATAGTGTTAGAAAGTTGAAATTAGTTTAAGCTCTATGTCATGTTTTCAAGTGTTAAGAATTTTGTTAGATAGAATGAAAGGAAAAAAAATCTTAACTATGAAAGAGATACTCTCAAGGAAATGATTTCTGAAATTATTGTTTTCTTACATGTGTTAACTTTCTTTTTTAAACTTTACCTCATCCTAAACATGATGAGGTTATTAGTGAGGTTATAGGTTTTTATTGGCAGCTTGCAATTTTAATATACACTTTAAAAATAATCACATAATTATTAAAATAAAAGCCTTTATACACTTAACATTTGAAATCATCTTATATCCCACCAGTAGTACACATAAAACATATGGGACAATGGTTCATAATTATACAGAAGGTAAGGAGAAAACTATTAATTTTAGCAAAGGGACAGAAAATCTTTTATTAACAAAAAAGATAGATAAAATAAGAGTCTTAAAAATCAATAGCTCATTAACATTTTAATCTGATTTCATGGTTTTACCTTTGGGCACTTTTTAAGGTCTTTCTTTCTAATAGGCATCTTACAAACAACAACAACAACAACAACAACAAATGAACTAAACTTTTATGGTGGGGCATTGTTATATTGCAAAACTTTTGCTCACTAGTATTTGTAGAGCTTAAGAGAACATAATGCTGAAATTGTGATTTTTGACTTAGAGAACTAATTATAACATCAAGTTTATTAAGGCAAATAGTAAAATTGATCTATTTCATTTTTAAAAATTTAAAATATACTTAACAAATGTAAGAAGTCATTAGAAATTGACTTTATTTCTAAGAAATCAGTGTTCTGTTTCTACTTTTTTTGAAAAATAGCTGAAGTCTGGGATCAGGAGTTTGACCCTGTCATGGTCATTCTTCGAACAGTTTACCGTAGAGATGTGCAGTCTGCAATGGACAGATATACAGCATTGTAAGTCCATCAAATTGATTAGTCTCACAGTGGAATATTTTGTGTTTATCTGAAAAGATTTCAGTTATAACCCATATAATATATTCTCATTGAAGTATACTCTCAAATCTTAGAGGAGAAAAAATTTTAAGATTAAAAAAAATCAGACTGAGATTATGTTCTCAATGTTTGATGTTAATCTCTTCAATTTATAGAACATGATTAGTAAATAAAAATATTACATATTTAGTTGATTTTTGATTAGTAGATTTTGAGGTGTGGTTTTATGTTGTTCTATTTTGAACCAGTAGAGGAGGCACAAGTTAAGAAAATAAAATTGACATCAGAGATGATGATAGTTGTCTATGAAAAAGTGTGAAAATATTGCTATGTGTTTGACAACTGAGAAAACAGATAAAGCAAAATATATTTTACTTATACATTTTTAAAATAAAATTTTAAAATGATGACTGCGGAAAATAAAATTTTGAAGAATATCTTTTTAAAATTTGATTTTATACTTTATTATAAACTGTAAACTATTTTTTTTTAAATTTTTTAAAGAGAGAGAGAGAGAGAGAGAGAGAGAGAGAGAGAGAGAGAGAGAGAATTTTTAATATTTATTTTTTGGTTTTTGGTGGACACAACATCTTTGTTGGTATGTGGTGCTGAGGATCGAACCCAGGCCACACACGCATGCCAGGCGAGCGCGCTACCGCTTGAGCCATATCCCCAGCCCTGTAAACTATTTTTAATGTATTATTTCTACCTCTTTTTAAATCTTAGTAGTTAATATTATTGCTCACCATCAGTGTCTTTTATCTGTGCTTTTCTAAAGCTTAAATTAAACATTTTTAAAAATAAGTTTAAAATTATGCAAATGTCTTTGATCTTGAGGAAATATTCAGATAACTATCAAAGTATCATCATAGATACTATATGTAATTGAAACTTCTCCTTTGCCAAGATTTGCAGTAATAGATATATGTTGAATTTCACAGACAACTAATCTGAAGAAAATTGTGGATTGTGGAATTTTACTGTGCTCCCCTTCCCTCTAAACAAAATGAGAAAACCTAACAAAACAAAACAGAAACAAAACTCAGCGTAGCCATCAACTTCTCTCTTTGCCTTTTCTAAAACCCTTTGGACAAGTTGTCCGAGTTCTCTCTTCTCTGCTCTCTTAGCCACTTCTTTTTATTCTTTTTTTATGTGGTTTGTTAATAATCTATTTGCTTCTAGGCTTTTACTAAATTCTTAAATCTTTGAGGGAAGTTATATCTCAGCACTGGCACATAGTAGGCATTTAGAGTTTATTTGTTGAGTGAAATAAATTTAAATAATATGAATGGAAAAATGAGTGGGAGGATGCTTTTGTGTTGAATACCTAAAGTAGATTTCAAAAATTCCTAAAGTGGACTTCATACACTTCTCAAGTTGCTCTGCCTTTTTTTCAGGTTATTGTTGTTGATTAGTCATTTTGAATATATAAATATAAAGCAAATTTAATATTATCTTTTACTTTGTAGCTAACAGAAATTTGAACTGGGTTTGGGCTGAAACTTCCAGTGCTTTGAAGGAATCATTAAATTATTAATATAAACAATTTTAAAGGAAAAATTTTATTTAACAATACCCATTTATTTATTGTTTATTATATGTCAGGCACTCTGAAAGGAAGACAATTTTATCTTTTATATTTTACTTAGCAAACTTTTCATTTTGTTCTGAGCAGTTTCTTTCTTTCGTGTAGAGTAGTGTTTCTGAAATAGTGACAATTTTTGTCTCCCAGGAAACACCGGCATTGCCTGAAGAATGGTAGAGTTGCTGCAGACAACTGGTAGAGGATAGGTCTACTCCACAATCAACCTTGCCTTAAATGTCATTAGTGCTAATATAGTTTAGATGTATGTTGTGTTTAGAGGAATTCTGTGCTTTCTAATCTGTTTTGTATTATTAGTTGTTAAAATCTATATCATATTTTGGTTTATAGCTACTTTACATAATCCGATAAAACTATATCCCCAAAGATGTTTTTAGTCCTTATTTTCTATGTTGTTCTTTGTGATTCTTATTTCTCTCAGTTCCCTCAATTAGGTCTTTGAGTTCTTGTTCAATTTTTTTTTTTTTTTGGTAATTTCTTAGAAGTGCTCTGTTTCTTAGCAGTTTGGACATCTGTTATTTTTTAAAAGAACTGTGTATTGAAAGCAATAAAAATAGATGACAAAATATATTAACCTTTTAAATTCTATGTGAAAACCATTATATTCATCTAACAACATTTTATTTACTTATGTATATCCATGAAGGAAAATATTTCTTTCTATGTAAAATTTGAATTAAAAAAAATATATTTTTAGTTGTAGTTGGACACAATGCCTTTATTTTATTTATTTTTATGTGGTGCTGAGTATCGAACCTAGTGCCTTGCACGAGTTAGGCAAGCGCTCTAACACTGAGCCACATCCCTAGTCCAAAACTTTGAATTTTTAAAAATTGAATTTTCAAATATTTATTTTTATATGAAATATAAAATGTGATATTGTTGTTGTCTTATTGACTATTCATTTTTGAGTATCGAGATAAAAAGTTGCTTAATTGACTTTGCTGGGTTAGTCCTCTTTTATTTGCAAGAAGACAATAGAAAAACCTTTTGAAGAATACTAGTTTAAAATGGTTGAGTAGATTTAAACTATTGTATCCTTAGAATTTAAACTTTGTGCTAGGTAGTTTGTTGGCAGTCAGTAAATATTTATTAAGCGCACAAAAAGTAAATTTCTTTTTGTGCCGAGAGTTGAAATTAAAAACTGTTTGCCTTATGTGATATTTATGTGTTTAGAATCTTGGGGTCTTATTGTTGGGAATGGCCTTCAAGACCTAGTGCAGATTCCATAAAAGTGTTTTGTGAGCTATGGCTGAAAGAGGGATGGGGCAATAACAAGAGAAGGCTCATCCTGCTTCCCTCATTGCTTACCAGATACCCTTTAATGGATAGTTAAGCTCTTAAAAAGAGAACAAGCAAGATAACAGCAAACAGCAACAAAGCAAAGCAACAAATGGAAAACTATCCCTACATTGTTATATTTTACGTTATAAGGCCATTGCAGCCCAGAGAAGTTCAATGAAATACGTTCATTAATGGCAATGTTAGAACTATGATCTAGGCCTTTTCAAAAAGATAAAAATGATTTTATACATGGACTGTCTTAAATTCAACTGGACAGTAATTTTTTTTATTCTATAATTTCTTTTGTTTTCCATTTCTCATCTTGAAGGTTAATGGCTACTGCCCCATGCTTGAAAGTATGACTTTGTATATATCATTTTTGTCTCTAACTGGTCAATAATTAGGCTTTGGTTTGAATCACTTAATTTTTTTTCTGTCATGTAGCATATAATTTGCATTATTCCATTAATGCTTTTGAAAAGAGCAGTCAAAATGATGTATTACCTGCTCCTTGAAAAAATATATAACCTTTGTGTTTTAACACTTTAATAATCTAGTGCTGCATAAAATTTAGGAGCTTTAGTGCTTAAAGCAAACAAAGAAAATAAAAACTAGGAACTGCTTTTCTATGCTAAATGAAATACAGTAGTTAAAATATTTCATCACGAGATATTATAATTGTTTTGAAAATTATGCCTATATATGACCATTGTAACATTGTATAGAAAGGAGTTTTTTAAAAAAATGCAAAGTTAATTTTTTGGCATCTAGTTTATGAACCATATATGTAATTGATTTCTCTGATACGAGAATGGTAGTTTTTAAAGATTTGTTTTTCTCCCACCTACATAGTGTTTCTTTCCTCAAAGACACATTATGTATTGTTTGCTCTCTAGTTTCCACATGAGAGGCATTAGTCAGAAGTCTGATAATTCTGGTGCTTGTTATTAAGAGCTGTTTGTGCTGGTCAAACTTGTAGAAGCTGAAATTTAATTTAGTGGGATTTAGTTATGCAGGTTTCTTGGGATCCCTTATGTTGTCTCTTTAGATCTTCTTGTTCTGGTCAGATTTCTCAGAGAAGTGTCTTAAAATATTTCCCAGAAGGTAATAGTTTGGCTATGTGTGTTTTGTGAACTGAATGGGAGATGAGGCCTTAGGTGGTCTGAATCAAATATGCATAGTATGATTTTAATCTTCCATCTTCATACCTATGTTTGGTGCTTTGTCCTCTTCAGAGACAAGTTGTCTAGGCAGAATTCTATTGCAGTGGTGGAGTGACAATTTGCATTCAATTCTTCTTATTTTTGCCCTTCCTCATCTCTCCATTTACACTTATCGAGGTACCAGGAGCTGCTGATTTCTTTGCCCATTTTTAAGTTGGATTGTCTTCTTATTACCGAGACTTAAAAACACTTCATGTATTCTGAATACTAGACTTAACCCGATATATATGATTTGCTGCTGTTTCCTACCATTTTGTGGATTGATATCTAAGGCTGTACATTTCTTTCCAAACACTTCTTTGGTCATATCTCATATTTTTTTTTCTATATTGTTAGGTTCTACTTTATTCTTTTGAAAAATTATTCTCTATCCCCCAACCCCGACTTTGGTATTGGGGATTGAACCCAGGGGCGCTCTGTCATTGGACTACAACCCCACCCCCAATATATTTTTATTTTTTTTCCCTTTTTTTCCGGTTATTGGGTATTGGGGATTGAATTTAGGGGCATGTAACCACTGAACCACATCCCCAGCCCCCCCCCCCCCCCCCCCCTTTTTTTTTTTTTTTTTTTAAATTGTTGGTTTTGAGACAGGGTCTTGCCAAGTTGCTGAGCTGGCATTGAACTTGTGATCCTCCTGCTTTATCCTCAGGAGTAGCTAGCATTACAGAGTTCTTAATTTTTAAAAGTTTCTGCTAGGATTTTTAACAACCTCTGAATTTCTAACCCATAGTGTTTTTTTGGGGTGGGGAGTGCTGGGGATTGAACTCAGGAGGCACTTGGCCGCTGAGCCACATCCCCAGCCCTATTTTGTATTTTATTTAGAGACAGGGTCTAACTGAGTTGCTTAGTGCCTCATTTTTGCTGAGGCTGGCTTTGAACTTCTGCCTCAGCCTTCTGAGCTGCTAGGATTACGTGAGTGTGCCACCATGCCTTGCACCCATAGTATTTTAAAATGTCTACATTTTTGTAGTTGTGGATTATCTTTTTAAGTTGGTTTCTAGTTTTATTTATTTTGTGACAAGTGATTGTGGTCTGTGTATCAGTTCTTTTAGTCATTGCTGAATTTACTGTGTACTCTGGCATTTAACAAATTTTTATAAATTTCCAAGTACACTTAAAATTATAAATATTCTAAATACATCTAATTGGTGAATGTTATTTATGTGTTCCTGCCTCATGTTTGTTGATTATATTGTTAAAATTTTTTACTAATTTGTTTTTATTGGCCTCTAGGCAGGAGTTAATATTCTCTAAAATAGTTGTGGGTTTGTTAGTTTCTCTGTGTCATTCACGTAGATTTTTCCTTTTGTGTTTTGAGTCTGTTGTTGTCTGCACACAAGTTTGTTAATTATTTTCTTCTTGGAGAGCCTATCATTCTTCTAGCCCAGAAGAGAAAAGATTCTTATTTCTCCTTGTGAGTTATCCTTTTCATTGAGGTTAAAGACTTCTTAGGATCTCTGCTTTGGGGGGAATCTCAGTTTCATCTCTGAGCTTGTGTGTACCCAACACTGATATCAGTAATGAGAATCAGGGCCAAGTCCAGTTTTCCTGATGTTGAAGATTGAACACCAGAGAAATGCCAGGCAATCACAGAAAGCAAGTTTTTTTTTTAAAGGATAGAACAAAGATATACTTCACCAAAGAGAAGGGGATGGAGAGCTAGGTATCCAAGGAAGTAGGGGTGTCTTGCCCCTTTTATACATTTTAGATTTTCTTTGTTCTTGTGTTCTCTCCTCCCTCTATTCTGCCTACATGACCCAAAAGGTGATCCAGAGGCCTGAAGAAGAGGCTCTGGGGTAGAGGCAGGAAGGGAGTCACCCTGGGGCTACTCATTAATTTCTTACTGTGAGGAATAATTCTCTGGAGGCAGGTAACCCTGGCAACTGGTGGAAGAGGGGGAAGTGCTCAGGAGGTATTAACATTTTATTTCCTTTTGTCTGACCCCATCATTAATTACCTACAGTTCTTTTGCCTGTAGGCCTCAACACCTTGTTCTCTGCCTAATCAAGGACTTTAAAACCATTGGCACAATGGTAGTGCTTGTTGTTAATTCCTTCTTTTTTTTTTTTTTTTTCCTGGTTTCTGGGAAGTTCCATTTTTTTTTTTTTGGTGAGGTCTTAAATATATGTTCAAAAGAATACATTTTATATTTCATGCAGCTCTTCCAGCCAATGGGAGAGTCTTCAGGTTATCTATTTTGATTATTTGTTAGAACTGGAAATTTCTTTGTCTGAGTACTTTGCTTTGTCATCTTTTAGTTAGAATTCTTTTTTTTTTTTTTTTTGATACAGAGTCACACTGTTACCCAAGTGGTTGGTCTCAAGCTCCTGGGCTCAAGCCACTCTCAGTAGCTAAGACAACAGGCACATACCACTGTGCCCATTAACATTTTTGTATTCAAATTTCTTTCTAGTGTTTGGCTTAGCTCTTTCTATTCATTTTTATCCAATAAGAAAAGCAAATAGTAATGCTCATTGTGTGGAGATTAGATTTCTGTTTGGCATCTTAAAGCAATTATGATTAAAAATAGTACTGCATACAAAAAATGTGACAGATATTGATAAATCACTATTTAAACCACAGTTTAATTCTGAGTCTGTCATCTAATTTTGGTTTTATTTTTACAGTTTAAAACAGAGTGGGAAATTCCCTGGAAATCCCTGGCCACCTTATAAGAAAAGGTCATCACTTCATCCCAGCTATAAAGGTCTCATGAGACTTTTGCACTGTAAAACTTTACACATTGTGCTATTCACTCTACTTTACAAGGTACAGTAGTAATTTAAGATTACTTAATTAAGTAATTTAAGACTTAGGTTAGAATTTATTTTCATAATTTTTGAAAAAAAATACTGAAGGGTAATATTTAAATAAAAGTAACACTCATAAAGCAAAGCATATTGATGAGTATGATGTATGTAAAATGTATATGGGTATGTTATAATAGTATGTGTGTGAATTCGAAGTTGAAAATAATGAAATAGCTACACCATTTTTCGTGGTGTATTTAGCTTCAGGTATACTTATTTAGCTTCAAGTATAAGTGTTAGGTTTTAGCTTCTATAGAACAAGAAGTGAATGATGCAGAACAAAGAAATTATGGAATGAGCTAAGGAACCAAACAACCCATAAACCCACTAGAATGATGTAATTAAAAATGGCAATTACGTGGGCTAGTGACCTTAGTTTATGGTGCTTCTTTGTGTTTTTTTTTAACCTCTGATTAGGAGTATGATATAGAGGGATTTGAGTCATATCTCTGATGTTTCTGGTAGACATCTTAGCAACCTAAACTATGTTTTCATGTTATTTAGAATTTGTTTTATTCTAGGGTTTTCTTTTCTTTTCTTTTTTAATATTTATTTTTTAGTTGTAGTTGGACACAATATCTTTATTTATTTATTTATATGTGGTGCTGGGGAATGAACCCAAGGCCTTGCCCATGCTAGGCAAGCACTCTATGCTGAGCCACAACCCCAGCCCCTATTCTTGGGTTTTCTCTGGCACAACTGGCTGATTTATTTTACTAACATTTATTATGTACTAAAAAATTTTATGAAATGTGACATTTTTAGAAAGTTGTATATATATATATAAACACAAACAAATATATAACTTATGATCTAACTTAGATAAGAGATGAAAGAAAATAACTATCCCCAGCTTATAGATAAAATAAGTATTAACATCTATAAAATATAACTGTAAACCATGATAAATGCTATGCAATTAGATAAAATGAAACCTATCATTGCTATTCCTATTTAAAATTTGAAAAATTAAAAATTTAAAGAAATTTAAAAGAAAACTACACATATTTGTAATATAGATTTCCAATTGCTTATGTACAAATATTTTTAATTAAGAAAGTATAAATTTAATTAGATATGTTAGTCTTTCTCCTCATGTTTGCTTTGCCCCTCGTTAAGTCTCACTCATGACCAATTTTTATTTTACTTTTAAAAGTTATGCTGCTTTCGGCTGGAGTTGTGGCTCAGTGGTAGAGCGCTTGCCTAGCATGTGGGAAGCCCTGGGTTCGATTCTCAGCACTGCATACAAATAAATGAGTAATAAAAGGTCTATCAACATCTAAAAAAATTTTTAAAAAAGTTATGCTGCTTTAATTAAGATTTTAAACTAGTGCTTCAATAAATGCCTGGAAAGGTTTATTTTAACTACTTCCCAAGAGGATTCTTCAGTAAAATGATTTAAAATCTCTTTTTCTTCATGAAAAAAACATTAAATATCTTTTATTGAAAAGCTATTTGTATTTATTTTACAAATAACATACATTATTTGAAGGTATTTTTTTAAAAATTAGTTTTTTTTACTTATACAGGATAGCGGAATGTGTAACTCATATTACATATATAGAGCACATATTTTTTTATATCTCTGGTTGTATACAAAGTATATTCACCTCAATTCATGTCTTCATACATGTATTTTGGATAATAATGTCCATCACATTTCACCATCATTTCTAACCCCATGCCCCTCCCTTCCTTCCCACTCCTCTGACCTATCTAGAGTTCTCTATTCCTCCCATGCTCCTCCTCCCTACCCCACTATGAATCAGCCATCTGGTATCAGAGAAAACATTTGGCATTTGTTTTTTTTGGGGATTGGCTAACTTCACTTAGCATTATCTTCTCTAACTCTATCCATTTACCTGTAAATGCCATGATTTTATTCTCTTTTGTTGCTGAATAAAATTCCACTTTTTTTTTTTATCCATTCATCTATTGACGAGCATCTAAGTTGGTTCCACAGTTTAGCTATTGTTAATTCTTAGTGCTAGATTTTCTTTCAAGTACTTTAAATGTACTTGTAGACATAAATCTAGCAAAAATTCTTATGGTAAAAGTTCTGTTATTATTCATGTGTTTCAATATGATCACTGGGCTCAGAAGTTAAATAACTATTCCAAATGGAGAATTGAATACTCTTATCAATAATAATTAATAATTAATTTCACCTTACCGCAAGTAATTTATGTTCTTTTGAGTTAACATTTTTTCAACTTAAAAAATTTGATTAATGTAAATGTTTATTACAAAATAATAAGGTATTGCTTTAGTTTTCCAAGACTGTTATAAGCAAATTTAAAAAATTTTAAATGTATTTGTAATAGCTTTCCCGACTTCAGCAAGTATAATAAAAAAAATTTATCTGATATTACATTATCAAATCAAGTTTCTCTACATCAGTGATAGTAAACCACTTTCATTCCTTGCCATGTTTAATACTTACAATAAAGAAGAATAATCTTTTTTTTTGTAGCCCTTAGAAAATGAATTTCCTCCCTTAGTCTTTAAGTTATTCTTTTAAAACTGTAATACTGCAGAATTTCAAGTCAAAATTTATTTGCATTTAGCTGTTTCATTACCAAGAGGAGGCAGTATAATAATGATAGGCAATGGCCTGGGAGTCTCAAATCTGTGTTCTCATGTTGCTTTCACTAGCTGGGTGTGTTGCTGTGTCTTGGTTTCCTCTCTACAATGTAGTGGTTTGGAAAGGATGACCTTATTGACTCCTAGCCTTCAGTCCCATCTTTTTCTGCTCCTGCTTCTCATACCATAGGTGCCACTCACCGACTATTTGTTGAACAATAATTGTTAGATACTATGCTAAGAAAATGACAGATGTTATTCATGTAATCTTCACAATATTTTCTGGACAATTTTTCCAGATTTAGAAATGAAAACTAAGGCCAGAATCTGTTGGTATAAGTCAAATAGTGATGGATAGAATTTGTGTTAAAAATCAGTTTTTAAAAGCTTTTGAAAAAGCCTACGCTCTTCACCATTTATCACAACACAAGAGATGAATGGAAAAGCCCTCGCAGTAGTCAAAGTAAGCAGTAGAAAGTCAAAGCAGTAGAAAGTCTATTACAGTAGATTGGGTCTTAAGTGATGAAGTCCTCCTTTCCTAGTCCTTTCAGCTATTTGTGCAATTTCTGTGAGGCTCTGGTTACCCTGTCCTTTGCTGTCTCATTCACTGTTGACATTGGCACTCACTTCAGAAACTTTTTTTTTTCTGTTAGTATCTTTATTGTTTCCTTTTGTGTACATTCTATAGATTTAATTTGCAGTTCTTTTTATAATTTCTCAAGATAATTTTTAGCTTTTAAATTTACAACCTTAAAATATATTTATCATAACATTTAATACATTTAAAAAAAATTGTTACTTTAGCTATATCCACAACATCTATTTATTTATTTGTTTATTTATCTATCCATCCATCCATCCATTCATCCATCCATCCATCCGTCCAGATATGTAATTAGAACAAAATGATAGCTACCAGCTCATTTTTGGGGTAGTATTTTAGTTGTTTTCAGATTAGTGGTCACTTATATCACATTAAGTTACTGATTGGTATGGCTAATCCTGAAATCTTGTGTCAGATATGTTAAGTCTTGTATAATTCATGTATAAGGTCTGACTTATCAGATTTTTCTCAGGGAAGCCTTTGTAACCACTCCCATTCCCTTTGTTTGTTTATTTATTTATTGTATTGGTGATTGAATTCAGGGGTGCTCTAGCTTTGAATTACATAACCAGCCCTTTTAATTTTTTGAGACAGGGTCTCACAAACTTGCTGAGGCTGGCCTTCAATTTGTGATCCTCCTGCTTCGGCTTTGCAAGTCACTGAGATTATATGTGTGTGCCTCCATGCCTGGCTTCCTTTTATCTTTCTCAACATATAAACCCCACATTGACATATGCATTTATACATCTCCACACAATACTCAGAGGTTCAGACCTTTAATTCTAAGAACATTAATGTTTCATAAGCATTTATTGTGCTCCCAATTATATGCTAGGTATTATGCTAAACACATTGGCATTTGCATAAATAATCTATTTAACAAATTTATTTATGTGATATCCTGGTCTTCAGGAAAAGAGTGTCAGAAAATTAGGATATTAAGTATTTTTGTTAAATTATTTTATTAAGCCAGGAATGGTGGTGTCATCTATAACTCTAACTACTTGGGTGACTGAAGCAGGAGCCCATGAGTTCAAGACCAACCTAGGCAATATAGTAAGGCTACCATTTAAGAAAAATATTTTATTAAGTAATGGCATATGGATATTAGTGATTTTAGTGAGTTATTTAATGAGTTAATCTTTAATCTGCAAGATAGTGCTAAAGTACCGGGTATTCTATAGAGGAAATGGCTTTTTGATTTTAGCTTATTTTCTTACCAATGTGTAATATGTGTCTGATTTTATGTATTTAGTTATGTCATTTCATCTTTATTAAAATTTTTTGTCTTTATGTGAAATGTTCTGTGGAAAGAGACAATTTTGAGATAATTTTTTTCTTTTTTAAAGATTTTGATGGATCATCAAAATTTGTCAGAACATGTACTCTGCATGGTTTTATATCTGATTGAGTTAGGACTTGAAAATTCTACTGAAGATGAATCAGATGAAGAGGTAAGTAATTTCTTATATTTAAAAATTTTTAGATAGGAATAAACCTTTCTCCGGCTGTAGGTAATTGTTGCCAGGCCAGTGTTTAAATGAAGTATATTTATGAATTCCTTATACATAAATAAGATCTTCTGAAGAGCTACTTTTATAGAAAACACCTTTTGGATTTTCAAATGTATACTGTCTTTTAGTACTTTTGTTGATACTTATGGAAATACTTTCTTATGGAATTATTGGAATTGAAATTTTTCATTCATATCAAATTGGTTTATGTACTTTTGGTGTTATGGTGAGAAATTGGCTGCTGGGAAATAATCATTAAGTTAGAATTTCACTCTAGATAGTCTAATAATTTGATTAGGGATTATTTTTGAGAATAAAAGAGTTCACAATGGCCTAAAGTTATTCAAAGAGAGGTAGATGTGTATATTTGCATTAACTGGCAGCCTGGCTTTATAGAAAAGGGAAAACAAAAATCACTTTGAAGTATTTGGGTATGTGAGTATTTGATTAATCTGGTTAATTTAAAAAATTCCTTGTACTTTTTAAAAACAAGTAATTTAAGATTAATTTTAAAGAAAATTTGCATTATTGATTCTAATAAAATTATTAGCATAATTATTGTTGAGAACCGTATTATTTCTGAAAAGATATTAAGGTAAATTATTAAGTATACAAGTTGTTAATGTATTATTGGATTTTAGAATTATTTCCAACAAAGCAATTCTTACACAAATTATTTTTACAAACATAAAATGATGTAATTTTCCAAATGTAAAAGACAAAAATCTACCTCTCCACAGGAAAAATATAGCACAGCATAACAGCCTCTCTCCCAAAGTAAACTAAATAGTACTTTGTAGTCCAAGGGGAATCAACATATATTCTTTTGTGTGTATTAAAAGATCATTAAGATTCCTCTAAGACTATGCCATATTTTTGGTTAATGTTTTAGACGTTCTTCCATAATTAGTTCACGGTAGCATTTAATTGTATTATGAGTTATTACTAATGGGTGATGACAAATATTCTGAAATGTTAAGTGTTTCCAGATTGACAAATATTTTCTTTAAATAGTTTGCTGATTTCACTAGATTTAGCCCTATTAGTATTGAGAAATGTATTATTGTATTTCATGTTTCAATTTGGTTTTATTATTTAAATTTAAATTTATTCACTTTTTAATTTGTGGATTTAGGAGTTTGACAGACATGGATGATTATTTGGTCAGTTACATTTTTATTGTATCTTAGATCTGAAGTGACAAACATTCATATTCTTTATTTTTTATATTTTAGACATCAGTGGGTGGACCAGAGCGTTGTCATGACAGTTGGTTTCCTGGAAGTAACTTAGTATCTAACATGCGACACTTTATAAACTATGTTAGAGTGAGGGTTCCAGAGACTGCTCCTGAAGTGAAGAGAGATTCACCTGCAAGCACTAGCTCTGATAACTTGGGTTCTTTACAAGTAAGTGTGAAATTAAGGAGGTGGGTGGGAGAAAAGGAAAGGAAAAGTTTTATGTTTAAGTGTTAAGATATATTGTTTAGATCCCCTATGATGTTGAAAGAAAAAAAATGTAATTATAGGTAACTTTACATTGTCTTCTGTTTCCTCTGATATATCTAAGCAAAGTCTGTCTCACTAGTCTTTTTCCTTTAACCTGCCAGAGTTCACGACGACCTAAAGTTCTTCAAAGAGAGGTAGATGTGTATGATATGTGTATTAACTAGCAACTTGGCTTTAACTGGAAATGGAAAAAATTCACATTGAAAGTATTTGTGTGTTTGTGTGTGTATTTGATTAATATGGTTAAATTTTTGAAAAGTTTCTTTGTGTGTGCTTTTTTAAAAAACTAAAGTAATTTAGGCTTTTTTTGAAAAAATTGATATTATTGATCTCAAAAATAAAATAATATTGAGCATTCAATAGTGTATTTTTCATATTAGTGTTAGACATGTTTTGAATTAATGATAGGCAGCATATTTGGGTCTGTATTACTAAGATCTTAAAAATGACTGTTTTCTAAAAAAATAAATTTAGTTTTTGGCAGCATGCCCATTTAAAAATATTTTTTTGGCTTCTATGAGAATTAATCAACTTTGATAAAATAAGTACATAAAATCTTAAACTAAATATATTGTATATTTAGATTCATTTTGAAATACAGCTGCCATTGCATGTAGCTTAATTAATTTTAAAGAGCAAAAAAAAAAAAGTCTTGAAATAACATGCCAAGTAACTAAACTTGAACAGTTACATTCCTTTAATCTAGATTTTTGTGAGAAGACAGCATTAAAACAGATATTTCTCAGAGTAGAGTCTAATTGTAAGAACTTTTTTTCATAGCATGTTTTTGCTGTGAGCATCATAAAGGATTTTAATTAAAACCATAAGAGTAAGCTTTTGCCCTCTAATGCTGGCAGGGAGTACTTTAACAAACAGCTTGGATGTTAAAAAATAATGTATACTATAATTTGACTTACAAAAATTCAACTGATATTGAAGCATCCTCTCTGTGCTCAGTTTAAAAAACTAATGAAGTCCATTAAACTGACTCATATCTTAATTAAAAGATGAGTTCTAAGAGCCCTAATGCAACTTGGGGTTTAGCAAAAAGACTGTTTAGAAGATAAGTAATTGAGAATAACACTTAGTTAAAAAAAACTTCAAATAATAAATCACAGTGATATTCAAATGTAAAACAAAATCAGTTTGATCTTTCATCCTTATATTGTAGTTTAATAACTTTAAGCATTTGTTAGAAGTAATTTTCAAATTTTTGAAGTTCCTTAAAAGTGAAATTAATTACCAGTTCAGATTCTTTAACTTAGAAAATTAAATTAACTTATAATTTTCTTAACTGGAAACTGTAGCAGTCTTCCAGAAGTTAGTAAAACATAATTTTCCTTATGAATGCTGAATAGAACAGATTTTCTTCCATTAAACAGGAGAAATTTAATTTATGATTTTTTTCTTTAACATGGGTATTGGTACTACTTAAGATTGTTTTCCCCCCACTGATTGATAGGCTAAGGAGGTTTAGAAAGTGATGTTATTTCTGATAAGTCTTCTTTTTTCTTTTCTTTTCTTTTCTTTTTTTTTGAGAGAGAGAGAGAGAGAGAAAGAATTTTTTTAATATATATTTTTTTTAGTTTTCTATTTGTATGTGGTGCTGAGGATCGAACCCAGCGCCGCGTGCATGCCAGGCGAGCGCGCTACCGCTTGAGCCACATTCCCAGCCCAAGTCTTCTTTTTTCTTATTGGTGTTTCCAGATTGAGTGGAACTCAATTTATTTGAGAAAGAGAGGTGAAGAAGGATCAGATTTATTTAAGAGTTAATCAGTGTAATAAATCTCTTGATGAAACTTTGAGCATTCCCTTTGAAAAATATATTAATGTATTTTTAGAGTTGATACTGAATAACTTCTCTTGATTTTTCTTTTTTTCTCATGTCTACTGGTAGAATTCTGGTACAGCTCAAGTTTTCAGCTTAGTAGCAGAACGTAGAAAGAAATTTCAGGAGATCATCAATCGTAGTAACAGTGAAGCAAATCAGGTGGTTCGTCCCAAAACTTCAAGTAAATGGTCTGCTCCTGGTTCAGCTCCCCAGTTAACGACAGCCATTTTGGAAATTAAAGAAAGTATATTGTCTTTGCTAATTAAGCTTCATCACAAACTCTCAGGAAAACAAAACTCCTACTATCCTCCTTGGCTGGATGACATTGAAATTTTAATTCAGCCAGAAATTCCTAAATACAGTCATGGAGATGGTATAACTGCAGTAGAAAGAATTTTACTAAAAGCTGCATTGCAAAGCAGAATGAACAAACGTATCATTGAAGAGATATGTAGAAAAGTGACCCCACCTGTACCACCCAAAAAAATCACTGCAGCAGAGAAGAAAACCCTGGATAAAGAAGAAAGGTAACTTTTATTTTCAATGTTTTAAATATGTATGGTACAGTTGAAGATTTGATTGTTTTTTTCTCCTTTTACATCATCTGAGACCTGATTGTTTTAGCAATAACAATAATTGCTGATTAATTTGTAAGACAAATGAAATTGAACATAGCACTTATATGCGTAGTATGATGTGTTACTAGGGGGTGAGAAGATGAGTTTCTGACCTCACTATGAAATTACTACTTTAAACTTGTAGGCTTCTTCAGAAAAATTACTATAATTCTTATTGTTATAAGAATCTAATAATTCTGTTGGTATTGTGAGAAAGTATTATCAGTTCAGTGATAAATGAGAATAGAAAAAAATTGGAAGACTTTTAAACATTTCTCAAAATAATAAAAATCTAATTACTCTTGTTTTTTTATAATTTTTATCAATATATAACTACTATTTATTAAAAAGGTAATGTTTTTAAACACACTTATGCCTTAGCTTTTGGAGTTTTAGGTTGCTTCTAATTTGCTGTTGAGTCATAGTATTTATAAATCTTTTCCTTTTGCTTTATCTTTGACTTTCTTCCTTGGAATGATGTTTTTATAAGTGGAGTTTGTAGGTAATGAACTGTGGTATGGTTCTTGGCACATGCTTCTTGCTAAGAGCTATATTCAAGTTATGTTACTATGCATTATTACCAGCTGTTTTCCAACAGACTTGTTACCATTGCCTACCTTGTTTGTCAAAAACATGACAAATGACAAGATGAATCTTGAGAGATTGCAACTCAGTGTGATTGTCAATCCTTTAGACCGGATTAGTATTTATTAGAAAAACCAAAAAAACAAAAATAACTTCTAATGAATACAGAGAAGACTAAAAGGACCAGATTATTAAAACATTTTTTTAGATGAAATTCAAGAGTGCGATTGCTTACTTACTTTTTGAGCTTTTAAATAATATTCATTGGTTTAATTTCTCTAAAACAAATTTGTCTACTAAAGCAATAAAGCAAAAATTAAAAAAATAAGAAGAAAGCAACAAAGGAAAATTATAGGTGAAATATATACTTTCCTTTATAGAGTTGAAAAGGATCATCTCAATGTTATTTTATTTTAAAAAAATATTTATTTATTTTTTTTTAGTTATAGGTGGAACCAATGTCTTTATTTTACTTTATGTGGTGCTAAGGATCAAACCCAGTGCCTCATGCATGCCAGGTGTGCACTTTACCTCTGAGCCACAACCCTAGCCCTCAATGTTATTTTAATCAAGAACCTTGCACTTTTGTCATATCCTCTTTCATACAGATAAAAATCATTCTTGGCACATTGTTAAATGGACTACTGTTGTGAGCTACATGAGCAACACATTACTTTTTTTTAGTTGTAGATGAACACAATATCTTTATTTTTATTTTTTTATGTGGTTCTGATGATCGAATGCAGGGCCTCATGCGTGCAAGGCAAGCACCCTACCACTGAGCTACAACCTCAGTCCTCCTGCAATACATTTGATAGTTTGAAGTGTTTTTTAGAGGTATTTTCTGGAGTTATTTTCTCTTCTGATTACTTTTAAAATTAAATATAGATATTAGGGGTTGATTATCAGTGGAAGCCAGCCTCAGGTAGATTTTATACTAGTGATACATTTTCCATTCATCAAGTATCATTCAGGATCTTCTCTGGATAGGAACTATGTCCAACGTTGAACTCCCTGACCTTGAGGAATTAATACTATAGAGGGAGACAGACTAGTAAACAAATAGTTGTTAGTGTAATAAATACTGTGTTAGGTGTACAGGGTATTAATGGGAATAGCAGGATATAAAAAGCTAAGAAGGTAACCAGATATAATAATTAATTTGGTACTTAAGGTGTAAATGGTTACAGAGAAACCATTGAAAGATTTTTTTTTGTTTTTAATAAAGGAGTTAATTTTCTTTCAATCCTATATAAAACAATAGCAATTAAAAACTTCATTTTTGAAAGTAAAATATTTACATATGAACAAGTAACTGTGCAAAATTTACATGAAAAAATGGAAAGACAGGGATTTTCCTAAAAGATAAAATAAAAGGTGTAACCATTGAAAGATTTTAAAGAAGGGAATAATATGTAGTGTAATCACGTGCAAATTGAGTTGAATGTGGTCAGACTGGAGATTGGGCTACAGAGCTATTTAAGAATCTAGGAGAGCAGGTGTAGTGAGGGTAAATATAAAAATAGGAGAAGATGTATATAAGCTATTTAGCAGCTTCAGATTGTTAGACTTTGTGATCAATTTGATGTGGGAGATGAGGGAAAATTTATGATTTATTCCTAGAGTTGTAACTTGGATGATGTTCCTGTTTACTATGATAAGGAGTTATAATAGAGTGCTAAAGCTTTGCTGTAACATTGATAATTCAGGTCATTACTGAGTTTAGGAAGACATCTGGGTGAAGATGCCTACTTAGATAAAGAGTTTGTGACTTAGGGGACAATTCTTATCTAGAGCTACAGATATTTTCATAGAGGTTAATAGTGGAAATCTTGTATATGGGAAAGAATGCATATAAAATAATAAAACTGAATGTCAAACTCAAGGAAAAAACATTAAAGCAAATGCTTGAGGAATGGGTACCTACAATGTGACTTAAAAGGGATGGCTAGAGTGAAGTGGTAGGAAAACTGGGATGAGTGGCATTAGAGAAGGCATCATAGGAGGAAGCTTAGAAAGAAGAAACTTAACAAGATTGTTTGCTGCTGCAAGAGGTCAGATAAGATTGGCAGCCCATTAGATTTGCTGATTAGGAGGTCATCCTTTGGATATTACATTAGGAGAAATATTAGTTATGTATGTAGTTGTACTTCATTTCTGATATTTTAAAAGTCAGTTACAGGGCTGGGGTTGTGGCTTAGAGGTAGAATGCTCACTTAGCATGCATGAGGCTTGATCCTTAGCACCACATAAAAATAAAGGTATTGTATCCACCTATAACTAAAAAAAAATTAAGTAAAAAAGTTACAGAAAATTCATATTAAGATATACATAGAAGTCTATAGGAGATTAAAAATTTAGAAGCTTTTCTGTTTCTTTTTCATAGAATTGTACTTTCAGATATGACTTATAAAGAACTAACATAGTTTAGGTGTCAGCTTACTACTTTTTGTATTAGTAACTGCCCAGAATTTAATACATAGCTACTGTTGATACAGTTAGAAGGTTGGAAACAAGGTTAAGGTTTTTTGTTTGATTTTTTTTTTTTTTTTAACAGTACCAGGGATTGAGCCCAGAGGTGCTCTACCACCGATATACATCCCTAGCCTTTTCATTTTTTATTTTGAGACAGGGTCTCTCTAAGTTGCCCAGGCTGACCTCAAACCTGTGATCCTTCTGTCTCAGCTTCCCAAGTTGCTGAGATAACAGACATGCATCACCATGCTTAGCAAGACTTTTATTTTTGTTAACTTCTTCTAAATTAATGGTCTTTCCTTTCAATTATGTAATTTATTTGAACATTCAGTGGATCAGAGTTTATTTTATGTGGTTAATGGTATCTTGTAATTATTATTAATAATAGATGTAATATTGGAGGATATAATTTAGATACTATATGAGGCCCTAATGCTCTTGTATTAAATAATACTCAAAATTTTAGACTTTTTTTGTGATAGGTTTTGTTTCCTTTGAGCAGTAGTGATATTGACATGTACTTGAAATGAATTATGTAGCAGATAGAATGAAGATGAATTTGAATCTTGCTGTGCTTCTCATTTGTCCTTTCTCTATTTTGGATTATGTTTCACAATAAAGGCAGATCAGTTTATAAACACTTAATGATGATTCATTTCTATGTGCCTCATCTATAGACAAACTTGGCATCACTTTCATAATAGATTAACTCCTTAGAAAACAAGATACAAACCAGAAACTTTAGATGGTTGTAATAATATACACTTTCAGTGTCTTCATCTCCAGGATAATAATGGAAAATTTTGATGACGTAGGCAGTCTATCTTTTTGTTAATGGTCTTTATTTACATTTATGCTCAATTTTAGTAAGTAATAACCTAAATTAAGAAAAAAAATTATAGGGGCTGGAGTTGTAGCTCAGTAGTAGAGCAATTGCCTACATGTGTAAGGCACTGGGTATGATCCTCAGTATCACATAAAAATAAACAAAATAAAGATATTATGTCCATTGGCAACTAGGAAAAAAAAAAGAAAGAAATTTACAACAGTGACATTCCATTTCTAGTTACAAAGCTGGTACAGAAATGCATTTTTAATTCTAATGCCAAGCAGTTATACTTGAGGTTTTTAAAATTTGATATATAGATTATTTTGTGGGGGGTGGTGGGTGGGTACTGAGGATTGAACTCAGAGGTACTCGGCCTCTGAGCTCCATACCCACCTCTATTTTGTATTTTATTTAGAGAAAGGGTCTTACTGAATTTCTTTGTGCCTTGATTTTGCTGAAGCTGGCTTTGAACTCTCGATCCTTCTGTCTTGGCCTCCCAAGCTTCTGGGATTACAGGCATGTGCCACCATGTCCTGCTTGATATATAGATTTGTTATTTGAAATATAGTGTTCTGAACATATTTATTCTAAATATAAATATCTTTCAGAATGCTGAACATCTATAGGACATTTTTTGTTTGTTGCAATTTCCTTTGTGGCAGATGTTTGAGGATGAAATTAATTTTTATGAATTTTTTATTTTAAAGTAATCTTAAACTTGAAATATTTCAGGGGAATTATAAGGAACTTCTTGAATCATTTCAGAATAAGTTGCTGGTGTGGTTCACCTTTATTGTGGAATATTTTACTATGCATTTCCTAGAAATAAGGACCTTTTCTTATATAACCAGGGCGACTATCAAAATGAGGAAATTAATCTGGGCACAGTGATGCCAGTTACTGTCCCAGTTACTTGGGAATTTGAGGCAGAGGGATTTCTTAAGCTCAGGAGTTTGAAACCAGCAAAGCAGCTTTGGCAACGTAGTAAGACCCTCATCTCAAGACAAAGCCAAGAAAAAAAAAAGTTTGTGATTAAATCCTTAATTAAATTCTTTAATTGTATTATTTTTGTCTCCTTCAATGTGAAATAGTTTCCTCAGCCTTTCCTTAATTTTTGTTGACTATGACAGCTTTGAATATTACAGGGCAGTAGTAGCATTGTAGAATGTACCTCAGTTTAGGTATGCCATCCTTTATGTTGGATTTAGGTGGTGCCTATGTGGCAGGAATATCAATGAAGAATTGCTGTTTTGTTTTCATTGTATCCCATCAGGTGGTCCATGATTTCAGTTTGTTTCATTACTGATGATTACATTTGATTGTTTTAAGGGGTGTCTGCCAGAGTTCTTTACTGTTAAGTTACCCTTTGCCACCTTTGTAATTAATATGCAGTTTGTGGAGATATACTCTGAGATACTGTACTATCCCTTCTCTTATCAGCTTTCAATATATGTACGTTTATTAGGGTTCCTGCTTTCTGTTTTATAATCTGATGTGCTCATATTCAGTTTGATGCTCAAATTGTCCCAGGTTTAGATCCTAGAAATTTCTTTAAGCTGGTTATATGCCCTTTTGATCTATAACTTTCACTCTTAGAGTATATTCTTATTTTTTTAATATTTATTTTTTAGTTGTTGTTGGACACAATATCTTTTGTTTTATTTATTTATTTTTATGTGGTGCTGAGGATTGAACCCAGGGCCTCGCATGCTAGGAGAGCGCTCTACCGCTGAGTCACAATCCTAGCCCGAGTATATTCTTATTTTGTGAGGCAATAAATTGTTCGAGGCTCATCTTGTACTTGAGGTCAGTCATTTGTCCAAAGAGTACTGGTTGCTTTTAGTAGAGAATGGTGTTTAGAAACCACAAGCCAATGTGTTTATTCTAATGAGGAATAGTTGTTTCGGGTCCTCTTAGTGGACAGAGCTGGGGAAAACTGTTTATTTGTATGTCTATGTGTGTGTGTGTGTGTGTGTGTGTGTGTGTGTGTGTGTGTGTGTTGGGAGCTGGAAGGAGGGGAGGAAGAATTATTCTTATGTCTGTTTATAATACTTAAAATTGCAATCTTGACACCATAGGAATCATTCTGTTTTTTCTCTTTCCATATTGTAATTCATTTCTACAGTGAGAAACCCAGCACCCATTATCCTCAATGTATATATTACTTTTTTGATAATTTCCCTTGTCTGTAATCAATTTCTTGCAATCTTTCCACACACCAATGCCCTCTTGTGCTAGGTTGTTGGATCCTGACACCCAGGGCTTGGTAACTCTAACCATTCTTTTTGTTTAGGAAAAAAGGGATATACTTAATGTTTTGAAATGATTGATGCCATTGAGAATTAAGTCTGATGAAGATGAATGATCAACTTTAATAATATTTTGACTCAAGAACAATGTAAAAGAGTTATAGCTATTATATAATAAAGCAAGTTTTCTCATGTGGATCCTAAATATCTGTAAATGTTAGAAATGTTAAAAAATCTTTTGAACATTATTGGCAAAAGTATGTAACTTCTGATAAGATGGACCAACAGTACTTTATAGTTCCTGATTATCTCTTTTAATTTAATGGGAGCAGATGTGTGAATAATCTAAAAATCACTGTTTGCATTTTATTCCTTTAAATTCTATTATGTCTTTGAATATCTTTCAGATTTATAGAAAAATACTTTGAGGTTTTTCACAGAAATGACTATAGCATCTCCATCTAACATAATACTTTGTCTTTTATAGTGTACAGGAATCATAAAGGGCTATTAAAATAAATTATTTTAATTTAGTCTACTATGTTATTATGTTTTTTGTTTCATGGGCTGTGATCAGTTCCTCTTTGAGTTTCATTCAACTAAAATGTTATCTTTCCTAAGGAGTTAATATAAAACTTATTTTTTAAACTTTTTTCTGGGCCTGGGGATGTGGCTCAAGCGGTAGCGCGCTCGCCTAGCATGCATGCGTGCGGCCCGGGTTTGATCCTCAGCACCACATACAAACGAAGATGTTGTGTCCGCCAAGAACTAAGAAAAAATAAATAAATGTTAAAATTCTCTCTCTCTCTCTGTCCCCCTCTCTCTCTCACTCTCTCTTAAAAAAAAAATAAAATAAACTTTTTTCTTTCCTCCTTCTTCCTCACTTCTTTTTAAATTACCATTTTAACCTTTTTTTATTGGGTATGAAATTTTATGTTCCCGGGGCTGGGTTTGTGGCTCTGTAGCAGAGAGCTTGCCTCTGACTTCTGGGGTACTGGGTTCGATTCTCAGCACCACATAAAAATAAATAAACAAAATAAAGATATTGTTGTGTCCTTATATAACTAAAAACAATTATTTTTATGTTGACTAGTATTGTTAGTGTTCAATTCTATCAGCTTTTTTTATTAGTTTACTTTCATTTTCTTATTTTTATGGTCCTATTGTATTACCTTTTTGTTTTGTTTTTGTAACCACTCTCAAATTAAAATATTCTTTAAAAGAAGATAAAAGTAGATAAGGTATAAATAATAAAGAGACCATAGTGAATTAATTCAAATGAATATTTATACTTGGGATATGTTTTTATTCTCTGTTGTGTTTGTTTCATATTCTTTTGCTTCATACAAACCAAATTAAACTTGGACTATGTCTTAGTAGAAACTAGGACATTTACTGGTTTTGCTCATTCTCTATTAGGGGAAACCTATTTTTATGATAAAAATAAATCTGATTATTCTTATCTTTTAGATTTTGTTTATATATAAACCTCATAGCTTTTTATAGCAACTGATTTACTGTCATTTGTGCCTGAGGTTAAATTGCTAGTCCCTTGCTGAAAAAGACTCTTGCTCTTCCTATCATAATACATATACTTAGGACATTGTTTTGTTGGAAATCAAATTTTCTACCAACCTTAATTATTAGATCACATTTAACGGTAAATCTTGGCTTTTATTTTTACTTATTGAGTGAGTGAGTTTGAAGCCTAAAGCAGTAGAATCCTTGGGAGAGTCAAGTCTTACATGAAATTTAATGCATAATGTAGAAAATAGATTGTTCTCCATTATTTGCAAGGATCTTTTCAAACATTATATACTACTCAAAGATAGTAGATTAGTTTTAAGCACATTTGGTACTCATAATTTATTTCTGTTTAATCTAGGCGACAAAAGGCTAGAGAGAGACAACAGAAATTGCTTGCAGAATTTGCTTCACGACAGAAAAGCTTTATGGAAACTGCAATGGATGTTGGTAAGTCAAAACTTTTTAGGTTAGAACTCTCATAGTCATTACATTAGGGATGATCTTGACCAATCTTCCATAAGTTTTAAATATTACAGACAGATGATTTCTAGTCTTTATGTAAACAATATAATGATGGAGGATTGATCTCTATTATAGACAGTTCATTCTGTGGTTGAATTGCTGCCATTGTGAGGAAGACCTTCCTGTTGGTAGCAGTACATAGAGAGTATGTTCCCTCTTTTCTATTAAACTGTCCCTCAGATTTCTGAGATATTGCTACAGATAAGGCACACTTCTTATTTTCATTCAGATTAGCATTTAGATTTCTACAATAAGAAGGAATGCCATGTTTCTGTATGATGGTAGGTTGCTCTGAGTAACCTTTTACAAACATTGAAGGAATGGATTAAATTAACCTTCAGTTAACCAGGATACTCCTTTCCATGACTTTTTACATTACAGTGATTGTTTTGCTTTGCTTACTTACAAAGGTTCTTTGCAAGCTTCTTTCTTTTTCCTTTTCTTTTTAGACAAAATTGATGAAAGAAAATAAGTTGTGACAGGAAAACAAAATGTCAGCAACCTTAACAATTTAAAAGAAAATAAGTAACTAACAAGTAGGTTAGCTTTTTCACTGCTGTGACTAAAAGACCCAACCATAACAATTGTAGAGGAGGAAAAGTGTATTTGAGAGCTCATGGTTTCAGAGGTCTCAGACCTTTGACAGTCAGCAGACACCATTCCTTGGGAATTGAGGTGGAAGAGTATGTATGGTGGAGGGAAGCAGAGAGAGAGACTAAGCTCAGATCACCAAATATATACCTCAGAGCCATACCCCCAGTGACCCACCTCTTCCAGCACACCCTACCTACCTTCATTTACCACTCAGTTAATTCCTATCAGGGGATTAATTCACTGATTGGGTTAAGGCTCTCATAACCCAATAATTTCCCCTTTAAACCTTCTTGCATTGTCTCACACAGGAGCTTTTGTGGGACACTTCTAACTATAATAAATCCTTACAAATATGTGCATTCAAACATATGTTTACATTTCCATTCATTTTTTTTTTTTTTTTTTTTTTTTGCCCCTAGAGGGATCTTTATTTATATACCTTTTTTACAGGTATTTTTTCAGGTAGTTAATGGATAGCTTCAAAGCCCGAAACTTCTTTGATTTACATAATTTTTAAGAGTTACAATCTTTTCTGACATACCTTGATTACCTAAGATATTGAGCACATTGTTCAAAATCTTTTTTCTATAACCTTAGCCAATCATGATTAAGCTTTTATGTTTTCACCTCAATCACTAGGTGCTAGGTGATGCAACTAGACTACATGTCTCCTGACTTATTATTCACTTCTAACTTTAAAGCATACCTATAGTTATTTCATTAACCTTTAACTTTAAAGCATACTTACGATTATTGGTAAGCTTTCTTATTTCTAAACTAAAATCCCAGTAAAACACACTTAAAATAGTGAAAGTCTGTTTCCATTCATTTTTGTACACATAAGCACATATCCAATGGCCAGAAGAGGTGTGAAGATGGGGTCAGTTCAGATGTAGCCAACTGTTTTCTAAATGATTGACATTGGGGTTTATGTTCAGGTCATAACTTTGATGGAAAGAATACTCGAATTCTGTTTGTGGAATTTACTTAGTATTAGTTGACTTTCTCATATGGAAGAAGAGGGTTTATCTATTTACAGTACTAACTTGATACCCTTTCATATAAAATGAACTAATAATCACTCCTATGCTTTTTTCATTTTTCCATTCCTCATCTCTATCTCTTGCTTTTTATCACCTACTTTTTAGTTACTTATTTACTTTTAAATTGTCAAGATTGCTGACATTTTGTTTTGCTGTCACAGACTTTGGATGGATAGAGTCTTCCATCCAAAGGTTGTCTCTAAAACAGTTAAGAGTATTTACATTAGTATGACTCTTTGGATGTTATTGAGTACAGGGTGAAGTAATACACTAGGATTTATTTACTGTTTTTGAATCCAAGTGGCTTGATTTAAGGAGACTGTCTTTAAAGTCCCTTTTCTTATAGGTCCTTGATTCCTAAACCCATATCAGCTAATGTTTGTATTTGGGCCAGGACTTTGTTATAGTGTCTTTTTTTTTTTAATCCTGGAGTTTCCAACTGCCCCTTTTGACTTTATTTTAAAAATTATAGCTGGATGCAGTGGTGCATGTCTATAATCCAGTGATTTGGGCGGCTGAGGCAGGAGGATTGCAGGTTTAGACTAGCCTCAAACTTAGCAAGACCCTGTCTCAAAAATTAAAAAGGACTGAGGATATAGTTCAGAGGTAAAGTGTCCTTGGGTTCAGTCCCGAATATCCAATCAATCAACTAACCAATCAATAAAATTGTATTGTTCCAAGAACTGCACTATGTTTATTCTGTCTCTGTCATTCTGCCCACTTAGTCATTCTGCCCTTTGCATGAAATACTTTTCCAGTGGGGTCCATGGTATGCTACATAGCCATTACCTTGAGATTTTTCTTATTGTTGGATCAATTTAGGTTTTTCTGTCTCTCATCTCTTTTCTTGGTCATGTCTTATTGGAGTATAGCCTCAAGTATATTATTACAAATATTCTTATAGAGGCATTCTGATTCTTTATATCTTTGAAAGAGAATTTACTCTGCTGTCATACTTGATTATTCATTTGGATGGATATTGAATGCCAGGTTGATTTTCTGTCACAATTGAAGGCATCACTCTCTTGTCTTTTACTATTCATTTGATGAAAATTCTAGTGGGAATCTCATTCTTATATCTTTGTAGGTGAATATATATTTTTCTTTCCCCATGATCCTTTTATGATCATCTGATTCTGTTATTTTTTAAAATACATTTTTTTAGTTTTAGTTGGACATAATACCTGTATTTTATTCATTTATTTTTATGTGGTGCTGAGCATCAAACCCAGTTTCTTGTATGTGCTAGGCGAGTGCTCTACTGCTGGGCTACAACTTCAGCCCTGATCATCTGATTCTTTGAAAATTTATGATTTGTTTCTATGTGATTTTGTTTTCTTCCTTCTTACAACTTTGTCTTTCCTCCTTAGTCTTTCCAGTCTGTAGATTCATATTTCTGAAGATCTGAGAAAAAATTTACTGTTATTTTTTGATCACTCATATAATCATCCTCTAGGATGGCCCTCAGTGACCCCCATCTCCTGGCATTTATGCCTTATGTAGTTTTCTTTATGACCACAAAGTGTGGCAGAAGAGATGGAATATTATTCCTAAAACTTGGGTATGAGAGACATTATGATTTCTGTCTTGATTGCTTTCTTTCTTTTATATTAATTGTTCTGGGGAATCCAGCTGCCATATCATAGCAGAACCACAAAGAGGAACTGAGGCCTCTTGCCAACAGCCACATCAGTGAGCTTGGATGTGAAGCTTCCTGTCCCAGTTAAGCCTTCAGGAGACTGTACTCAATTGACAGTTATTATTTTTGGTACCTTTGAATTGGACCCGGGGTCGCTTTACCATTGAGCTATGTCCAAGACCTGTTTTTATTTTTTATTTTGAGACAGGATTTCACTAAGTTGCTGAGGTTGGCCTCAAATTTGCGATCATCCTTTCTCATCCTCCTGAGTTGCTGGGATGATAGGTGTGTGTCACCAAGCCCAGCCCACACAATAGTTTGACAGCAGTTTGGGAGAGATCCTAACTGAACTAACACTATATAGTTAAGCTGCTTCTATACTTTCTTCCTCAAAAACTGTCAAATACATGTTATGTTTAGCCACTAAGCTTTGGGGTAATTTATTATAGAGAAATATTATAATACTTTTAAATTTTCTTTCTTTTGAGGGATTCTAGTTGGATGATGAATCTTTTAAATTTTTGTGTCTTATTATCATTTGTTCTTTTTGCTTTATACACTTAGAGATTTCCTTTCTTCAGTGCCTTCACTACCTTGTTTTTGTATGTGGAAGTCTTCTCTGAAATCTTCCTGAATGTGTTTGGGTTTTTCTTTTCTAAATTATCTTTTAGCTTTCTGAATTGCTTTTAAAATTTATATTGGTCTTTCATATTGTTAGTTTTCCTAATTTGCCTCATGATCCTTGAAAGATGGTCTGGGTAGCTGATGTGTGTTTATTTTAATGAAGTATGCCAGATTCTTTTCATAGAGTCTGTACTATTTTGTGTTCCCACCAGCAATGTGTGAGTTTCTCTACATCCTTGTCATTAGCATGTGTTGTAATTTTGTAGGTGAAAGAAGTGGTATCTTGATTTAGTTTTAGTTGAGATGTCTCTTATTTTATGAAAGAGAATGATCTTTGGACCTTTAATTGCTTCTTATTTCCTGATGTATCTTTTAGCTACTTTGGGACACTTGGCTATGATTTTATACTTAATTAAGTTTTCTTTTATGTTTGTACACTTCCTTGGAATCAGTTATAGCTGTGAACTTTTTAGGTAGGATTGACTTACTTGTGGCATTGGAATGCATATAATGCATACTTCTATGAACCTGTGACTGTTGTTTATATGTTGTAAAAATGTTATTTTATAAAATATTTCAATGTAGTTTTGAATTTGGTTGTATTAATTTGCAAAATTCTTATTCTCATCACAAAGTAGAACTTATTTGAATAATTGTTTCACTGAAATTAGAGTGGGATAGAATAGTGTTTACATTGCTTGATTTTGAAATATAAAATTGCTAATTTTGAGGATTGGTGTTAATAGGTCTGCCATTTTAAGTCAGTCGTCTGTGATATAGTATATTCCAAAAAATAGACCAATAAATAAAAAACAACGTTTTGGTTATTGTTCCACATATAAGATACACTCTAGTACCAAGCCAAAACAGTTTTAAAAAAGAAAAAAAAAACACCAAAAACCCCAACATAATATATCCTTAACATAGGTGAAATAAGATTATATAAAGGTATATGTGGGCAGAACTAATCATATCTTCCTGTTTTCCTTTTTAATCTTACTCTCTGAGATAAATCCTTGTAAACCTTTTTATTGCTTCATATGATTCCATACATAAATGGATTTTGTTTGTATTTATTTTTCCTGTAATGAAATCATACTGTACAAAAGCTGTGCCATTGTTTCCTTTTTAAAACCTTAAAGTATCATGAAAATCCTTGTATATAAATCTTTTTTAAATCCAAGATTTCATCTTCACACACATATAATATACAGGAATTAACATAAATGTTTCTAATTTGTGTTTTTTCTTCTTTTATAACTGGTAATTACACTTTGGTTTGTGTACTTGAGTGCTTTTATCTGTGTTCATATAATCATACAAATTCTCCCTTTTTTCTTTTTCTTGGGGCTAGGGTCATTGATTGCTTTACCAAATGAGATCACTCTTTACTTTTAACCTCAGTAATACTTTGCTTTAACTAAGTATGTGTCAGATATAATAATATGCCTTTTAAGACTAGACCTCTTTTTATTTTAACTCACTAATCTTATTTACGTAGATATGTGCTTTCTGGTTCTGATTCATTCGTGTTATTATTTTTTTCTCTAATTTCTCTTTTGGCTTATTTTCACTTCTGTCAATACTAGGCATCAACCAAAGATCTATTTTAGATTCCTACTTCTCTGATTCTAAATAAATATCAGATGTATGTTTACCTTCATGAATTATTATTAAAATATCAAAAGGACATTTTCCTTTTTCTATTTCTGTCATGTAGTTTTACATATTTATTTAGATATACATCTATCTTTTAAGAATTTAATAAAGCACTTCTGTGTCCTTGGTCTTCCCAATTCCCTCTACACATTTCTTTGCCACTATGGGCAGTTTCACTAATCAGGAATTTAAGTGCCTTCATTTGTAAATCATTATTGTGTAAATATTTTATTTCTTTTTGTTAATGACATTACATCACCAGAGGATTACTGATATTTTCTATAATAGTTTTGCTTTACTAATATATATTATGGTCATATGTAATGATTTCCCTATATATTTTTATTTATGAGATACAATCACTAGAATTGGAGTAAGGAAGAAATAGTTTTTTAGCTCTCATCTTATTGTAAATTCCCACCCTTAAGTGCCTCAAAGAAAATTAAAACAATCCTCCCCTTCTTTTCTTAAAATGCTATTTAAAAATTTTTTTGATACCAGTGTGTTTGCCTCTGGGTATTTGATATCAATTTTATCTATGAATGATATATCAGGTATATTTAGCCATATATTATTTGAAGTCTTTATATCAATTCTTTGTAATTTTTGCCTAAATTTTTCTGAGTATACATTTTACTTGAGAAAGATAATTTTTGGCATAATTTTATTACTATATAAATTTATTGGTATTGAAGCTAAAATTATTTTAAATGGATTTTTTCATTTTTTATTTAAATGAGCTTTTCTTCTTATGAATTAGGAGTTTTAATTTGTTTTTCCTGCAGATTCTCCTGAAAATGATATTCCTATGGAGATCACCACAGCAGAACCACAGGTTTCTGAGGCAGTATATGATTGTGTTATCTGCGGACAAAGTGGCCCCTCCTCAGAAGACCGACCTACAGGATTGGTTGTATTGTTACAAGCATCATCAGGTAAACTCAGTTTTTTAGTGGGAACATTTTAGAGCCAAGGTATATACAAGAAATTAAAATTAAACAGATGAAAGTTATATCTTTTTCTAGTTAAAACTTCATCTAGCAGTATTGATTTGATCCAAATGACAAGCTTCTTTATCTGGTTTTATCTCAATTTTCTGGACATGAATGTTGGAAGACCTTAATAGAGAGGTCATAAAGAGATAGAGATTTTGAAAAAGAACCAATGGAAATAAAAGGCTTAATAAACCAAATTAAAAAGTCAGTGGAAGCATCACCAATAGATTATACCACTTCAAAGATAGATTTTCAATAATAATAGTAATCTTGAAGATAAAGTTGACCATAAAGAAAAGATGTTAAAAGATATTGACCAGAAGAATATTCAAGAAATCTGGGATTACATCAACATACAACATTTAAGAATTGTTGGGTAGATGAATGTTCCAAAATATAAACTAAAAGAATACACAATCTTTTCAATGAAATAATATTAGGAAAAATTTCCAAATATTAGAAATGAGATGGAAATTAAAATATAAGAGGCATATAGAACTCCAGATATACAGAATTGCAGTAGAACTACTCCAAGACACATATAATGAAAATGCCTAATATACAAAATAAGGATAGAATTATAAAAGCTTCAAGAGAAAAAATGACTGGTTTGATTTAGAGATAAGACAATTTGGATTTTTTTTTATTGGTTGTTCAAAACATTACAAAGCTCTTGACATATCATATTTCATACATTAGACAATATGGATTTAAACTGATTTCTCAACACAGACCTCAAAAGCCAGGAGGGCTTGCAATCATATATGCCAAGCTCTGAAAGAAAATGGGTGCCAACGAAGATTACTACAACTAGCAAAATTATCCTTCAGAATTGAAAATAAAAACCTTCTATGATAAACAGAAACTAAAAGAATTCATAACCACAAAGCCTGTACTACAAAACATACTCAATAAAATATTTCAGGAAGAAGAAATGGAAGATAAAAATGTAAACAAGCATAGGGAAGATGCATTATGTTAAATGCAGTTAAAGGAGAACCAAGTTTGAATTAAATATCACAAAATGAATAAAATTGCCAGGAAAAAAAAATCTCTCTTTAAAAACATTGAATGTAAATGATCTTAACTCTTCAATTAAAAGACATAGATTGGGGGCTGGGGTTGTGGCTCAGTGGTAGAGTGCTCAACTAGCACGTGCGAGGCCCTGGGTTCGATCCTCAGCAACACATAAAAATAAGTAAATAAAATAAAGGTATTGTATCCAACTACAACTAAAAAATAAATACTAAAAAAAAAAAAGACATAGATTGTCAGCTTCGATTAAAAACCAAGACCTAACAATATGTTGTTTGCAAGAGATACACCTTACAAAGATATCCACCGATTGAAGTTGAAAGGATGGCAAAAGATATGCCATGCAAATTAATATTACAAACAAGCAGGGTTAGCCATTCTCATATCAGACAAAGTGGACTTCAAGCTGAAATTAATCAGAAGGTCCCTTCATACTGGTTGATGGAATCATCCGACAATAAGATATAATGACTTCAAATATTTGTGCCCCAAGCAATATTGTTTATCCTTTCAAAAAAAAAAACACAACTCTTTGCTTTTGTTGACTTTGTATTTTCTTTTCTTCTCAATTACATTGATTTTCTGGTGTACTACTGACTTTGGTGTTGGTTTGTTCTTCTTAGAAGATGGAAAGACATCATATTCTTGGGTAGGCATAATTAATATTATCAAAATGTCCAGTCTGTCAAAAGTCTTATACAGATTCAGGGAAATCCCCATTAAAATACCAATGACATTCTTCACAGGACTAAAAAAAGCAGTTCTAAAGTTATTTTGGAAAAATAAGAGATCCAGAAGAGCCAAAGCAGTCTGAGTGAAAAGATTGATGCAGGAGGCATCACAATACCAGACCTCAAATTAAACTAAAGAACTATAGTATAATTGAAAATAAAATAAAAATTGAAGATAAGAAGTATAGCATGGTACTGGCACCAAAACAAAAATGAAGACCAATGGAATAGAGTAGAATAGAATACACAGAGACAAACCACATAAATAAAGTAAGTTATCTGATACTAGATAAAGGTTCCCCAGCATATGTAATAGAAAACATAACTTTTTCAACAAATGATGCTAGAAAAACTGGAAATCCATATGTAGAAGAATGAAAGTTGACACTTTCTCTCACTCTGCACAAAAATTGACTCAAAGTGGATCAGAGACCTAAGAATTAGACCAGAAACTCTGCAACTGCTAGATTAAAACATAGGTCCAACACTTCACCATATTGACATAGGAACCAACTTCCTTAATAAGACTCCTACCCCAAAATTGATAAGTGGACTGGCATGAAATTATAAAGCTTCTGCACTGCAAAGGAAACCATTAAGAGCACAAAAAGAGAGCTTACAGAATGGGAGAAGATCTTTGTTACCTGCTCCTCGGACAGGACATTAATATCCTGAATATATAAAGAACTCAAAAAACTTAACACCAAAACCTCCCCAAATAATCCAGTTATTAAATGGACAAAATAACTGCATAGATGCTTCTCAAAAGAAGAAATACAAATGGCCAGCAAATGTATAAAAAAATGTTCAACATCTCTAGCAGTAAGGGAAATGCAAATCAAAGAGATTTCATTTCACTCCAGCCAGAATGGCAATTTTCAAGAATATAAATGATAATAAGTGTTAGAAAATGGAGGAAAAGGTTCACTCTTACATTGTTGGTGGGACTGTAAATTAGTGCAGCCACTCTAGAAAGCACTATGGAGATTCCTTAAAAAACTGGAGATGGAACCCTGATATGACCCATTCCTCAGTATATATCCAAAAGATCTAAAATAAGCATACTGTAGGGATATAGCCACCTCAATGTTTATAGCAGCCCAATTCACAGTAGTCAAGCTATGGAACCAACCTAGGTATCCTTTAGATGACTGGATAAAGAAAATGTGGTATATATACACAATTGAGTATTAACCACTAAAAAGGAATAATATGACATTTGATGGTAAATGTATGGAACTGGAGACTGTCATGCTATGTGAATTAATCCAGATTCAAATGTTGAAAAATTTTTCTAATATATGGAAGCAAATCCAAAATAAGAGGTGTGGGGTGGGGAGAGAGGGAAAGAGAAAGAGAAAGAGAAAGGGTATGGGGATTCTATCAAAATAGAAGAAAGAAAGTCAGTGGACTAGATGAAGGAGATTGAGGGAAAGGAAGAAAGGATTGGATAAAGGAAGAACAGTGGAATGAATCTAACATAACTTTCCTAAGCACATACATGAGTATACCATAGTGAATCTTACCATCATGTATATCCATAAGACACTGAGTAAACAACAGCAATAACAAGAATCCCTGAAAGTAAATGGCAGAAAGATCAGTAGAGGGAAGGGAACATGGAGAGTGTGGAGGGGAGGCAAAAGGGAAGTACTAGGGACTGAATTAGAGCAAATTATATTCTATATGCCTTTATAGTTATGTCAAAATATATCCCAATATTATGTATAATTTAGAAGAATCAATAAAATGGAAAAAAAACCCCCAGAGATCTTATATATGTTACACAGTTTTTTTTTTTTTGTTGTTGTTGTTCATTTTTGTTAAGGTGGGATCATATATCACCAGTGCTATGTGTCCAATAACATGATCAGCTTTCTTGTTAATTTAATTGTTATAAAATTTGAAAGCTTTATAAATTCATAAATATTGTCAGTTTAAGTAATTTAATTATATCTGAAATGTTCTGAAAGTTTTCTTCTTGTTTGTTTCGCTACTAGAGCCAGTAATTTTTTCTTTGGTACTAGGATTGAACTCAGGGGTACTTAACCACTAAGCCATGTCCCTAGCTCTTTTTAATTTTGAGACAGGGTTTCCATAGGTTGCTTAGGGCCTTGCTAAGTTTTTGAGACTGGCTTTGAACTCATGATCCTCCTGCCTCAGCCTTCTGAGTCACTGGAATTACAGGCATGTACCACCATACCCAGATAGAGCCAGTTAATTGTGAAATAGCCTAAGGATATATACATTGCCAACCTGTCATTAAAAAATATTTTAAAAATTTGAAGTTTTTTTTAAGGATTTGTCTCGATATTACCCATCCTCTCCCATTTGAAGTATTTTGAAGTAATGATATTTCTTATGTAATTTAGTCCAATCCGTTTAATCTATCTTCTACAGGAGTTTATATGAAAAAACTAAATCTGAAAAGAACTGCATATCTAGATTTTCAAACTGAAAATCAGTGTTCTTGTTTGTAGAAAGGTGTAAGCAGTCAGAAAAAAACCATAAAGGGGAGGGTGGGTAGGGAATGGAGCTGTAAAGAAGGGTATTTTTTGTATACTGTTAAAACTAAGTAGATATTAGTTCATGATTGGCCTGAAGACTATCCTGCTAAATGAAATAAGCCAAAGGTAAAATGTTTTCTCTGACATGTGAATGGAAGCTAACTCACTATAAGAGGTGGCAGGAGAATAGAAGTTCAGTCATTTAGACAGTAGGGAATGGAGAGATGAGAAGAGGGGATAGGAAAAGGAAAGACAGCAAATGAATCTAACATAATTTTCCTATGTACATATATGAAAACATCATAGTGAATCGCACCATCAGGTACATCCACAAGAATGGAGTCCTAACTAGACTAAGATATATTCCATACTTGTATAATTATATCAAGATGGATTTACTAGCATGTGTAACTAAAAAGAACCAATAAATTAAAAATATAAAACAACTCATGCTGCCTTCTCACAAGATCAGAGAGCAGAAAAGTTAAATGGAAAATTTAAATATCATTACATTATTTATTATAATTTGCACACACATAACTCATAAACTGATATGACCCTAAAAAACCTAAGTAGATATTAATTGAAGTTTGATTGTTTCGACATGAAGATATGAATTGTATTCCCTAAGGTAGTCATAAAGAAAAACAATCTTAAAACACATCACATAAGTAAAAGAAATGAGAAAAGAATCAAAATAATGTACTAGAAAAATCTTAATCACAAAAGAAGGAAGTAATGAATGACTTACGAAATAAGAGAAAACAAATAACAAAATGGCAGAATTAAGTCCTTTCTTATCTGTGATCACTTGAAATAGAATGCATTACATTATCTAGGTAAAAGGCAGAGATGGACAGAATGGATGAAAAATTGTGATAACACTATATGCTCTCTACACTTTAGATCTAATGACATCAGTGGGTTGAAAGTGAAAGAATGGGAAGATATTTCATGCAAATAGTAACCCAAAGAAAGCTTTACTATATAAAGCTTTATACTAACATGAGACAAAATAAACAACACATTATAATTATTTGTAAGAAACAAAGAAGGATTTTATATATTAATAAGCTAATCTTGTGCCATACAACAGAGCCCACAAATATATGAAGTAAAAAAATGAGAGAATCGAAGGAAGAAACACATCTCCAGTAATGTTTGGAGACCTTGGTGGATAGAATAGCTAGATAGAAGACCCAAAAGACAACTGAACACTTGAGCAACACTATAAAACAAACAAACCTAAGAGAATTTTATAGAATTCAACAATAGTAAGCATATATTTTTTACTGGTGAATTCTATCAACCACTTAAAGATTAATATTAATTCTTCTCAAACTAGTCCAAGTAGTAGAAAAGAAGGAACACTTCCTTAATCATTCCTATGATGCTAGCATTATCGTGACATCAAAACCAAATAAGGACATCACAAGAAGAACAAAGATAGATCAATAAATACTCTTTATGAATATAGGTTGCAGAGATCCTCAACAAAATCCTAACAAACTGAGACTATCAGTATAGTAAAGGATTATAAGTCATCTTGATTATATTTTAGCTGCTAGCATTCATCTGCTTCTGTTACTTTGTTGCTGCTGCTGGCGCTTCTACTGTAAATCCCTCCCAAAGTCATGGCCTACTATGGTTCACCTGATATTCTCTTCTCTAAGAACAGTTTTCCCCATGTTATTGATTTTAATAGTAACATGTGATACTGTTTATTTTTATTCTCACTCTTTTTTTGTGCTTTGATGTTTTATAATTATAAAATCTTAGCATTGTTTTCCCCTTATTTTGCTACCTACCTCTTTCTAGTTTCTCATTTTGAAAAATTTTGTCTCTAAGAAAGTTGAATACTCTTTACCTATAGTCACCAGTTGTTGCCATATTGCCATGATTTTTTTTTTTAGTATTCTGAGATACACCGACAGACACATACGCACACAAACACATTCCTTTTTAGAAGAAAATTGTTGACATCATAACATTATATCCCTAAATATTTCAGAATGTATCTCCTAAGAACAAGGATATTTTACATAGACGTAGCTCCATTATACCAAATAAGTTTTATATTAATAACAATGTACTGACTATTCAAATTCACTCAGTTGTCCAAATATTTTGTGTTTCTTATTTATTTGAAAAATAATAGGTCTTTATATTTATGTGGTACAGGGTGATGTTTTGATGTATGTATACATTGTAGGAGGAGTAACTCAAGCTAATTGACTTATCTGTTACATCACCTTTTGGCATTTCTTGTGAGAACCAATATTATTTTTATAACAGATATTCCTTTTCTTGATCCAGGATCTAATAAATGATCATGTATTGCTTTTTGTTGCCATTTCTTGTTAATCTCATTTAATTTTGAATAGTCTCTCTAGCCCTTTATTAAAATTTCAAAGAAGTCTCTCTAGCCCTTTATTAAAATTTCAAAGAATCCAGGTTGGTCGTTCCATAGATGTGTTATTATCTGGATTTGTGTGATTGTTTTCTCATTATTAGATTCAAGTTAAACATTTTTGGCAAAGGTATTACCTAAGTGATGTTCCTTCCATTGGTTTCACATTAGAAGGTACACAATGTCCACTTGTCCCATTTTTGGTGATGCCAACCAAATTTGATCCCTTCATTAAGGTGGCAAGTAATCAGTAGAATAATATTCTAAGACCTGTTTATCTTTTTACCATTTTACTTGGTGTTACTTGCCTTAACCAAAGAATATGTCATCTATTAACTGTCATTATTCTTTTTTTTTTTAGTCTTTTTTTTTAATTGGTTGTTCACAACATTACAAAGCTCTTGACATATCATATTTCATACATTAAATTGAAGTGGGTTATGAACTCCCAATTTTTACCCCAAATGCAGATTGCAGAATCACGTCGGTTACATATCCACAATTTTACGTAATGTCATTATTCTTATTGATACTTCGTTTTCTCAAATTTGACCTGTCTAAACTCTGTCTGGTTCTCATGAAACTGCCTTCTCAGTGTTTGAACCACTTCCTTGTTGTTCATAATTCTAGGCTTACTTTGAGCTTTTCCCCAATCCTGAACAAAGGTGCTTTCTCTAAAGATCTCTGCTTTATTTTTGTGAGAAATAGTGTATTTAGAAATTAAATTTGTTTAGGGTTTTTCAGTGGACATATACTTAAGAAACCATCTATCCATCCATACTTTTGTGTTATCTTGAAAAGTAAATATTGACATATTTGTATCTTTATTTACTCTGTAGAAGAAAACTCAAATGCCATTCTTTTTTAAGGTCCTAAGAGTATTTTAATAGTGGAAAATTTAGTGTAGTTTGTGGTAAATAATCTGACTTTTCTTGGAGAATCAGGTATGTTAGTTACTTAATGAGTTTTTTTTTTTTTTAATCTATGTTGATGTAGTTTTGGGGCAGTGCCGTGATAATGTTGAACCAAAAAAATTGCCCATTACTGAAGAGGAGCAGATTTTCCCTTGGGACACATGTGCAGCAGTTCATGATGTGAGGCTTTCATTATTACAGCGTTATTTTAAGGATGTAAGTACTTTTTTGTTGAACAATATTTTAAACTGCAAAGTTGATGGTGATTTCCCTCCAGAGTTTTATTTTATATTTTCTATTTCTTTTTTTCTTTTTAAAGAGAGAGAGAGAATTTTAATATTCACTTTTTAGTTTTCAGCAGACACAACATCTTTGTTTGTATGTGGTGCTGAGGATTGAACCCGGGCCGCATGCATGCCAGGCGAGCGTGCTACCGCTTGAGCCACATCCCCAGCCCAATATATTTTCTATTTCTAATGAAATGTCATTCTGATTTCAAATCTGAAAGTAGCTTACCAGAAAAAGTTAATATGTGACTAGAAATGAAAATCTGTTAATAAATAAAATTTCAAGCAATAAATGTGGTAGGTTTATTTTAAATGTTCATTGTAAAGTATTCATAGTTCAATTTAGTGGAAGAATGGGTATTAACTCTAAAAAAATTTAGATATATTGTGAATTAGATAAAGTGTGACTATTTTGCCAAGATTTTTGCCTCCTTTTACTTTCATTTAAAGATGTACAATAAAATCTCATTACAGTACTTCTAAAATATAATGGAGGAGTAGTCATGCCTTGTTGTGAACTTAGTAGGTTTTTTTTCCAGTTCTTGCATCTAGATGCTGTAGTACTCAGAAGTGTTTCAAGGCTTTGAAGATATAGTTTAACATCTTTAAAAAATTTTTTATATCATTGATGTTTCCTGAGTGAATTATCAAATGGAGTTTCCTTTCCTGTGCTATCGTTTTGAATCAACTGTGTCTTGTGATTTAAGTAAATGTATGATAAAAGCTTAAAATACTTAAAATATAAAACATTATTTTTTGTTAGGCTACATATAAGATGATTATCTAGAAAGATTTCCAGATAGAACTTTTTTCTTCCTTGTAAATCTGTTCGTTTAAACAGAAGAAACTATTAGAATAGGTAGGAGACAGAATACTTAATTAGAAAAAAACAGTAACTGACAGTAATGATAAGAGCTAGAATATAACGTGGTTCCATACTAAATTGGACTAAAGTTTATGGTGGTTTCTGGAGGTTCTAGTTAGGGAGGCATTGTGTAGAGTAGAAAGAGTCCTAGACCAGGAGGAAAAAAAAAAAAAAGAGATTTCATCCCAATTCTGCTGTTTCTAAGCTATGTAAGCTTGGCTAAATCCCTTAAAGTCCTCTAAAACTTGATTTTCTCATCTGTAGAGTTGAGAATGGTCTTTCCTGCAGTAACTCACCAGGTTGGAGGTTCTTTTAGATCACCTTTCCTGTAATACAGGTCAACAGAAATGTGAAATGATGTTTTTAATATTCACAGAAGCTTACTTAGGGGTTTAGATTAGGTTTTATAAGGCAGTTCAGTTGAGGAAATGAGGACCATGCTTCCATACATTTTCATAAGCTATAAAATTAAATTATGGTTAGTTTGTAAGTAACTTCTGTTCATATTGCACATGTGTGCACACACATTTTCACACTTTTGAAATTCCTTATTGTTGTTTGAATTTTTTACAGAGTACATATGTTACGTGACTAATCAAAGACTAATATTTTCTTCTTTCCTTCCTTCTTTCATACTGGAGATTGAATCCAGGGTGCTTAACCCCTGAGCCACATCTGCAGCCTATTTTTTAATTTTTAATTTTGAAATAGGGTCTCACTAAATAGCTGAGACTAATCTCCAACTTGTGATCCTCCTGCCTTAGCCTCCCAAGTTGCTGAGATTACAGTGTGCACCAGCATGCCTTGTTAAAGACATTCTAAAATTATATTAAGTTCTGCTTTTGTGCAGTTTTGCTACATCTTTGGTTTGATTTTATATTTTGGTCATAATCCTGGTCTTAATTTTACCGTCTTGAGTCACTTTAAAGTAAATGGATAAAGATAAATGCCAAAGCCAAATAGAAAAACATTTTTTTTAAGAGAGAGAGAGAGAGAGAGCGAGAGCGAGAGAGAATTTTTAATATTTATTTTTCAGTTTTCGGTGGACACAACATCTTTGTTTGTATGTGGTGCTGAGGATCGAACCCGGGCTGCACGCATGCCAGGCGAGCGCACTACCGCTGGAGCCACATCCCCAGCCCTAGAAAAACATTTTTGATTCAATCAAAATATAGCCAAGACTTAAGAGCATAATAATTATGAGGGAATGGATGATTAAATAAAGGAGAGAAAGTCTGGGTATGTCTTAAAAGCCAGAGTAGTTATTAATTCTAGATAAAAGGTTCTGGTTTTTTTGGAAATAAAAGGTTACTCTGACCTGAAATTTGAAAATTTGAATGGACCTGAACTCTGATGTTTCTGTTAGTGATTATGAGATTTTTATTCCAAATCAGTACTTTTGTGTACTTTCATAATAGTTATTTTGTGTATATATGACATACTCCCCCTAAGGCCATTTCTTATATTGGTTTTATATCCTCTCAGAGGCTCGAACATACTCTGTATTGTAGATGCTTCCCGATTTCTTACTGAATCACACTAAACAGAATGCCAGTTTTATAATTAGAATAGACTGTATAGAACAGAAGAGTAACTATTATTGGGCACTGGTATTGATTTTAGAATTAAACTGTAGATTCTGCTCTCTTTACATCAAATGCATGCATTTTACAGAGTTGACATGTAGAATTTAGTTATGTAAGACAGTACATTCACTATAGAAATTAGAAGTATTATATATGGATGATGTGACACATTAGAGGGATAGAACCTGAGCTTTGGAGTCAGGTAGACTTGTTTCATCTTGGGCTCTACTGCTTAGAGCTTATTTATCTTACTAAATTTTTCATTCTTTTAAAAAGGGATAATTCCACCTACCCTAGGAAGTCTGAGTAAATACAGAAGTTATCAAGATTTAGTGTTAAGTACCGATTACAGTGACAGGCAGGCACATAGTTGAAGTTTCTCTAAAATATTAGTCTCACACTAGTAAGTGCTTTCCTCTACTTCTGAATGTAGCAAACTCAGATAAAATATCTATCAGTTATATAAAATGACTACTATTTTCATTTTTAAAAGCTAACTACTTTTATTAAAAATATATTCATTACCTTGTTATAATATAGTGAGAGAGAGCAACTTGTTTGTTAACTGACTACTAACCATTCTAAAATAATCTAACACCCAAATCTGCGTAAATTTCAAGTAGCTCCAAAACATAAAACAGAGATGAGTAGGCCTTCTGATGTTTTTCTGATTTGTAACAGTAGAAGCTTGCTTACTTGCTGTGAGTATTTGATTTATGTCACTGCACATCTTTAAATCTGCTGGGAAGGCATTTTGCACTCTGAAATATTTTCAACTTTTATATACTTCTGAAGAGTTGTGATCTCAAATTGGAACTTTTCCACTATCAAGTTCATTTTGATTCGGCGTGATTTCAAGCATGGATGATCTAGCTGCTGGGGAAGCTGAGGCAGGAAGATTACAGGTTTGAGGATAGCCTGGGCCAACATTGTGAGACTGTGTCTCAATAACATGAAAAAATAAATAATTTGGTGATTTTACATATATAACTTTTTCTCTAAAATAAAAATAAAATTTAAAGGTTTAAATTTTATTTTAACATGTAAGAACATGCTTAAAAATTTGATTCGATAGCTTTCAAGTCTTTCTTTCAAGTTACATCTAGGCCTTACATTGCTCTGGCCTGCCCATTTGTTTACTATAGGCTCTAGAGGGTAAATTAAAGTTCATGCCCAAATGTTGTTTGACAGAGGCCAAATGGTGGAAATTCCAAGCAAGAGATTTTGAAAAATCTTAAGCTTGTCTATAGGTTGAGAAGAGGTTTGGAACCCAATGTTATGGTATACAGGTTAAAGATTGATGTAGAATGACTCTTATTTTTCTAACATGGTGACTAATTTGATTGTGGAGTTTTTAAACTGAGAGGAAGGGAAAGATTCATAGAAAAGATGCCATGTTAAGTTTTTGACAATGATTTTGTGTTAACTGAGGGACATCAAACTGGAAATTTCTGGTAGGCTGTTGAGATTTTGTTTCAAACAACCAGACAAGATATCCAGACTTACAGGGTAGTAATTTCAACTTACTAATTACTTGCTTAGGGAGAATGTTTTCATGAGAAGAATAGTAGCAATGAGTAAAAGAACTTTGAGGCGTAAAAACATTGAGGGGGCAGGTAAAGCAAAAGAGTCTTGGAAGAAGACCTAAGAAAAACAGTTAAAGAGAAAGAAAGAAAACCAAGAGAGTAGCTTTATGGATGCTAAAGGAAAGTAGGCATTTAAGGAAAGCAGTTGTTATGTCAGATATCACAGAAAGATTAAGTTCCATATAGAACATATAAAATAATCAACAATATAGTTTATAGTGAATATATACAATATTGAGAACTTCTCTCTTACAGGATGGAAAAAGGCTAGTTCATAATGTGTATTCTATTTCCTAATGAATGTAGATATTTGGGGCCTGAAACTTCATGGTATTCTGATTTTAAAGATAACTGGCTTAGGGCTGTCCAGTCAGGTTAGTCAGATATTTATTTATATCACAAAACTACAAATGCTACATCAGTATAACAATATGAAATCATGTAGAGGTTTGTGAGGATATATTTAAACATGTTTATACATCTTTAACTTTTTTTTTTTTTCTTTTTTTTTTTTAAGAGTTCTTGTCTTTTGGCAGTATCAATTGGCTGGGAAGGAGGTGTTTATGTACAAACCTGTGGCCACACATTACATATAGATTGTCATAAATCTTACATGGAATCATTACGGGTAAGTTGATTGGAAAAAAAAATTAAAGGTGTGTGTATCTTTCCATCTTCATAACATGTGCATCCCAGTTCCACCTCTTCAACTTGAGTGATTTTTATTTTTTTACTTGACTTTAGCAATTGACTTCCCTGTTGCAACTGAGACTTTGGTATAATTACTTAGAAATATTAACCTTTTTAACATCCTGCCATATATCATCTTATTATATGATTCCTCAAATTCTCTTATTTTCACTCTCATTAGATTTTTTTTTTTTTTGGCATCAAGGATTGAACTCAGGGGCACTTGACCATTACGCCACAATCCCCAGCCCTATTTTGTTTTTAATTTAGAGACAGGGTCTCACTGAGTTGCTTATTGCCTCACTTTTGCTAACATTGGTTTTGAACTTTCGATCTTTCTGTATCAGCCTCCTGAGCTGCTGGGATTATATTGCGCCCAACTTCACTAGGATTTTTTTTTTTAATCTTCTTTACATTTTTCCTAGTAAATTACCTCTTGTATTACGCCTATTCTGACTTTACTAGTCATTTAATCTGTCTCCCCTGATTTTAGATCTGGGAGGCTTGCCCTGCTAGAAAAATCATAAAACTAATTGAACTGTTATCACAAATTTATGATTTCCTATAATAGTAAATATACATTTTAATTCAATTATCTGTCTTTGGTTGCTTTCTTCTCTTCTCCTCAGCATCTATTCTAAACCTTTGCCTCTCCCATCCCATTTTTTCCCTCTAAACTCCAAGATCTTTTTTCTCCCATTAGATTCTGTCTCATATTATGTCAACAGAAAAACTGTCTCTTTGTCATACATTTCCTTGGCTTCCTCACTTTTTAAAAATTCCATAATAAATGATTCCATATTTTAACTCATTCTTTCTTTTCTATTCTTGGAGATAGTATTCTTTCTTCTGTTTAGGAATAACTTTTCTATGAAGGTACTCTATAATCTGAGCTTGCCTATTACATTATCTTTTATCAACTTAGCATTAATAAGTTCACTAATAGTTCCTTAATCACATTATACATTTTCCATACACCTATATTCAATTGTTCATTCAATAAATATTTGTTCAGTGTCTGTAATGTTCTGGTACTATGATAGTCATTGAAGATACAATAATGAATAAGACCTGTGTCCACAAACATTTGCAGTATATGTGCTAATTATTATGAGGCATATACAGGATCTTATTGGAACATCTGCTAGGTACCAGAATATCTAATGAAATAAGATAAATGAATTATGAGACATGAGCCTGGAAAGAGAATTGGGACCAGATTGTAAAGGACCTTGTGGCCCATGTAAAGAATTTTACATATAGATTCTTTAGAGAAAGTTATTAAGGGCTTTTAAATAGAAATATGAAATGTCCACAAAGGTCATTTGACAGTTGCATAAGAGAGGGGATTAAAGGGGCGTAAGAAGAAAATGTGATTATAACTATTTAGGAAGTAAATAATGGTGGCTTGGACTTGGTTATGTTAGTGGAGATGGAGAAGATGTTATAGATTTGCAATACATTTAAAAGGATACTCTTGTGGACTTGGTGAGAGATTGCATATAGAACATAGGGAGAAGGAAGGAATCAGGATGAAAGATGATGGTGATCATTGAAAGATTTTGATTTGGAATAACAAGGTCTCACGTTAGGCGCTAGATACATTAGATCTTGTGTAGCAGTGTGGTTGGGAAGCTAATTAGGAAGATCAGCAACGAGGGTAGGAAGAATAAAGTGGCTGGGAGAAGAACTGAAGGGAAGGAGCTGGGGATATAGCTCAGTTGGTAGAGTGCTTGCCTTGCATGCACAAGGCCCTGGGTTCAGTCCCCAGCACCCACCCACCCAGACACACACACACACACAAAAAAAAAAAAAAAAAAAAAAAACAACAACTGAAAAGACTTATTAATTATGTACTTTTAGTGGGAGAAGACAAGGAGCTGAAGGATTGCCATAACTCTTCTTTCTCAAAAGGGGGCAGTGGTAGGGTAGGTTAAGGAACTTCAAATTGGATATGAGAAGGCTTCCCAGAATGTTGGAGAAAGATTACTAGATAATATTTAGGACTCAGTTGAAGATGGAATCCATATGTGGCCAGAAGGTATTTTATTTTTCTTTATAGCATTCTGTTTGTATATAGAATTGGAGAAGCTATACTTTGCGTTAGTATTGTGTAAAGGTTTTGTTAGACGTGAAACATGGAAGGACATACGGAAGGGAGTGGGAAATATTACCAAGAGTTTTTGAAGTGATAGATCATAGTTTATAGGCAGAATAGGACAGGCCTTATCAAATAGAAGAAAAAGAAGGGAATAAGAAGTGGGATTTGGTGGTCAAAATATAAGAGATTTGAATTTAGTACTTCAGATAAGGAATAATTTTGGTTCACTATAGGACAGGCTGTGGTCATGGTAACAGGTGCTAGAGTAGAACAGAAGTCAAACCATAAAAGCTCTGAGGTCAAGGAGCTAAGGGACTAGGGTATAAGATTGGTTGTACATTTATTTACTAATGCTGAATGGAAGGGTGGCAGGGCTTGTAATGATTAGGTTTGATTTAGGTACCAGAGTCTTCAATGGTGAGGGTAGAGGGTGATAGTGAAAAGGAAGAAAAAGCATGGTATCATGGCTAAATGATGTAAGCCACAGATGAGCGTGCAGGAGTACCAGGCCAGCACTAGAGAGGATACTGAATTATGAGGGATGTTAGAGAATGAGGGAGAGGGCTTCTGAAGAGACTTCAGGAAAGAATCTAGTTTCAGTTATAGCAAGGAAGAGAATCTAGCATTCTTTGGATTTAAGGATATGAGAAAGGTTAATCCGGGATGCCCTTCTGTGATCAGGTTCCTTGCTTCAACCTTCTAGTGCACTCTTTGTGTCTTAAAAACAGCTCACAATTCTCCTTTTCTGGAAAGCCTTCTCTGTCACATTTCTCACAATATATTTTATTTGTTTAAATTTACTTTTAAGTTTTGAGTACCTTAAGAAGAGAAAATGTATCTTAACTATACTTACCATGGCACAGCATTTGACATGTATAGGAATTTAGTATTTATAGAATTAGACTAAGATATGTTGTTACATTTTTAAGGACTTAAAAATTAATTTCAAAAAGTGAAAAAATAGAATTCAGTTCTTTTATTTAAAATACTTGCATTGCAGGATACAGTGAAATGAGCATTAAGTCAGCTGTTCAGTTACTTGTGTTCAGCAGTTAGATACCTTAGAAGACACATCACACTATTTTTATGCTTAATTTACTTTCAGAAGTTATCTAACCTACATCAAAAAACATGAACATTGGATAAACTACTTCCTCCCTCCCTCCCTCCCTCCCTTCCTTCTTTCCACCAGGGATTGAACTCAGGGGCACTTGACTGAGCCACATCCCCAGCCTTATTTTGTATTTTATTTAGAGACAGGGTCTCACTGAGTTGCTTAGTGCCTTGCTTTTGCTGAGGCGGGCTTTGAATTTTTGATCCTCTTTGCTTAGCCTCCTTAGCCTCTGGGATTACATAGATCATAGTTTACAGGCAGAATAGGACAGGCCTTATCAACTAGAAGATGTACCACATGTACCACGGCGCCTGATTCCATTGTTTCTTATAAATTTTGAAAATCAGGGCTTGGAGAAAGTGGAAAGTGACTCACCTTATGTGGGTTTTTAAAAATCTTATATCCATATTTCAGATTGATTGAATAATTTTTTTCAGTGTTTCATACTGAGAGTGGAGTGAGATACTTAGGCAGTTCTTTGCTGAGGACAAGCTGTTACATATTACTATGATGTAAGAAGTAATTTCCATAATTAAATAAGAGATTGTTTTTACATGACATATTTTAGAAATGTCTTTCTTTGAATGGTTCATTAGTTTACTAAACAATTTGGTGGTATAGTTTTTATTTTCTGTACATGTGTGCATTATATATCTATGTGTTTGTTTCATCTTTTAGAATGACCAGGTTCTTCAGGGTTTCTCAGTGGACAAAGGAGAATTCACGTGTCCCCTCTGTAGGCAGTTTGCTAACAGTGTTCTTCCTTGTTATCCTGGAAGCAATGTGGAAAATAACCTTTGGCAACGTCCTAGTAACAAAAGCATGCAAGATCTCATAAAGGAAGTGGAGGAACTGCAGGGACGGCCAGGAGCTTTCCCAGTAAGCATCAGTGTAAGGCAGAAATATCCTGGTTAACTTGGCTCTGCTATTCAGCTTTATTTTCTTTCCTTTTAAAATTTACTCTGTACTTGTATACATTTAGAAGAAATTGCTTTTAGAGGTTTTTCTCTTCTGTTTGAGCTTGCTGAAAAACAAAAATGAAAATAATTGAAGAAATTATCAATGAAGGCTAGACTTTTCCCTATCCTATAGCATTATAACTTTAATATACATCTTCCAGGTCATGATTTCCATTAGGTATAGATACGGTTAAGCCCTTTTAAAATGTTGAAATATTTAAAAACAAAGCAAAACAAATTATATAGAGACACATGTTGCTTAGCAATGGGGACATTATGAAAATTGTCAGTTGGTAATTTTGTCATTGTGTGAACATTGTAAGTGTACTTACATAAATTAATAGGGTTATATAATCACTAAGCAATATAATTTTAAGGGACCACTATTGTACACATGGCTAATCATTGATTGAAACATCATTATATGGCACATGATGTTTAGATACATTGTAATATAATCATAAAAATATGCTCATTAGATGTATTAAGATTAAGGAGATATATCTACACATACACTCACACATTTATGCATTTACTCTGTGTGTGTGTATGTGTGTGTGTTAGAGACAATGTTGTGTGACCATAAGTCAGTCTACTTAACTGTGGGGTTCTGTGTAATTGAACCCATCTTGTACTTCATCTAGTAGGATTCATTTGGTTTAAATTCTTAAAGCATTTCACCTTCATTATAGATTTATGATGTGGTTTCTGAGAGAAATGACAACTGTGCCTGTTTTATGTAATAAATTTATGAAAACTGTGGATAATTACTGACTTTTGAAACAGAAATTCATATATTAAACCTACTCAGAAGGATTTACCTCCTAGCAATTTGCATTCACAAAACAAATTTTACAATCTGTGATTATTTTTCTTTTGTAAATCCAAAGTTTTATATGTTTAAAGTATGCTTAAAGAGACATTGATGTTATTCTTTGAAAAATAAACTTAAATGCAAGTCAGATTTTCTGAAAACATGGAAATTTTATTCCAAAATAGTATTTTAATGATACCCACTTATTGGCTTAGAATATAGTTTGTGTGGATAATTCATATTTGGATTATAATATTATTGATAACAGTGTAGAATCAAAAGATTATAAGATAATCTATTTCTGATTGTTTTTATCTTTATACTTTAAATATATTTAGAGTGAATAGATAATGTTAAATCTATTTTGCTTTTTAACTTTGATTTCCTTGTATGTTCATTTGATAAATATTCTAGTTTTAGGCTGTTATCTAAAAAAATGAATCTAAACTTTATATATATGTTTGCATTTATGTAGTCAGAAACCAACTTAAGTAAAGAAATGGAATCTGTAATGAAAGATATAAAAAATACTACTCAGAAGAAATATCGAGACTATAGCAAGACCCCAGGCTCACCAGACAATGATTTTCTCTTTATGTACTCAGTTGCTAGGTAGGTATATGTAGTATTAACTTTTTAATTTTCTTATTCACTGTATTTAGTTGTTTGTTTTATCACTCAGTGAATCTTTGTTTTATTTCCACTTAAATTTATTTAAGAAAAGGATGTATGTTTTTAATATTGGTTAAAATTATGGCTAATTTTAGAACCTCCTAGGAAGACTAGAGTTGTATACTTCTCTGTCTTTCCTAAAGAGTTTTTAATCTGAATGGAATGTTGGGAGAAAAGTATATTATTAATGTTTTGGGACAGATAAGTCCTGTAAAAAAAGTGGTAGTACTGAGAACTAGAACATTGTAATATGGTAAATATTTTTAATTTATGGAATAAAAAGAATAGTAAGAAACAAAAGAACTTTATTTGCATAAGTTTAGTGAAAAATCTAGCAATGTCCTGAAAGATGACTGATAGTTTAGCAAACCTGATAAGGAAGAAGAAGGAAGACATCAGGCATGTTCTAAGCCTTTATCCACAGTAAGTAGGAGCTCAAGAAAGCAGTTAGAAATATGCTTTTCTTATCTTTCTGAGAGGATTGATTAGTCTAATTGACTGAATAGGTGCTTAGCACCCTAAGAAATAGACCTACACAGGAATTTTAGATAGTTTAGTTGAGCAAAAATGAAGAACGATAAAAGAAGTGAGAGGAGAAATAGACAAAGTTAGGGACTTGAAAGCACATTCTTGTAGACCCCTGAATATCTCTGGAAGCATACTTCATGTTTTGTCCAAGTAGTATTATACTAGGTAAGATTTAGGAGATCATGTGACTTGAAGGCATGTAGCAGGTTAGTGGCAGAGTAGGACTAAAACTGATCTCTTGAGTCAAGTTTAGTGTTTTTTCAATTACTCTTCTCTCTTTCCCTTTCTTATGCATGCAGTACATCATGGCCATTTTCTCTGATTTACTCTCAGAGCAGAGGATAACAAAAGAGTAAATGAACCATATGTAGCCTTTAGAACCCAGGGAAAATGGAACTAAGAAAAATTGCAGCAAGCAAGTTTGAGCTCAAGATAAGGAACATTAATTAGACTTGGTCTGAGAATGCAAATGCTGGACAGGGATTGATATAAAAAGATATAATGAATTAGAAAGTAATTTTCTAGTCTGCATATTCCTGGACAATTGTTATTTATGCAGCATGCTTTGGGGGAAAGTAGAATAGTTAAATGTTTTCTTTCCGGAATTACCAATTATTGCATACTTGCAATAAAATATTTGAACACTAAACTAAATATTATTTAGTTTAATTAGTTATTATTTAACTTCATTAAGGTTCCAGAATTATATAAAGCTTATGTATAATATTATAATTCTAGTATTAGAGAAGATTGGGTTGAATGAAGGTAGACCACTCTTATGCTTTATATATTTATATATAATATACACCTCTGTGTATATACACACACACATTATTTCATTCCTATATTTATGTACTTATACCTTTCATTTTGTTAGAGTTGACCTTTATAAGAAAACTCTGTTGAATAAGAATGATCTATACATGCAATTTTCTTATAGTATGATAAATAATTTGATTTAGACATAATTTAGTTGAAATTTTAGATCCTTGTTTCTTGCTTTAAATAAATAAATAATATATGGAATAAAGCTTGCAATGATAATATGAAACTGTTTGAATCAACACATTTTAGTTTTTCTGTTTTACAGAGAAGCAGGGATAATTGTTACATGCTTTACTAAGTATATAGGTAAACAAACAGAAAATATGTTATTCCCCCATCATTCTCCGATTTCTAATGAAGCAGCAAGACAATAATTCTGAAAGTGAAAATATATAATACGATTATCCTTTGGTTGGAATTACCCAAGACATTCATAGTGAGGTTGCAATGTCCTAAGTTTTACTTAGTTATTACAAAGAAAACAAACAAAAAACAAATTGACTCAAGATTAACAACACATGAATTGAAGGAAAAAAGTATGTTGTAACCTATGTGAACAGGATGTAATTTTCTCAAGATAGAATACTAGGTTTTTATAATTATCTTATGTCTAACACATAACTTACTCTATAAATATTTTTTCCTAAAAGGTGAGCATTAAAATATTTAGTAGCATTTAAATATTTAAGTAAAATATTTAGTAATAAATTTACTTAAGTTGTTTAACTTTTAAATTAAAGTAACAATTCATATATATATGTATACACACATACACACACATATATAATGTTAGTTGTAGTCAGATACAATACCTTTATTTTATTTATTTATTTTTAATGTGGTGCTGAGGGCTGAACCTAGTGCCTTGCATGTGCTAGGTGAGCATTCAACTGCTGAGCCACAACCCCAGCCCCTCTTTTTTTTTTTTAATGCTTTATTTTTCTTTTCTTTTTTATTTTTTTGGTGGTGGTGTTGGGAATTGAACTCAGGGCCTTGTGCACGCTAAGTGCTTTACCACTGAGCTACATCCCCATCCCTAAATGTAACAATCCATTAGAATGTGCAGGTTTATTTGTATTTGGCTTTGGTAATTTTAATGGAGTACAATCTTAGTTTCTCAGAGGTGAGTTTCTCTCAGTTGAATAAGTAATTTTGTTTGCTCTTCAGCAACTTAAATTTTGATGTTTAAAACCAATATTTTTGGTAACTAGCCTGGAAAATTTTTTTTTTTAATAATTGAGTTATATTTTTGAAAATTAGTACATAGTTGTTTTTATTTGCATAGTGAAACTTTGGAGGATTTTCTGAAGGCAAAAAAGAAGAGATTGCTAGAATATCTTTTAATTTAAAAATTAATCAAGATTACTTTATTCAAGTTTTAATGTATTTCCAAAATTTCCATTCTGTTGCAAATTTTAATCATTCAAATGGATTATTTTAATACCAACTCATAATTTCATTATTGAAACAATGAGTGACATGAATTTTAAGAATTGATTTTTCCAAGGATTTTTTGATCCAAGTTATATAGGGACTAGAGATATTAATGAGTAGCACTTGGCCTGTATATTGTGAGAAAAAAACAGAAATTGAAAGATGAAACATGAGTTTCTAAAATGTGTTGGACAGACATCTTTAAATCACAAATGGGTAAAGTACTCAGTATTCAAACATTTTTTAAATCCTTTTAAACATGACTTTTTTCCTCCTGAAATATTTTTTTTTTTTTTGGCAGTGGTTGGGGGTGGTTATTGCTGGTTTTAAGGAATATAAAAATCAGCAAGAGAAAGATAATTAACTGCAAGGAGTAATAAAAATCTTCTAATTGGATACATACCAAAACAAAGAAGTTCTTAATCCCTCAAATATTTTTAAGCACTTTGCTTACACACCATTGAGGGTTTAGAAGCTGTATATGAAGTGGTCCTTCTTCAGGAATTTGCAGTTTATATAGAGAGACAAAACTAATAAACAACATTCTATATGAAGCAGAGTATAATTTTTTTTAAGTCATATAGAGAAATGCTATAGAATTTCAAAAGGAAAGATAAGCAAACTGAAATTCAAAGTATATGGAAGTGCTTCTTTCCTGTCTCAGAAAGACTTCCTGGAATAGCTAGAACTTGAGTCACAACTTTTACATAATGTAGCCTGGGGTGTGGATGAAGGTTTCTGTCCCCCACCACATACCCAGAAAAATTGACTCTCTTATTCAACCAGTGAAGTGATAGATTCAGGCCTTGAATCCAGATCTTTTTTCTGGGCCTTTCTCCCTTTCCACCAGACCAATGTGAGTTTGAGCATCTGTGTACATTATTTATTTATTTTCAAATTTTATAAAATAACAGCTAGTTCTGAAGGCTGGTAGAGAGGTGAAAGACGGTGGTCCTGCAAAAAGAAGCAGAGTACAGTTAGAGGGGTTTTATGTGGATATATGGTATATGTAGGTTGTTACTATGATGGGCTTTTAGCAGTCTTTCTTATCATTCTTCCAAATGTAGAGATTTTTCTCTTATTTTTTTCTCGCAAATTAATTTGAATATATTTGAGTTATAAAATATACAAAATAGAATTGACTTCTTCAAGAACAAAAGGGACATAAACCTCCCACTTTCAACATATCTTTATTTGTGCATCATCCATTCAGAAAGGAGAAACGGATTGTTGTGACTTTCAACCAGAGGAGTGATAGACAAGGGACACATGATTCCATTTGTGTGTTTTTCACTCTAGCAAGTCTTAAAGGGATGATTTTTATATAAATGAAGTAAGGAAAAGTTGATAGGGCTTCTGAAATCAATTTTTAAAATCCCAGATATTATTACATATTAACCCTTGACTGGGTACTTTTTGTTTTTTAACATGAAAGAAATGTTGTACAGGAGTTCTTCCAACCAAAATTTATTTCAGAAAATTAGATTTAGTAGTTTTATTTCAAGTATCCTTTAAAATGAAATTCCTAGTAACATGTTTATCATCCTTTAAAGTATCATATATGGTGATTGAATAAAAAGAATTGTTTTTATATTTATATATTAGTAAGTATTTTTGCAAATATGCTGAAAAAAATTGACATTCTGGTTCTGACATTCATTTGTGAGAATTGTTCATGTTTTTGGTTAGCATTTTTAAAAATACTATCTAGGAAATCAGTTTTTATAAGAGAATATAGCCATTAATTTTTTTCTACAGATAGGCAACAGAAGATTTGTGAAAACAAAATGTATTGATCTCATTTATATTCCCTTGATGAAGGAACACATGCTGGTCTCCGCTCGCTTTCTGTCCACTAATATGAAATCCTTGTCCCTGCTTCCTTGCTGGTAGGTTTTTAGAAGTTCAGTGAGCAATGCAAATCGCCTGAAGGGTGGAAAATTCCCTTGTCACACTGATGCCCTTATCAGCAGCAACCAGATGGAGCTGTGAGCAGGAACATTATCAGTGTTAAATTGCTTTCCCCCCACCCTGAGTAGAAGGATTAAAGCATTCCTTTAGAAATGGGTGGCAAATGTACATATTTAGGAATATTAATATTTTTAACAATTTGCATTTATAAGTAAATCTGTGAAAATACCATTTCAAGACATTGTGTTCAAAATTGTAACCAAATCCAGTTGAAAATATTTTGTTTTAAATAAAACAGCATATAATCTCTCTTGAATTCACTTGCAAAAAATAAGCTTGAAACTTGCCCCTCATCCCCATTTTAAGATGGGAAAATATCTTACTGCTAGAGTCAAATACATATCTTGGATATAAAGTAGTTAATTCAGTTTTAGTCATAGAAAAAAAGGTATATTTAAGTTTATAAATATTATTGAAATAAAACTCCATTTAATTTATAATGTAGAATTTTATTTGTTGTTTTGGCTTTTTTTGTTTTTACTGTTGTTGAGTAAATCTTTAGATTCTATGCAGTTTAATTTTCAAAATGTCAGTTTACTAATTACTACTCTATAAGTTAATAATTGCTGAATAGCTTTTAACTTCAGATCTTTATATGAATTAATACTGATGTTTAACAATGTTTATAGTTACACAATATATTTTAATTACTATATTTGTAGAAGTCCATAATTGAGACTGCTATTAATTATGTTTTTATTCATAGCCATTTAGATATCAATGATTTTGTTTCTTGATATTGATTTCCAGATACCATCTAAGCTTCATGAGTGATAATCTTTTCTCTAGCAGAAAAATTGGTATACCTTGTGTTTTATGTGACAATAACTACCCACCTAGTGGCTGACCGTTGGAGTACAAATTCTTTCATCAGATTCATATTGTAGGTTTATGAAATATGTTGCAGGTTGTCCCCCCCCCTTTAGTCCTAGTTTTTAGTATTTGCCAACATGTGGGACTTTGCAACAATGACATGGTAATGTGTACAATTTTTTTGCAGGTGTAAATATGAACATATAAGTAAGGATGTATAAGTTGTTTCCTTTTTAGTTCTGAATGTCAGATAAAATATAATTATTACTGGTACTACTGATAATAAAGTTGAAGAACTTTATTATTTAGGTTGATTCAGACATGTCAATAAAGCAAATTAAAAAGGATCTCTTCAGCCTAGTCATGGAAATATATTTTAATGCTTTACTTATAGAACCAATTTGGAACTTGAATTGATTCATCGAGGAGGCAATTTATGTTCAGGTGGTGCAAGCACAGCTGGCAAGAGATCTTGTTTAAGTAAGTATTAAACAATGTTAAATTTTTAAAAATTTCTGTTTATATCATTTTTATAAGCACATTAGTCAAAGTGGTCTTTGGTGTATTTTCTATTTCTGTTTATGATAGATATGATCAATTTTGTTAATAATATAGTTATAAATAGTTAATCTTGAGGAGAGGAGGAAAAGGGAAATACCAAGTATTATTTGAAATACTGGGAAATGATATTGGCCAAATTACATTTTTATACCATGTGCATGTACAAATATGTAACAGTGAATCCCACTATTATGTATAATTCTAATGTACAAATAAAAATATGGACAAATTATGCCTCAGAGGCATAAAAATTGCATTAAAATAATTAATCCTGTACTTAGAAGAATCAAAAATATTTGGCTCTTTCTGTACTAAGATCGTACAGTTTATAAATACCATATTAAGTGATCATATTTACATTGGTTCAAAATTTTTAAAATGTATTATTCTCAGGTATAAAACATTATCCTCAAACTTAAATTCTTTTAAAGAAATTTTACATTGAGTTGATTTAAGAAGATATTTTTATAAAGAGGATTTATGTTGCCTATAGATTCTTACTATATTGTTATTCCTTATAATGAAGACTCTTGTTATATTTTGATGTATATATTAAAATATATCAAAATTGTGGATATAAAATATACCAGAATTTTAGATTTTTGCTTTTAATTATGTGTATATTTTATGTTATAAAACAAGAATGATTCTTCATTATTGTTTGTGAAAGTATATTTGAGAGAAAGTTAGTTTGTAACATAGTGGATTTTTCATGAGCATGTTTTCTTATGCTTATTAGTATGGTTTACTCATTGTTTAGAGAATTAATGTGAATACTGGGAGTAATTTTTTTTAATGTCACAGTGTAGCTAATTATTGACTCCAAATTACTGGAGTTGAAATATTGCCTAGCATGATGAGTATAGGAAATTAAACTGTTTAAAATATGTAATGAAGTTTGAAAAATGAATATATTTTCTCAAATACTAAAATAATAATTATTAATATTATCAGTTCATACTGGCTTTTAACAACATATACATGTTATTTAACAACAACAAAAAAAAGTCTATGTAATTTTGGACCAATTTTAAAGCAAAGAATTGACCAAAAGTAACTGAAAATTTCTAACATAAAGATATAGACATGAGGGGCTGGGGTTGTGGCTTAGTGGTAGAGCTTTTGCCTAGCATGTATGAGGCACTGGGTTTGATCTTCAGCACCACATAAAAATAAATAAATTGCAGTGGTTTAAAAAATATAGAGACATGAAATTTTCACAAAGTTAATCTTAAAATTTTTATTGTTATAGGTTTTGATATTTCGTTTTGGATTAGCACTGATTCCTTGAACTTAAACTTTTGGAAGTTATTTTTTAAATGAGTATTTAGTATATATTGACCCCTTGATGTATGTACCTATATCCTAATTATACTCTGCACTTTTGTAATAGGTCTTAAAGGGGAAATTGTTGCTATAAAGCGGTTTTAGATCTGTTTGAATTGGTAGGTACTGTCAATTCAATTAAATAAATGAATTTTTCATGTTAATTTATTCTTAATTGATGTTTGATATTGGATGATAATGTTCTAGAAATTGTTGTTAGAAAGTAGTTAGTAAAAAGATTTCAATATTTTAAAATTTCAATGTTTAAAAATACTGATTTCATTTCATTTTTTCCCTCTGAAGTGCTTATATTTATTCAGAGACTTGTAAATGATGCATTTTTCCAGAATTTTGAAAACAGTAATAAAATTCCAGTAGTATTCACTTCAGTGACTAGACTCAATTTTAGTTTAAATAATAAATTAATAGTAACAAACTCTTGTTTTCCCCTTTAGTGAATAAGAGATTGTAATGTGCCAGTACAGAAAAGGTCATGATTTAGTTCATCCTAAATATAAGTTAATATTGCTTTTAGTTTTCATATCATTTATTATTCAGTTACTTATTGTGTTATTTATGCTAATATTTATGAAAGCTTTTCTTCTAAGGCTTTTCTGTAACATATTTTATATTATATAAACCTCTCTATTTTGTATATATGTAAACTCAGTGTATTTGTTATTTACTCAAATCTAATTAAAATGTAGTTTAAATTGAGCATGAGGACTTAAATTGATGTTAGGAGGATCTTAGAGTATAAGTTCCCCCTGCCCCAATCTTCCAGTGGAATTTTAGTAATATTGTTAAGCAAAAATTCTGTCCTTTTCCTAAGGAATTCTCATTTGTCAGTATTTTCCTTTTCCTGTTCATGGCTCTTCACTACATTTTAAGTATCTCATTTTTAAAGTGTATTTTTTTCCATAATATCTTTTCATAGAGTAAGAGCTTCGTTAATTAAGCAAGTGATAAAAAGAACTTTTGTTTTTATCATTCTAAAAACACTACAATATGTAAAAATAAAGTAATAATACTATTAGAATATTGTTCCATCACAACTTCTTGGTGAAATTGAAGATTTTCTAGACTGGAATAACTTTTAATAAGTTTTGTCTGGAAAGGATTGAGCAATGCATGATAAGAAATTATGGAGATACACGCATGTATGCACACTCGAGGACACCCCCTCCCCCCGAAACACAGTATTGGGAGGGCATTAGGAACTTAGAAAAGATTGATATTTTTACAGTAATTAAACCAGAAAATATTACTTGTTTCATTTATACTGAAGAATCAAATAAAAGTAAAACAAAGCCATTCAACACATACATCTTTAAACAAACTTTTAAATAGTTGAGGTAAAGTTACCAGTGTTTGGGAAATTTTTCACAATTAAAAAAATTAGCAAAATTAGTTCACATAGTAGCATACTATGGTATTTTAATAATACCTTACTTGAAGTTTTAGAGTTTATAAAGTGCTTTCACATAAATTATTAATCTTTAGAATGACAATGTGAAATAGGTGTTATCTCTTTTTCATAGAAAAGGAATCTGAAGTTCAGAGTGATTGCCTTGCCAAGTCTCACACAGCTGGAAAATGTCAGAGCTTGCACTTGAACCCAGCTCTTCTGACTCTAAATTCAGTTATGTAAGACATATTCCCTACTCTTAAGTGTTCCAAAGGGTATAGAACCTGTAAGACCTTTTATCCATGGGCTTAGTCAAAGACATTCTACTGCACACTGCTTCTTTGGGATCTTTCTTTATTCTGTGGTGCTAACCCTTTTGCCGTCTATTTTCTTTTGCTAGCCTTTCACTAAGAATCCTAGTTTTGTTTTGGGCTACCCCTTCAGACATTTTCTCAAGTCCTAAGTCCTCTGAACAGCAATTAGTTCTCCTTTATTTCTCACTAGTTTGCTTATTGATTCCCTCGAATCCTGCTGCAAGCTAGCTGTGTCAGCTTCCACATGGCACTGCTTCTAATTCCTGGGTCAGAGCTCTAGTCCTCCTTATTCACCAGGGAATGTCAGGCATTTACAACCTTACATCCAGTGGATTGGATTGGTCCTAGATCATTTGTTATAAGATAGAATTCTAATGATGCTATGGATAAAGTTCTAGGATATTTAAAAGATTTAGGATTATATCTAGCTGATGGAGTCAGTGAAGCTTTGGTAGGTATGTTATTTTAACAAGATTTTGAAAAATAAATGAGATTTAGGGTTTCTGTTAACAAGTTGCCATATATAGTGATAAGTACTATCAACTTGGCTAGCAACAGATGTAGGACCAAGCAGCTGTAAATATTGAAAACATAGCTTTTTATTTAAAAAAAAAAATGTTTTTGCTGGGTACAGTGGCACATGCCTGCAATCCAGTAGCTCAGGAGGCTGGGGCAGGAGGATTATAAGTTCAAAGCCAGTCTCAGCAACTTAACAAGACACTGTCTGAAAATAAAACATGAGAAGGGTGGGGGATGTGGTTCAGTGGTAAAGTTCCCCTGGGTTGGATCTGACACACACACACACACACACACACACACACACACACAATGTTTCATTAAGGTTACTCTGTTTATTTTTTCTTTCAAGTGATTTGAAAGTAGATATGAAATGCCATAGATTCTAGTGAAGTTCATAGGCTTTCAGCAACTTTTTGCCATGATATTTTTAGTGTATTTCTCAAAAAGAAATTGTTGAAACCATCAACAGGTATCATTTGATAAATTATTAACTTGGGAACATAATATAAAAAATATTTTGTTAGAACGACATTTTTCCATATGTTTAGGTATGAGACTTTCTGCTCATTACTATAGTTTAACTATAGTAACAAAGTTCACATCTCAAATGCATTCATTTATTTTATATAGAGATTAGAAACTAAACTTGAAGGCTGGAGATATAGATCACTGGTAGAGCTTTTACTTAGTATTCTCAAGGCCCTGGGTTCAACCCCAGCACTGCAAAAATACAACTGGCAAAAGCCAAACAATAGAAACAAAACAAAATAAAAACAGGAAAATCCTTTAACCTTAGAGAGGCTAAAGTAAACTCTTGTTTTGACACTTTCATTTGGGAAGTTCTGATTTACTTCATTTTGATGTAATTTATGATCTTATCAAGAAAGACCTTATCAAAATGGTTTAGGGCAAGTCATTTAACCTCTTGGTTCTATTTCTTATTATATCCAAACAGGATTATTTTAAGAATTCAAGTATTATAGATTCAAAATTTTGACATTAGTATTTTTACTACTGCAACACTGTCATCATTAAATTGGTGTGTGATAAGGAGACAGAGCAAAAATAACAGTAATTTTTAGCTCACTTTTCATATTAGTTCATTCAGACTGCATAGTGAAATAGGCTGGGAGGCTTATACATAACAGATTTACTTTTCACAGTTCTAGAGGGAGGTCCAAGATCAAAGTTCTAGTAGCTTCAGTGTCCAGTAAGAGCCTGCTTTCTTATAGACAGACATCCTCTTACTGTAACCTCACAAGAGAATGTAAGAGGATCCCCTTTGAGCCTTTTGTAAGGGCACTAATCCCTTTCATGACCTAATGACCTCAGTACCATCCATGACCTTTGGGGTTAGGATTTTAATGTATGAATTGGGGGCAGAGTTATAAACATGCAGTCCTGTGTAATTTTTTAAAAAATGTTTTAAGGCACGTAACAGTCTATTGATCAGTTAAGAGATAGGTTAGGAGGACAGGCTTGGATTTATTTCCATTACATAGTTTATCTATTGTGAATAAAATATTTTGTTAGTTTTTGGAGGTTGGGAGGTGAAAGGGGAGTAAGAATACAGCATGAAAATTTGAATTATATGGGTGGCTTTAACTATTCTTTTAAATCTTTCTGAAGGTTCTGTGATTTGTGGCCCAGGTAGCCAAAGCTTTGCACATTATAATTTGAGCATTCCAGGAACTGAGTACTACAACTAATAACTTCTGCAATCAAGACACAGGAATCCTCACATCTTACTTGGCTTAGGCCAGGGCAGCTCCTTTCTTCTGTAGTGTGATTGGACGCTTCTCACCCAGTTTTCAGTGAACTGCTTAAATAAGACACAAATTCATGGAGTGTGTCTTTTCCCATAAGGAGAAAATTAGGAGTTCTAAGAACTGATCTTTGTCATACCCTTCCTAGTACTGTGGAAGCAGTACTGTGCCCCTCTTACCCAATATGATGTTGTAAAGGTGAGAAGGGAGGCTATTAGATGGAGTACAGTTTGCTGAAGCTAATATTAATACATGTAATCCTTGAAGCAACCAGAGAAGGACAGCATAATTTGTCTGGAAGTGGAGGTATAGGAAATCCAGGAGACAGGAGAGGAACACAGTATAGGAAGTAGGAAAGTTCTAAAGATAACCTTTCCTTCAGTATATCCCCTCTTCCACTTGGAGGGAAAATACCTCTCTAAAGCAAGCAAAGCTTCCCTGTCCTACCCACAAACTCATGTGTCCCCTTATTGACTAGAGGCCACATAGAATACAGTGCTGGAAAGAACAGTGAGTTGGAGTTAGAAGACCTGGATTCTAGTCCTATTTGTTATCTGTTGACTTTAGGAAAGTCACGGAACTCCATTTCTTATTGTGGGAGTGGTGATGATGAAACCTGTGCTGATCTTCGGATATACATCTATCATGGTTAAATAAAGATCAAATGATACTGGATAAAGGAACTAAAGTATTTTTATATAATCTCTTATTTTGTTACATATGATAATAATTAAACTTTCCCTTTAACCCTTTAAAATTCTACTATAATTGCCACATTTCTTCCTGTCCTGCCTTGCCTGGAATGCTTAGGAGTGGCATAGGGAAAGGTGAGTTAACTCCTGTCACCCCAGAACATTAGCCTCCTATCCCTTCTTTCTTCTTAGAGCTGTTCCCAGGCCTCATTTGAGGAGCTTACTCCTGTCTTTCCATGGCAGATGTCTCAGGGATGTATGGAGAAACCAGGGGAAACTGGCTATGTTGTGAGAGAAGTATATGTATACCTATTACATTCATCCTGTGTTAATTGGGTCAGAGCTGTTTCTTCATTTTGATTATTCAGTTACAGACAAATGGAGCTCCCTACCCTCTATGGTATTTCAAAGAGTCATTTGGCTAGTTGAGATTTTTTTTTTCATTAACAATTATTTAATCGATGATGACTAGTGATGACTAGATTGGTAAAACTGCACTCTTGTTTAAAAATTATTTTTAGTTGTAGTTGTCAATACCTTTATTTATTTATTTATTTATTTATTTTTATGTGGTGCTGAGGATCGAACCTGGTGCCTTGCATATGCTAGGCAAGCACTCTACCACTGAGCCACAACCCCAGCCCCAAAACTGAAATCTTGAATGATCTGGAAAGAGAGACCCAGTTAAGTTTATCTTAGGTACATTTCAACAGTGGTATAATTTAAGATAGAACCAATTTATATACGTCTTCTCTTTAATATATATTTATGTCTTAATGGCTAGTGTGAGTTATACTAAGAAATAATCTACTAGTTTTAGATTTCTTGCATGTTTAATAACTGACAGACACAGAATTTCCAACTTGGTACTAAACTCAGTGAACATCTGTTTCAAAAGCATTTTGAAAGATTTTGACATACAACAATTTAAAAGAGTGTAGTTTTATTAAGTGGGTATCTCTGAGGTCATAAAAATTGGCATAATAGTGTTTTGTATATCTACATGCGTGTATGATATTCATAGTTTTACATGTAAAACTCTTAAGTATGCAATGAATTTACAGTTACTTTTTTTTTCTTTTTTTTTTTGTGGTGCTGGGGATCGAACCAAGGACTTTGTGCATGCAAGGCAAGCACTCTACCATTTGAGCTATATCCCCAGCCCTACAGTTGTTTTATTTTACAGATTTTTTTTGTAAGAAAATCTTTCCTTGATGTTGATGAAGTTAGGAAGTATAATTAAATTTTATTTTTTAATTCTAGTTAAGAGTCCGTAAAATTAAATCTCAAGTTTTCTTAAGGACAAATTGGTCTTTCAGTGTTGTTTTCTCAGTGTCAGTAATGATGTGTCTGTCTTGTGATTAGCACATTCTAATACCTTAGATTTGTCAGGTAGTAAAGAATTTGATTATCAGACATTACTGAAAGTGGAATTCTTTGTCTCAGGTGAGTTGTTGCTGCAGCCAGCGTGGGGAAGATGATAGGAACTAATAGGTCAAACACTGCTTTTGTGGTTAGAGTTTAGAGGTCAGTCTCTTTGGGGGCAGTGAAATTAGAGCTGATTAACTGGCCTACTTCTTGGTTACTGAACCCATATGCCATTATGACAGAAAGGGAAGAATATAAAGGCAAAACCACCATGAATTTTATACTTGTATTGATTTTTAGAAGAATATACATTTATTCATAAAATATTTAATCTAATTTGTAAAATTCCTACTATATGTCAAGCATTGTGCTACCTTGGAGATACAAATGTGAAAGACACAATTGTCCTCCTCAGGAAGCTCTTTCCTGAGAGAATAGGAGAGAAAAATGTGAGAAATAATTACAAGGTTGTTTAAGAAATGCTAAAATAGAGTTAGCTCAAGTTGCAGAGAGTACCTAAAACAAAGGATGATCAGACTCTTTTGAGGTATCAGAAAAGAAGAGCAAAGGGGCACATGAACTGGATCTTGAAAGATGAATTGAGTTTGCCTAGAGGACAAGAAGATGCTATTCTAGGCTGAGAGAGCAGCTTACAAAGACAGAACAAGACACCATGACACAATGGGAAATACTTAAAAAAGGGAAAGGGAGGAAGGAATGTTAAAAAATAAGACTAAAAAAGAAGAGAGGGGCTAGCTCATGAAGGGGTTTATATACCTATTCTTTCAGTAGTTCACCAATAAAATGTGAAATCTTGTCAATAGACTAACTGTTTAGAGGGATTGGGAAGAGTGAAACAAAGGGTGTTTTATTTAGTAAACTTTCTATTATGAAAACCAGGGGAGTAATGATGTAGTGATGGAGTGGAGCAGAAAAGTGTGAATCATAGGAGGAAGAACTAATAGGATTGACAATCAGTTGAAAATGGATATGGGAGATGACTTTAAGTTTTTCCTTGGATGTTTGAATGAAAGTGGTGTCATTCACTCAAATAGGGATTATAAAAGTAACAAAAATTGGAGCTGGGTTGAGCTATGTAATCAAGTTAGTTTTTAATGTTTTGATTTTGAGGTACCTGTTGAACATCTGAAATTCTAGAGAGATTTGTGAATATAAACTTAAAGGGAGCTACAGAAGACATGGGCTTGGGTGAAGTATGATTCTTTTTCTTTCTTATGGAGAATGTTACCTTTAGGGTTTTAGTAGGGGAAGAAGAGCATGTTAACTGAGAAGGAACTGGAGAAGAACCAGGGGAGAGGGCTACCAAAATTTTAGAGGAGAAGAGAGTTAAGAATATGTGTTAATACTTACTGGTACAGTGGTAGATTTATACAGAAACCTTATGTTTCTAATGTGTCATAATCTGTAATTTTAGTAGTAAAAGTTTTAAAATTTGTTTTGTATTTAGAATTTATTTTTAGAAAGCTATGTATATGCATTTGTTTAAGCATATGGGTACTACAGACATATACATTGCTATAATTACTGTTGCCATATATCAGCCCAGAAGGGTGATAGTCTATTCATTCTATAGTTAATAAAACTAAATTTAGGTAATGTGTTTAAGGACATATGACTTCCTGGCTCCTACTAGACAGTGATGTCTGTATACATATATTGAAATGACAATAAATCTTTAACTTAACTTAATAATATTTCTCACTTCCAAACCCTTTTGTAAATGTAAATAAAACTTAACAATTTTAAAGTGTATCATACCATAAAAGGAGTTAATTATCTATTCATTTGTTATTATTTTCAAAATTCTAATATAATCTTTATAGATATAGTTATTTTTTAACTTTTTAAATTAAATGTCATGTACATCTCATGTTTAATTTTTTTTTTTTTAGTTTTGCCTTTTAAGTCATTTAATTATAGATTATCTTCCTCCTATGTCTTCAGTATTTGTCTGGCATTAGAGGTATATTCACTTCTAAATGAATAATAAAGTTTATTCTTTCTTGATAAGACTAAAATTTGAAAAGAGTACATTGGATAAATATAGTGAAATATATTAATGGTTATTTGGTCAATTCTCTGTTTCCTACAGAAATTATCTGTAATTCTCAGGTTGTTTTAGAAAGATAGGTATACTTCATTAGATGTGTTATTCTTCAGTTCTAGTTACAGCCAGTACTAAAAACTCTCATGATAAAATGTAGCTTCAGAACATGACCCAAGGTTATAATTGTAGTGTTTACAGAAATGGAAAGGAAGCTTGTGTATATGTGTGAGTGCTTTTTAAACTTTGCTTTTAATCGTAAAAATCCCTCGGAAAGCTGGGTATGGTGGTGCATGCCTGTAATCCCAGTGGCTTGGGAAGCTGAGGCAGAAGGATCACAAGTTCAAAGCCAGCCTCAGCAATTTAGCAAGGCACTAATTAACTCAGTGAGACCCTGTCCCTAAATAAAATATTAAAAAGTCTGGGAATATGGCTCAGTGGTTTAAGTTAGTCTCTGAGTTCAGTCTCTAGTACTTTATGGGGGAAAAATATCAAACTTCTAGGAAAAGTAGGATGGTATAAATAATTAGAAAGAAGCAAATCTTGAATTATATTCTTTGATTTTCCACTAATTATTAGGGTGACCTGGCAAGGTAACTTTTTGTAACTTCTGTAAAATGCAGAAATATTAGAAGATGAAAAAGTTTCCTTCTGATATTGAATTCTTTAATTATGGTAGGGATTAGGAAAATAGGCTGGTTGCAGCATTATTTCTGTGCTAGCCATGGTTTCAATGTAATGTGGTTATTAGAACCTTCATCTTGAAAAGAGATAATTAAAAGAGCTATTTGGCTGGGCATGGTGTTGCACACCTGTAATTCCAGTGACTGAGGAGGCCGAGGCAGGAGAATTCCAAGTTCAAGGCTAATGTGGGTAACTGGAAAGACCCTTAGTGAGATCCTGTCTCAAAATAAAAAATTAGTTGGGCGTGGTGGTGCATGACTGTAACCCCAGTGGCTGGGGAGGCTGAGACAGGACGATCATAAGTTCAAAGCCAGCCTGAGCAAAAGCGAGGTGCTAAGCAACTCAGCGAGATCCTGTCTCTAAATAAAATACATAATAGGGCTGGGGATGTGACTCAGTGGTAAAGTGCCCCTGGGCTCAATACCTGATAGGTAGATATATAGATAGATAGATAGATAGAAAGCTCTTTGACCCAGTTAACACCCATATAAAAGAAATTTGCAAAACTCCCCATACTGCAACTTGAGATAATATTTTTTTTCTACTGGAAGAAGTTAGTCTTTTAAACATTTTTAGGTTTTAGTCTTTAAAATGATTTCTTAAAATTACAGATAAAACCCTTATAATAATTGAATTGAAATAAAAGTTAATAATGTATCTCTTATCATGTTATTCCTCTGCTAAAAGTTCTGTTGTTCTCATTGTCATCCATGGAACCAGGAGGCTGTGGTGGAAAAACTGGAAAGCTGGGAAACTTACTTGTTTTAAAAATGGGATGATAATAATGTTAACCACTTAGTAGAATTTTTGTGAACATTAATTGAAGTGATGTAAAGTTACTGTGAAAATAGTGCTTGGCATGTAATAAGTAAGTAACTCAGCTAGTGTTAAAATTAATAGAATGAAGAAATTTTAACAGAAAATTAGACTTTACATTGACATAATTAGTAGAAGAAACTGAATAAGAAAAATTGATTTTTTTCTTTTGGTATAGAGAGATTAGATCGAAATTTGACAGAAATATTTTTCTCTTTTCTGCTGCACAGAGTAGAACATGTATTTTGCTTATATTCTAGCTCATGTCTTCATAGCTTCACTAAGCTACTATACACACTACCATCAACACCATGCCAGAGTTATATTAGTGGATCTTTGATAAATTAATCATAAAATATAGTTGATTTCTAAGTCTGTTGCTCAGAGAAAATGAAAGTCTGATGTAGGAAATCAGTGACAATAGGTTTATGTTATTCAGGTAAATTTTTTACCCAGTTTTAAGATTTAATTTTATTCATGTATCTAAAATTATTATCTGACTCTTCAGATTTTGACTTTGGATTGACAAATATTTTTCAGTATTTGTAGCAGAACCTTTTAATCCAGTGCTTGTCACATAACAAAAAGGGACATCTGATGCAAAAGCAAAACTTCGGATGTTTTCAATGAATAATTTAAAATTTTTAGACAAATATTTTAAATGTCATGAGCAGAATTTTGTTGAAAGCTAAGATTAGTGGATTATTTTTAATTCAGGTAGAATAAATTAAAATAGCTGGAATAGTATTCCTATATAATACAGTTATTTCAGTGATTGTTTCTTCATGTTGAACCAAAAGATGATGAATTCACTCTTCAGTCTAAACAAGATTTAGGGAATAATAATAATAATAATCTTTAGGGAAAGAAGAACTTCATCTAACAGTGAACTGTAAGGATATTACTCCATACTACCCAGGATTGGGAGCTGAAGTTAGTAGTAAGTTTTGGTTAGGAGGCAACCACAATAGAGCACAAATTGGCAAACTGCAGCATAAAGTCAAGGCAAAGTATGAGATAAAGGGGGAAAAATTCCCAAGTTCAGATTGGCCATAAGGACAGTCTAGTGTCTAGTAGAAGTCATTTGGATATGTATTTTGGGGTTTACCTTAAAAGAGAATGTGAAGGGTTGGGTGATGTAGGTCAGTGGCAGAATGCTCACCTAGCACATTCAAGGGACTGGGTTCAAGCCTGAGCACTGCTAAATAAATAAGTAAATAATAGAGAATATAAAGTAATTGGGACTTGAACTTGATGAGCTATAATGATCAGGATAGGATTCAGATTTCTTTATGAAATAATTAAAACTTTGTTCAGGAAGAATTATGTGAACTTTCTATTTACACTTTCTTTACTTTTTTCAGATCAGCTGTTCCATGTATTAGCCTTGCACATGCGACTTTATAGCATTGACTCTGAGTATAATCCCTGGAAAAAGCTTACTCAGTTAGTAGAAGACATGAATTCACAGTAAGTATTATTGAAGGATTAAAATCAGTTGAAACTCTTTTTGAAAAAGTAGTTGTTAAATATAACAATGGGATTGAAATATAGGAATTTTTCTCACATTTTCTTTATGAAACATATATAATGCAAATTGAAAAACATACAATTATACTCTACATAAAAATTTCATAAAAATTCCTGTCAAGTGAGAAAATCTTTTTAAAGAATCTTATTGGTTTTCGTAACATTCAAATGGAACCCCATAACAGCTAGTTGTTCTATTTATGTCAGCATTGATTAGTGGGCTAATAGCCTTAGGTTAATTCCTCCCTTTTAACATTCCCTATTGGTCTTTCACCTAAGGGTTTTAGCAATCCTTGATGATTGTGGCTTCATTAGGTGCCACAAAATAGTAATTAAAAAGAAATCCTAAACAAAACAAAAAAATATTCTTCCTTCTGATTTATTAGCTACATTGTTTTTATAAAGAATTTTTATCATTTGTTGATATATAGTTTGGCAGGATGAAGGCTTGATTCATTCCTATTTTATAAATTTTCAATGCCTTAGTGACTTCTAATGAAGTTCAATAAATTGTAGTTATTTATGACCTCATGGATTTTTATTAATACGTTTCTTGCCATTTCAGTCCTTCTTTTCAATGCAAATCATTCTCTTTTAGTGTAGTGATAATCCTTCCAGGTTGGCTGTTGCATTTTTTACATGAGCCAAGTAGTGATGATATCCTTGCTCTCTGGTACAGCAAGTGTTCATTTTGAACGTATTCCACTTGGTAACTAGAGTCAGCTGTTTTTCCATGTAGTTCCCTATAATGGCAAATGATATTTAGAGACTATAGTCTGGGTTCTAGGGGGGCATATATAACTACTATGTTATCATTATTTGTAGACCATTTCAGTGATAGAGTTAAGATATATTATTTTTAAAAGGAAAAAAAAGATCTTGAGTTCTTACTGGTATTTATAATTCAAATATAAGATTGTAAGGTTTTAGTTTTATTTATTTATTTTTTTGCATATTTTTCAAAACACAAGACTAAATCAGTCAGGGTCACTCCAGGTGAACTGGGCTGGCACAAAATAATCACACAGAGACAGAGAAATACTTTTCTTTGGGTTCTGTGACAGCTCCTCTGACTCAGCTCCCACAAAAGAGGCAAGGCACGCAAGAAAAAGTGAAAGCATGCCTTGAACCTGGGTTTTATTGGGGGAGGCTCTTCCATGGAATAGTCTATCCCCAAAAGGGCAAAGGTATAGGATTACAAAGGAACAAGTGAGTGTAACTCAATCCCAGTGTGTAACACATACTACTGGAACCACGCCTTGTTATCCTAGCTGGGGTAAAGCATGCAATAATTGTTCAGTACCCTGGTGCATCAGGACTTAAAGGCATCGTCTGCATCCAGGGCAGCTCCTGACACATCTTTTTTCTTTTATTCTGAAAATCTTTGTTAACATAATTATTTATTAACATAATTATTTATTTGTATAAGTAATTTTTTTATAATATCAGTATTACTATTAGATAGAAGTTCTCTTTATTCATAACATATAATGTGTATCACTAGAAATATATGGTCAAAATACTATGTTTTCAATTAACTTGAAGTTACTTTTCTTGAGTGGTTATGCCTTCAACTTGATTCATTGTCAGGCTCATTTATTTCAGTTCTTTTTCCTCAGTATTTTATAATTTTTTCACTTTTATTTGTTTATTTTTATTATATAAGATAATTTTTTCCAAAGTTATAACTAGTTTTAAAAGTAAATTAAAGACCTCTATCTTCCATTTCTGTCTACTTGCATTTCTTTTTTGTGAAGTCTCTAATTATTTTGCCCATTTCTAAAAGTTGGGTTGTTGGCCTTTTCATTTACAAGGTATCCTTATGTATTATGGATATTAACTCTGTGTGTTATAAGTTGCAAATATATTTTACCATATTGTCAGATATCTTTTTATTTTATGATTTTTTGGTCAAAGATTTTAAAATTATAGTCGTTTATTAATTTTTTCATTTATTCTGGATTCTGAGTCATAAACATATCTTCCCCCTACTCCTTAAGTATAAAGCAGTTCATCCATGGCTTCGTGTAGAATTTCTATGGTTTAAATTTTTACATTTAGTTTTCTAGGCTGTTTGGAATTTATCATGGCATAAGATGTAAGTATTGGACCCAATTTCATTTTTCCATATAGCTATCAAATGGCCTACTGCTTTGCCTTCATATAACAATAACATTAAAACAGATCTTAAAATAAAACAGAAGAAAGAGAAGAAGAGTGACAATATAAACATTAGTTTACAAATTAATGCTGTCAATGGAAGGAGTAAGGTAGAAAACTTAACCAATGAAACTTTATCCTAAATTATGTAGTATAATCAAACAAGATTATACAGAATTTTTAATTTTTCTTTGTTCAGAGGTTATGTGTTCTGTGTATTTTTGAAAAAGAAAACAGTTTAAATCCCACAAATTGACATTTTGTGTCAATCACTAGTGGACTAAGATTTTTTCCTCAGTAATCTCTGAAATTTGTTTTAAGTTTTATACTTAACACAGCACACAAACTATATTGTTTTTGTATGTAAGACTGATTTTGCCTAAAATGCTGTCATGAGTACTTGGGGCATTTATCTTCTACATGGTATTCTTAGAGGTAATAACATATAAACTTATTTTATAAACTCTTGAACTATGTATTTGACATGTAAAAAAATGTACAGTATTAATGCCAACCGTCCCTTAAAAGTTAGCCTATAAGTATTGTTGTATAATTTTCTTTGGTTAGAAACATTTTGGTCAAAGTAATGTCGTCAGAATTTTCTTCAGTGCCATTCAGCAAAACCATCTGTCTTTTAGCCTTTGCAACTACCAAAAATTTGTATGCTGCAGAGTACCTTATAGTTTTAATTTTTAAAATCACTTCACTAATCTTGTGGAACCTGACCTAGAGGAAAGCTCCAAGGAAATTTACTTGAGAAAAGCCAACATTTCCAGGTGAAATAGTAGAATCTACTAAAGATAACCAATAGTGTCTACCATCCCAACTCTCCAAAGTTGAGATTGTTGATTGTGCTTATTTGTGGGATATTTGAATAAAATTGGACACCAAATTTTTCAGTTCCATGTCCCTCATGAAAAACAAGCAGTTACTTACATTGACTTGCAGACAAAGTAGAAACCGCACTGCATGTTTTTGTTTTTGTAAAGATTTTTCCATCCAAGTACGTGCAATCCAATTTCCTGTCTATCACACTATTGTATAAAGAGCAGCAAAAGTGGAGGGAAGAAGTGACTGCTATACACACTGAATCACTCTGCATAGTCTTATTTGAGACAATTGATATATGAATCTTGACTTTTTAATATTTGGAAACATCAAATAAAAATGGAAATGATAAAAAAAAGAAAAGGGGGAAGGTGTTTTTTGTTTACTGGCATAGAAAGATCACCACTAAAATATAATAATAAAAGATAAATAAATCCAGGAGAAGAAATGTGTAGTTATGCCAGTGTTTGTATAATAAAGTTGGGGGTGGGTGAGGATAAGAAAATAATTTGGTGCTTGTTTGTTAAAAAAATAAACCAATCCACAAGCATACATATCTGGATATTAGATTTACACCATAGATGATACTAAGGAGCATTACTTTTATTAAAAAAATATACTGAGTTAAATGGAACTTCATATGGGAAAGAATTAATATTTACCCCTATCTGTCACAGAATCCAAAGAAAAAGGTATTTCTTTGTCTCTGTGTGATTATTTCATGCCAGCCCAGTTCACCTGGAGTGACCATGACTGGTTTAGTCGTGTGTTTAGAAAAAGATGCAAATAACCAATAAATAAATAAGTAAATAAAACTAAAACTTATTCAAATTTTGTTAATTGTTTCAGTAAAATATATAGCAAAAGAAAATTCAAGATCATGCTTACATTTGTTGTCATGTATCTTTAATTTTCTTTAATATGAAATTGGTCCTGAGTTTTTCTTTGTATTTCGTAACATTGACATTTTTAAGAAAAGTTTAGGCAAGTTAGTTTGGTAGAAAGTCTTTTAATTTGCTTCTAGCCTACTGATGAGATTCCAGTTATACAATTGAGCAGAAATACTACATACTTACTTTGTGGTCTTTTTTTTTTTTTTTTTTTTAATGGTACTGGGGATTGAACCCAGGGCCTTAAGCATACTAGGCAAGGGCTCTACCACTAAGCTACATCTCCAGCTACACTCTCAGCCCTTGTGTGTCATAAGAGGAGGCACATGCTGTTGATTTGTTTCTTATGATAACAACTCTGATTATGTAGCTAAGGAGGTATCTGCCAAGTGTCTCCCCTATAGAGTTATTATTTTACCTTTTATAATTAGTAAGTATTGTATGGGAAGACACTTTGAGACTATGTATGTATCCTGCTATACCTCATAACAAAGACAAAACTTTGGGTATGTGTTTTGTGCTTATAGACAAAATTAGCCAGCCATGAGTATTTTGCATGTTGTGATAAGGAAAATTGCTTTCCTTGATGTTAGTTAGTAAATTTCTAGCTAGATTTGAAAACTCAAGGGTGAAAATAGTGTAGAAATAAAAGATTAGAATTCCTGAATCTAAAAGATGTTCACCAAACAAAAAGTTTCTAAGCTTAGTGTTGGAAAATTAAAAGTTTATAGTACAGGGCTGGGGATGTGGCTCAAGCAGTAGTGCGCTTGCCTGGCATGCATGTGTCCTGGGTTCGATCCTCAGCACCACATATAAACAAAGATGTGTCCACCGAAATCTAAAAAATAAATATTAAAATTCTCTCTCTTCCTCTCTCTCTCTCACTCTCTCTTAAAAAAAAAAGTTTATAGTACAGACATAGGTTCTTTGCTTTTCCTAATACTTAATGCCACATTATGTGGAGATTTTCTATCCATCCATGCATCCATCCATCCATCTGGAACATGAAACTGAGAAAAGTTAATCACATGTACTTTTGGGGAACATAGCTGTTAAGGAATAGAGCTGTGATCTGAATCTAAATCTTCCTGATTTCAGAGACTAAGCTTTAACTATTATTCTATGCTTCCTTTCCTAGTATTAGGAGGTCTGAAGAATTTCTTGAAAATCTGGTTGTTTTCCCCACCTCATAGCCACATACACATATTTATTCTCTTTTTTTTATGATTCATTAGTTCATTACACTATAATACTCTAGTAAATTGTAATATGTCAAGTGTTTAATGTCTATGTATTTTTCAATTGAAATCTTTTTCTATTTTCTCACTTTAACATTTTTCCAGCACAAAATTCTAATATTGCATGTTTTACTATATATACTTTTTTATTAAATTTTTTTTTGTTGTTGATGAATACAATACCTTTACTTATTTGTTTTTTATGTGGTGCTGAGGATCGAACCCAGTGCCTTACACGTGCTGGGCAAGCACTGTACCACTGAGCTACAACCCCAGCCATACGCACACACACACACACAGACTTTTATTCATTGTCCTAATGAAAATTATTTTCTTTACTTTTAATTTCATTGTGTTGATGATAACTGAGTTATTTTTTAAGTGGGAAATTATTTCTGTTAACTATATTACTCCCAATTTTCTTGTTATCTGTAGAGGAAAGAGTAACACATAATTTTTATGATCTGGATTCAAAAGACTAAAAACTTTTGAGAGAAACAATCAAAAAGAAACACAGATTTTTTTAAAGGGTAGTTTTTAGGTGAAATTTAGAAAGGAAGGTGTAGATATTTCTCACATGCTTGTTGCCCTCATGCATGCACTGCCTCTCTATTACTTACCACCAGAGTAGTGTATTTGTTAAAACTGATGAGCCTGCATTGATACATCATAACCACCACATTAGGAAATGTAATTCACATTAGGTCTCACACTTAGATGTCTAATTTTAGTTTCTTTTGCCACTCTTTAATTTGTTTGTCCATTCATCATTTCATTAATTTTTCATTTGTTTATTTAGTCTGCTAAATAAACAAATTTTTAAATTTGTTTATTAACTCTTTGAATTCTGACATTGGGATATCATTGTAAAGGTGATATAGTTCTTGTGGAAGCTTTTCCCACATACTAACAATATAGAGGAAGAATTAGAAGAGTATAAATTTGGAGGAGATTGAATAATTGGAAGGCAGTGGCCATAGAGTGTCAAAGAGGGAGTGGAGATAAAGTCTTTAGGACTTAATTCCAATTAATTTTTTTGCTTAGTATTGGAAATTACACACAGGGGAGAGAAGACAGGTTTGGAATATCCCCAAATTTGTAGCTTATTTATTCATTATACTTTTATTATGTGAATATTATATATCAGGCATTGTGCTGAGTGCTGAAGGATGAAAGAAATATAACATTTCAACTGTAAAATTATTAGAAGGGAGAACAGATTAATTGTGACTATTTGGGAGTGTATGTTGAAGTACGAGAAAAGATTGTGAATTCACTTTCAGACATGTTGAGTTTGAGCTGCCTGTTGGATATACATACAAGTGGAAATAATGAATATTCAGATACAGATTTAAGGAGAATCATGGATAGACATACAGACTTGGATGTCGTCAATGTATAGCTGATGACTGAGATCATGGGTTAGGCTATTAGGTCTTTCAAGAAGAGCCTTTGGTGTGAAAAGAAGGGAGAATTAGAACCATGGGGAAGGCTCTAGGTTGGTTAGAGAAAGAAGAGGAACCTGTGAAGACTGGTGTGGAGAAATTTGACATGTAAAAGAGAACCTACAGCAGTATGTAACAAAAGCCAAGAATATTCATTTGTATCAAAAGTCAAGTCATAGATCAATAAGATAAAGATTTAAAATATTGACTAAATTTTATAACTAGGAGATCATTTTTGATCATATGGAAAACTAGTTCTATGAGCTACTAAAATTGTAGAAATGGGTACCCCTCCAATATTGTCCTTCTTTCTTCTTTCAATTTTTAAGAACTTTGGTCTTGAAGATTGAGAGGCTAGAGAGGCTTGAGAGACAGGATAATAGTAGGTTTTGTTGTCTTGAAGAAGGAGACAATTATAGCACATTAAAAGACATTTATAAGTTGGGTGCATTGGCACATGCCTATAATCCCAGTGTTTTGGGAGACTGAGTCAAGAGGATCACAAATTTGGGGTCAGCCTCAGCAACTCAAAATAAAAAACAAAAAGGGCTAGGAATATAGCTCAGTGGTAAAGCTTCCCTGGATGTAATTGCCAATACTAAACAAAAAATAATAAAGAGATTCGTAGACAATGAAGAACTTCAAAGAGCTGTTTTCCTTTGGCAGTTTAAAGCCTCACAGCAGCAGGAACTGATTAATCTACCAATGTATATGTACCTAGTTAATAATAAGTAATCAGTAAATATTTATTGAATGAAGAAGCTTAATTTTTGCTTATTCCATGTCTAGTCAGAAGTGTAGTTTGAGAACTTAGCCAATTCTCTAGGTTCCTATTTACATTTTTTCCTCTGACATTAAAAATTAAACCTATAATAAAAAAATTTAACCTTCTAGGGCTGTGGGTGTAGATCAGTGTTAGAATGCTTGCCTCATAGATGTGAAGCCCTGGGTTCAATCTTCAGTATCACAAAAACTGAAACTAAATAATTAAAATAAAAATGTAACATTCTAAAGGTATTTTAAAAGTTCTTTTGGAATAAGCTCTACTTTATAATAGATTCTATGTTTTTCATAGTACTACACATTTGTAAGTTTTACTACACTGACTTTTATAGAAAATTTTAAGTTTTACTTTGGTTATTATCTTTTCTGAAACTTTGCAAATGTTAAAAATTCTATTTAAATTTTATGGTAGTCATAATGTTGAAACAGCTTTTTACTAAGAGATATTAACCAAGTTTTTTCAATATGACTTAACTTGTGAATTGTCCCTGTCTCGTTCTAGAATGAGAGCATTTATTCTTTTAGTGCTTTGTGATAATCATTTGCATGTCCCTCTCATTTCTCAGCCATGGCTATTAATTCAGAAGATACATGAGGAGGGATGATGAGGATGAGGAAAATACAAACAGACACTCATAGAGAGTAAAAGGTGGGGCCAACCCCTGATGGGGGAAGACTGACACCAGAGCTAGCTCAGCACATTTATTATATAGGTTTTATCATCAGAAGGTTAATTGTGGGGAAAGTTTCAGCAAAGCAGGCAATCTAAAGGATATAGGACTGGCAAGACATTGGGGTCATCTTGTTTTGCTCAAAATTCACTGTCCCTGTGAGTTGGTGTCTGAACTCAAGACCCAAACTGATAACTGCTGTGTGCCTTTGCACGTAGCACCCCCACATTACCCTCCTCATCACTATAGCAACTGGGCCATAATGACCTGCATTTTTGTACAGGCAGCTCCCAGCGCAAATATAGCCATGAGAGAGTCAGAGGCCATAATTTGTTTCAAATCACTGCTTCCACGGTGATTGTCCTATGAGCTACCCCATTTGTCCTAAAACAATTGTCTGTTCTAATTCTCTTATATTTCATTTAATGCTTCACTTAATTTCTATAATTTTAAGAGGTTAGAAAGACTCATAATTAAGTTAATGTATCCCAGTTGTTTACTTTGGTAAGATTTAGTAATGTATCTATACAATTTTTTCAAATTAGGAAAAGGAAATTATGGGTCTAAAAAAATTTTAGGCAAAATATTCTTTTGAGATTTCTCACTTGTTTATAAAGATTTTATTTATGTTTCATAGACATATAGAATATACAGTGAATTAGAAAAGATGTACAATACTATTTAAAGTGATTATTCATTTTTCTTAAAATTTAGGTTGGGAAATGACGAACAGCCTGAGGTTCCAATTCTTTATCATGATGTAACATCCCTTTTGCTTATCCAAATCTTAATGATGCCACAACCTTTACACAAAGGTATGTCTTTATAATTCAAATTCTTTTATTATGTACTATATATTGTATTATGACTATTCTGGAGATTGATGGATCAATTAGAGCATTCAATCTGCTGGAAATTTTTGTGATAAAACATTTTTTATTAGTAGTAAATGATAATCATATGTAAGAAGATGACAGTGAAATAAAGGTAGTTATTTCATTTGAGTTTGTTTGCAGTATTGTAGTCAATAAGAGGTAAAGAATGAGAAAAGTATTCAGAAAACATTTTTAAAAAAATGGAATTGACAGTACAAAACCAAATTTGAAAAAAAGACAATCTGCCACTTTTAATGCCTCCACCTTAACTATGTAAATCCATAGTTCATATATAGTAATTATAAAGCTATAAAAAATGTGATGTCCTGTCATTTTAAGCTAGTGCTAATGTAATAACATTATTATATTAATTGTATTAATATTATATTAGCAACATTTTAATTATTGCTTAATAGTCTTCATAGTTTTCACTTGAAGACATTTAAAATATTCTCTCAGATAATTAATATTCTTCTGTGTTGGAGTAGTAATTGTGTTTTGTTCTGCTATTGTAAGTTATAGTAGAAGGAACATCTGTGGGTGCATAAAGGCATTCTTCCTGAAGAAGACATTCTTTGTACATCAATTTGATCATTCGATAAAAATCACTTACCTAAGGACATCAAGTGATCTTATTTTAAATATAGACAAATTATCATATTTCATTTAAATTATAATATTCTGTAAAGAGAAAATGTCCTCAAAAAGTGTCTTAGTCAACTTTTTGTTGCTGTGACCAAAATACCTGACATAAAAAACTTAAAGGGGGCCCAGGACCACCCCTGCCGCCATGTGGGAGCCCAGGCCCAGGTCTGGCCCAGGTCTGCCCCCACTGACCTGCTGACCTATGTTGGATACAGGCCCAGGCATAGGCCCCTTTCTGCCTACCTGTGCAGGAGCCCAGACCCAGGGTAGGTCTGGGTTCTCACCACTGATTGGCAGGCCTATGCCAGAGACTAGGCCTAACCCAGAGACTAGGCCTAACCCACCTCTATCTTGGAACATTGCAGCCATTGCCATAACTCTTCCCATGCAGTTTTGTAAACCCTGTGACAACAGACAGGTCCTGGAGGCAGCTGCATCTCCAAACAGGCGGCCCAAAGCCATTGTTAGGCCCATCCTTTCAGCCCCATTGCTGAAAGTGGTTGCATTCATCTTGGGGCACCCCCATTGATATCTCAAGTTACCTCTGCAATTGCTGCCACCACCTTTAGTCACAGTAGCATCCATTGCGGGACACTGGCAGGGTCTGGAAGCCCAACACCAAGGTGAGGTGCATACAGATAATCTGCACGGATACTACAAGATTATAGTGTAGAAACTGTAATACCTCAGATCTGCACTGCAAGAAAGGAAGACACATAGACAACATGAAAATAATCAGGGAATTTTGTGCCCCAAACAAACCAGGATCCTACAATAATAGAATCCATGACAGCACAGTTGATGAAATGGCAGAGAAGGAGTTCAGAATATACATAATTAAAATGACCTGTGAATTAAAGAATGACCTAAATGAGTAAATACAGGCAAAAATTGATCACTTCAACAAAGAGATAAGGGAGCAAATACAGGTAGCAAAAGGTTACTTCAAAAAAGAGAGATTTTGGAAAAAAAAATCGGAAATCCTCACGATGAAGGAAATAATAAACCAAATAAAAAACTCAATAGAAAACATCACCAAAAGAGTGGATCATTTGGAAGATAGAACGTCAGATAATAAAGACAGAGTATACAATCTGGAAAATAAAGTTGACTACTCAGTGAAGATGGTAAGAAACCATGAACAGAACATCCAAGAATTATGAGATAGCATCAAAAGACCAAATATAAGAGTTATCGGGATAGAGGAAGGCACAGAGATTCAAACCAAAGGAATGCACAATCTCTTCATTGAGTTAATATAAGAAAATTTCCCAAATATGAAGAATGAATTGGAAAATCAAATACAAGAGGCATACAGGACACCGGATATACAAAATTACAACAGATCTACACCAAGGCACATTATATTGGAAATGCCTAGCATACAGAATAGGGATAGAATCTTAAATGCCACAAGAGGAATCAACTCACATATAGGGGGAGACCAATTCGCGTATCAGCAAATTTTTCAACCCAGACCCTCAGGCCAGGAGGAGATCCTGGAACAACATATACCAAGCTCTGAAAGAAAATGGATGCCAACCAAGAATCTTATATCTAGCAAAATTAAGCTTCAGATTTGATGACAAAATAAAAACTTTTCATGATAAACAAAAATTAAAAGAATTTTCAGCAAAGAAAGCCTGCATAATAGAACATTCTTGGCAAAATATTCCACGAGGAGGAAATGAAAGCAACAGTGAAAATCTATAAAGCTAAGAACTACACTAAAGGAAAGGCAAATCAAAGAGAAACCAAGTCAATTTAAGAACCAAAAATAACCAAAATGACTGGGAATATAAAATGTATTTCAGTTATAACCCTGAATGTGAATGGCCTAAACTCATCAATTAAAGACAGATTGGATTTTTAAAAAGACCCAACAATATGCTGCCTTCAAGAGACTCACCTCCCAGGAAAAGACATTCACAGACTGAAGATGAAAGGACGGGAGAAAATGTATCACTCACATGGACCATGTAAACAGGCAGGGGTTTCCATCCTCATATCAAATAAAGTGGATTTCAAACCAAAGTTAGTGAAAAGGGATAAAGAAGGACATTTCATACTACTCAAAGGAATCATACATCAATAAGACATAACAATTGTAAATATCTATACCCCAAACAATGGGGTATCTATATGTATATCAAACAAACCCTCTCAACTTTAAGAATCAAATAGACTACAACACAATAATGTTGACTTTAACATACTTCTCCCATCACTGGATAGATCTTTCAAAAAAAAAAAAAGAAACTATAGAACTCAGTAATGCAGCCAATAATTTGGACTTAACAGACATATATAGAATACTTTATCAACAAGTGAATACACTTTTTTCACGGCAGCACATGGATCCTTCTCCAAAATAGATCATTTGATATGATTGCCACAAAGCAAGTCTTAGCAAATACAAAAAAGTAGAGATACTATCCTGCATTCTGTCTGACCATATAGAATGAAATTAGAAGTCAATGATAAAATTAAAAAGAGAAGCTACTCCAACACCTGGAGACTAAACAATATGCTATTGAATGACATGTGGATAACAGAAGACATCAGGGAGGAGATAAAAAAAATTCTTAGAGGCAAATGAGAACTTCAATACAACTTACCAAAAATCTCTGGGACATCATGAAAGCAGTGCTTAGAGAAAAGTTCATTGCATGGAGTTCATTCATTAAAAGAAGAAAAAGTCAACAAGTAAACGACCAGACAATACAGCTCAAAGCCCTAGAAAAAGAAAAATAAACAACACCAAAGTAGTAGAAGACAAGAAATAATTAAAATCAGGGCAGAAATCAATGAAATTGAAACAAAAGAAACAATTCAAAAAATTGACAAAACAAAACGCTGGTTGAAAATAAATAAAATTGACAAGCCATTAGACACCCCAACAAGAAGGAGGGAGAAAACTCAAATTACCAAAATTTGTGATGAAAAAGGAAATATGACATACACTATTGAAATACAGAAGATAATTAGAATCTGTTTTTGAAAATATATATTTCAATAAAATAGAAAACCTAGAAGATACCAACAAATTTCTAGATTCTTATGATTGACCCAAACTGAATCAAGAAGACATATACAATTTAAACAGATCAATTTCAAGCAATGAAATAGAAGACCCCATCAAAAGCCTACCAACTAAGGAAAGCCTGGAACCAGACAGATTCACAGCTGAGTTGTACAAGACCTACAAGGAAGAATTAATACTAATACTCTTCAAATTATTCTATGAAATAGGAAAGGAAGGAACCCTTGCAAACTCATTCTCCAAAGCTGGTATCATCCTGATACCAAAACCAGGAAGAGACACATCAAGGAAAGAAAATTTCAGACCAATATCCATGATGAACATTGATGCAAAAATTCTCAATAAAACTCTGGCAAATTGCATACAAAACATAAGGAAAAAAAATAGTGCTCCATGATCAAGTGGGGTTTATCAAGGTTGGTTCAACATATGGACATCAATAAACATAATTCATCCCATCAGTAGACTTAGAGATAAGAATCATGTGATGATATCAATTGATAACAGAAAAAATGTTTGACAAAATACAGCACCCTTTCACGTTCAAAACACTAGAAAAACTAGGTACAGTAGGAACATACCTCAACATTGTAAAAGCTATCTGTGCTAAACCCAAGGCCAACATCATTCTAAATTGAGAAAAATTAGAAGCATTCCCACTAGAAACTGGAACAAGACAGGGATGCCCTCTTTCACCACTTCTGTTCAACATAGTTCTTAAAACTCTAGCCAGAGCAATTAGACAGACAGAAGAAATTAAAGGGATACAAATAGGTAAAGAAGAATTCAAACTATCATTACTTGCTGATGACATGATTCTATACTTAGAGGATCTAAAAACTCCATCAGAAAGCTTCTAGAATTAATTAATGAATCCAGCAAAGTAAAATCAGGACATAAAATCAATACCCATAAATCAAAGGCATTTCTGTACATCAGTGATGATTTTATATATCACTATATATAAAAATAAAGAGAAATTGGGAAAACAAAACAACCCCATTCACAATAGCTTCAAAAAAATCAACCAACCAAACAAACAAAAAAACCAACTTGGGAATCAACTTAAACTAAAGAGGCAAAAGATGTCTACAGTGAAAACTAAAGAACACTAAAGAAAGAAATTCAAGAAGACTTTAGAAGATGGAAAGATCTCCCTTGCTTTTGAATGGGCAAAATTAATATTGTCAAAATGGCCATACTACCCAAAGCACTATACAATTCAATGCAATTCCAATTCAAATCTCAATGT